GATCAGTCCTGCATACACTTGTTCAACCTGTACCAATCAGGCAAGCACGACGAAGCAACAGCCCTCCAGATCAAGCTCTCGGTCACGGAATGGGGTTTCGGAAAGGGTGGCATCAATGGCACCAAGTACGTCGTTGCGCATAAGAGGGGATACCCAGAGAGCAGCGCGGATTGCCGTAGGCCTTACCCGAGATATACGGATGAGGAGAAGAGGAAATGGGTTGTGAACCAGGTGTCAGGTCTTGATGAGCTGGAAGCATCGCTATAGAATGCTGCTTCGCAATGAAGAATTGAAACGTCAACGTGCTCCTCTTCGGACACCTGAGGTCTTCCGACAAAGCCCTTCTCACAATCGTTGTGTTGTCACCTCAAAACGCCCATTGCTCTCTAAGATCCCTCAAGACGCCATCCGTCCTCCACCCTATTAGTCTCTGCAACTGTTCCAGATACTCCACACAAGCCTGCTGCTCCCGCGGATCGATGATATAAGCTCCACATGCACTCAAAATGTGACTACCCTGGAACATAGCATTACCACAATGACTGTTACTCACACCATACCCTATGGTTATCCTCATGTGCTTGCGAACAGCCGCGTCGGTAGATTTCCTAGCCCGAACACCTGCCAACCCGACTAATGAGGCGTTGGGTGAGTATATCGTGAGCAGTATCTTGCAAAGGTGGTAGTACTGTAGTCCAACTGCCACGATCCCTTGTGGGCAGAGCAGTTCGGGCCAGCTTCCCTCAAACTTGTCGCCCGCATCGGGTTCGACGTGAAAGGCAGAGAAAGTCCAGGGCTTCGTGCGCTCCCATTCCTCGACTTCATCGTTCAATTCTTTCCATGTCTCGCGGCTGATGTTTTCGCTGCCATTGTTTGTGCCTCCGAAGACAGTTTGCAGGACGACGGCGAACAGGAATATGATGCGATTTGCCCAGCTTTCGTCGTCAAACTCGCTGAAGACAGCTGAGTGGCGGTAGTTGTCGAGGCTTAGGTTGAGTGGCTTTTGGGTCGTGAGGGAGACGTAGATGTGTTGGCGGAGAGAAACCCAGGATGCTGATTCGCGGAGGCCACCGTCCGCGGCGAAGGAGGAGATACTGTTTAGTATACGGGCGGTACCCTGTGATCATCATGTGGTCAGGAAAGATATACAGTCAAGCTTAAGAGCGAGAGAACGTACGAGGTGGTGGCAGTGTTCGTCGGCATCGCCCATCTCTTCGTGAAGCCGAAGCAGGATAACGGCTATGAGGAAGTTCTCATCCCAATGTGCCAGCGGGTCCTCAAGTGCTACGATTAGCGCCTGTAAGCACTGATCTACATAAGGCTGCGACACATCTTCTACGGCCTTGCCCATCAGCCAGGAGTGTCTTGCAGCAACACCCAGTATGCCATTGAGAATGACGGGGAAGTGGGCTGCGCGTTTTGGTACCTCAGTAGCAAAGTGCCGCCGTGAGTCACACACATCGATCCACGAGGTGCAAAAGAAGAGGTAATGATGGAGGAGACGGGCTTCGTGTGCGTTGTTCACGGGCCACCTAAGTGTTGGCGCTGAGGAAGGACTGAATGCTGTGGAGTTATAAGGAGAGTGATTATTGTTGATCGATCCGAAAGGGCTCTTCTTCGATAGACTCGGGGACTGTGATAGACGTTGAAGTGATCCGGGGCTGGCGTGCCAGTTTGTGTTTACTATTTGACTTATCGAAGACACGGCGCGAATGCTTTGCGGCGCACTATTACTGGTACAGGTCGTGATACCGATTAGAGACGGTGGGACCTGAGTGTTCAGGACCTCGTGGATGGAAGGCAACTCGCTAGTGTCGTTGAACTCCGAGGTTGGAAGGTCCACGAACGAGGTTATGTCACCGTACGTCGACGCCAGTTGGCTTTCGCTAGACACTCTGTTCAAATTTGAGTTTTGCCGGCGGGCTTTTGATGCAACGTCGAGAGTGTTGGGCGTGCTTTCGGGATTCGCTTCGCTTTCCGGCCCAGCTTCGTACTCTTCTTCGTCACCGCTGTCCTTGTTCGGCTCAACAAAGTGCACTACACCACGTTTCATCAGCGATTATCGCTATTTATGAATTGTTTTCTACGCACATGAGCTTGGAATATCAACCCACTGCTGTCCCACTTGGAACTCAAGGGACTGTTCAGCGGATCCTATGTCTTCGCCGGCGTTGAACTTGACCGCCGTAACAGGTCGGAAGCGAAAAGCATTGCCGCGAATGCATGGCTTTTTGCGCTCGGTGCAGTATTTGCATTTTTCCGAGTCACGCAGCTTCACGCCTATAAATTCCTACATTAAGCGTTTGGATGGCATTGGATTGTAAGAGCCCGTACATTTGATGTGACGCTCACGACAAGCTTTGCTGTTCAGCAATCAGCAAAATTCTACATGCGGGCAATTCCGCGGCTTGACTAACCATCCGCTTCTCTGTCTCATCGTGAGGTCGGAGGCCCGAGGACTGTGAACGATGGAGTTGCTACGTTGAGCCGGGAAATCGATCCCATCTTGTCGGTTTTCCTTTCGGGTCACTTACCCCGCCCACTTCGTATGCAACGTCCTAAGTCTGGAAGCTTGCGGGGCATCTTCCGATGGAGGAAAGCTTGGAACGTAACGCGCAGTTTGATTGGTATAGGTCTGAGCCGGAAATGACAAGTATACGCGCATTGACCTGTAAATGGCAAGGCTTCCCGTATTCTCTTGCGCCGAGATTGTCGCTCGATACCTGCAAGAGACTAACAGAATTGCGACTGACACTCGCTCGCGTGTTTTTGGTGAGCTTCAATGTGCGTGTTGGAGCTGGACTGAACATTACACGATCGCGAAATGGTTTGATGATGCGAAATACTCCTGGCTGACCAAACGCACGTCCACTCTTCGCTTGCCTTCATCCTGTCGTCTTTGCACTTCTTCCAACAAGTCTGCGGTAGCTTTCGCGTTGGTAGCGATGCTCTCGAGACTGCGGATGGCTTCAATGATCCATCTTCGTTCCTCCAAGTCGTCTTCTTCGCACCCCCACATCATCAGTGGCCACAAGACATTGACCGGCAGCGACTCGTCTGCCTGCGCCATCAGATGTGTCAGACGCTTTATATTCATTATGGCATTTATAACATCCTTGGTTTTTGGGTACTGCACGTATGCAACGCGATGTAAGTGTATGAACGATGCGTAGTAGTTTGCGAGATAGGTCCGGAAACTCCGTGTGAGTGCGCCTGCTAAGTTTTTGGCTATGTGTTTTTCGGTGAGGTTTCCAGCAACCGCATGATCCATCAATGCTGGTCGCTGGCCGTAAAGTGCATGTAGATCCTTGGAGATTTGCGCTGCGATGGCCATCACTTCAGTCTCATCCTGAACCGTGCCGCGTGTACGACGCCACGGGTCAATGCGTGTGATGCGACCGGCGAAGGACTGCACCTTCTGATAGAACATGATACCGGGATGATATAACACGTCAAACAGAATTTCCTCGATTTCGGTGTCCGACGTGTCCGGATCTGACCCGGGATTGGCCGCAGGCGACGCATCAAAGATGGTCTCGTCTGTGTCAGCCAAGAAGAGACCTTCTCCACCTGCTGTTGACACAGCGCGCGCGTCAAGTAGGCGCATCCATGAGATGAGTCGACGTTCCGGTGCCGAGAAGGTGGTCTTGCTGACACTTTTTATAAGTGTATAGGCCTCGCGTAAGTTCGTGTGGGCTCGTGGCAGCATTTCCGTAAGAAGATCGGTATAGGTAAGCAGGAAAAGGGCAGCGAGCATGTGTCTGAGGTCACTGTCCTCGACTACTCGCGTCTTTGCTAGGCAATTCGCTACCTGTCTGGATGCGGTATCATACAAAGGCCTCCAGTCTGCCTTGGCTATGTCGTTGCCCAGCCCACTGCGCTGCATCTGCATCGCGGCGAAAGCCATGATGGCACTCTTGACGATGGGTGACTCTGCAGCCAGAGTGGCAAAGAATGCCCGAGTAGATGCCCATTTGGGACCAGTTTCCACCGGTGTCAGGATGGGTGGCATGAGCATCTGGAGGAATGTGTGCAAGAGGTAATCTTCGTTCAGTCCATTCGACGCGCCCTCGGTAGAGAACGGCGAGGTCGAAGCTGGATCAGGCTGATGAAGTCTACGCTCTGGCAGCTCATGCACTTCATTGCTTGCAGAAGACGTTACTCCCAAGGTCTGACTTGAAGATCTATGAGTCGGCCGGGACTGGTGGATGGACTGCGAAACCGGGTCCGAGTGTGTTGCTACGCTCGCGAAAGACCCGGTGTCAGTTGGCCATGAGCTGGGACTCAACAGCATAGCTTCGTCCCAGGTGCCCAAGCTCAATGGCCCAGATAGGTCAAAACCAAACCCGTACCCTTCCAAGGGTAGTGGACCAGAAAAGAAGGGCTGGTGCTGGCCAGTGTTGAATGAGTGGGACGGATTGGTAGTGCTACGAGCCGGCGTGCGGTTCCAAGTGCAATCGAGATTCAGTCTTTCGCAGTGTCCACATCTGGGCCTCTGCTCATTACATCGCACTTTCCGCCTCCTATGTCGATGAGCGTTGGTTGGGAGTAACGAAGAATTTCCGCGTACCTGCACGCATTGCAGCCGTTTTTTGAACGCGCAGGGCGAGGCTGGGCTGGCGAGGATGCAGACACGGGCGCCGAAGGCACCAAGGGTGGCTGATTTGGTACAGGCGGCTGCGACATGAGCGATGATGATTTCTCGATTCGAGATGGAGATGAATCTGCTTGCGATGACTAGGGTATGTAGAACCGTTTATGTATGCTGCACAGCGGAGTAATAGTATGTGTGTGGGGGCCAATCAGCTCAGGCGCTATCTCGGTGTTTATGCGCGGGTGGAGCAAAGGAACGGTCGCGGCGCACGCCTGATCGAGATTTGCGCATCGTCACTGTGACACCTGGGCACTAAATACACTCAGTAATATGGGCTTCTCCGTTGCGATAACCCGTTGCATTTGACGATTTCCGCTGATCTATGGAGCTCCAAACACCTCTACTCCTACCTGGTCGATGTCCGCCCCCGTCGCCAAATCTTCACAGGCATCTCCCCTAGGATCCAATTCATCGTCTCTAGCCGCTGAAGCTCCCAATTCGGACTACTCAGCGCAAAATCATACCGCCTCAACACACTCGCCAAAACCACAGTCTGCTCTAGGTACGAGATGTTGCGTCCGATGCATCCCCTTGCACCCGCCGAGAAGGCCAGGAAGTAGGGCTGTAAGGCCTTGCCTTCTTCACCCAACCAGCGCTCCGGTATAAACTTGTCGGCGTGCGGGAACACGGATTCCTGCCGATGCGCAACATATGCAGACATGGCGACGGAGACTCCGCCCGGAATGTAGTCACCAAGGATGTTGACGCCCTCGGCTGGCGTCTGTCGCGGGAGTCCATGGGGTGTTGGTGGGAAGAGCCGGAGCGATTCGTCGAGGCATGCACGGAGATATGGTAGGTGTTTTACCCTGTCGTAAGCGACTACCCCATCGCCTTCCTCCTCCTCGTCTTCCAGTGCCGAATCGATCTCTTGCACCAACTTCATCTTGATATCTGGGTGCTTGATCAATTGGTACATGACATTAGCCATCGCAATCGCTGTCGTAGCTGATCCGGCGTTCATCATGATGCTCACTTCCGCGATGATCTCGCCCCATTCCAGATTGTTCGGATGGCCGTTCTTGTCTTCCATCAGCGTTTGGAAGAAGTCGTCGAGCTTCTCCCCTGCTCTGTACCGCTCCAGACGCTTGTGGGCGAGTTGAACCGGTACGCCCTCCCATTCGTTTGCGTAGTCGCTCATGCGCTTGTAGAAGGGGATGACGTTCGAGAGTTTGTTGATGAGCGGATACCAGTCGTATGGCCAGACCAACAACGACTGTTTCCGAGCTGTGTTGTAAAGTGCTGGTCTGAAATCACATTCGTATGTTGACCCGTCTGTCCTCCGTCCAGTAACCCTGTCGTGGCCCCGATCGAGGAATCCAAGCTTGTCGGAAAGTCCAATATCGGCGATAGCGTCTAGTGTGAAGAAGTTTGTCCACTTCCGATAATCGAGGTTCACGTCCTCAGGCTTCGGTAGCTGTCCAGGAGGCAATGGTGAGGTGCAGCACTCGTCAAAGTGCTTTAGTAGCTTCTGCGTCTTGTCGGCTACCTTGTGCTCCCAGCCCTCCAGGTTCTTGATCGCATACGCAGAGCTCATCAGCTTCCTCTTCCGCGCATGATCATGCTTGTCGATGGCATCGGCAAGATGGTAATGCGAGCCTGCAGTGACAACGTACGATCCGTCCTTGGTACAGGGAGTGTTATGACCGTAGATGTCTTTCACGGCTCGAAGGTCGCCGTACGAGAGGAAGTTGGGGCCCACACGGATTACTGGATGCTTTCGATGTAGTTTCTCAAGGTAGGTGGACCGCGCTCCGCCGTGCGCAAGCACCATGAACGGGATCGAAGATATGCCCGAGAGCGGGTGCATGTTTGGGTAACGCCGAAGACCTGAGATGTCAGTCGATATTATTATTGTACTTGATGGCTGACATACCATTCACATCGCGGAAGTAAACGACTACAGGATAGATAACAAAGTAGAAAAGAGCGCACGCGCCTAGCGCAGCAGCATACGGAATGGAAATGACCGCTGTAGACATCTTGGATCGTAATCAACACAATAGCAACGTTGAAAACAATCTCATTAGCAGCTTTGCATGGTGATAGTATAGATTGTGCGATTGAGAGTTTACTTAAGTGCTCGTCGCGGTATCTCACTGCCCGTTGACGCAGCCGCAAAAGTGGACAACCGCATCCCAAGTTTACCAAAACGGGTATGCTTCGGAGAATGACGTCCTATTGCGGAATGCATTGCTACGACCGGTATGTGCGGGCTTGAAAAGTTGAATCGGGAACTACGTGTGGACACCAACTGACAGCTAAAGTGTGGGGTAACGCGGGGATGCCATAGTTTACTCGCGTCATGATCAGCACTGCCACGAGCGTTCACGCATCACAACGGACTACCGAAAGCGTTGCACTCAGAAATGTCTGGTCGTTATCGACAAATCAGGTCTGGCAGTCATGCCCGAGAACTATGGGTTGGTGCCAGTACCTGTACGGCTGTCATCAATGGCCCACGCGCTCTTGACTGATTGAAGGATACCATTTGCTTCTCCCTGGCTATATTGCCGCTTCAGCCTGTCAAACCTTTGTAGGCTACTTTGCTTCCTTCTGTTATCATGAATTCACTTAGTCTACCATTTGACATGTCAGAGTTGAGGTCACATCTCAATCCTCTTCTACAAGCACTCAGCACAACACCAGTGTTCAGCAGTTTAAAGCCCTCGACTGCAGCGGACGGACTAGCTGCATTTCTATTTCTTCTTACATCGCTCGGGTATATCACTCGTGGTCGCATTTGGGACAAGCCGGACCCGAACTACCATGTAAGGAGACTACTTCCACGCAACTTTGCATCCTTGATGTCGCAGCATTACTGACCATGCTGTTATTGTAGGTGTATTTTGAGAGACCACAGATCGCAGAAGGCTTTTCAGACGGGAAGACCACTTCTACGCGCGACGTCTGCCAACGCCTCGATGAGGGCGGCTATCATTGCGTCATCTTTTGGGGCTCACAGTCTGGTACATCGGAGCGCCTCGCCGAAAACTTGGGTCGAGAGTGCGGCGCGCGCTTTGGAGTAAATGCCTTGGTCGCGGACTTATCCGATTACGATGCCGAGAGTGTTGCGAGGATCCAGAACAAGTACTTCGCCATCTTCATCCTGAGCACATATGGCGAAGGCGATCCGAGCGATAACACTACCGGCCTTTGGGATTGGATCAAGCGGGTAGGCGACGACAACATTCGGCTTGAGAGCTTGCGATACCTGGCGTTCGGTCTCGGTAATAGCAACTACAAGTACTACAACAGGGTCCTCGATGTCGTCGCCGATGTCTTAGATGCTGCAGGCGCTACTGCGCTGATGCCACGACAGAGAGCCGACGATGCCAATGGTGGCACAGAGGAGGACTATCAAGCATGGAAAGATGATGTCTTCACTCTGCTTACTCAGATGGGGTTCGAAGAGAAGGCTGTCACTTACGAGCCGACGATGAGGGTTGATCTCGCCGCCGTGAGCCCTGGTCCCGAAGCAAATTCCGTCACATCGGTGCACCACCAACGATCTGCCTTGAACTCAGCCATAGTTCATTTGACCATCAAACACTCTCGCGAGTTGTTCGTGTCGGGAGATCGTAACTGTGTGCACTTGGAAGTGGATCTGGGCAATACGGACATCGTGTACAAGACTGGGGATCATATCGGCATCTGGCCTGTGAACCCTGAGGAGGAAGTCAACCGACTGCTCGACATCCTCGGCTTGCAAGGCCGTAGACACGACTGCCTCACCGTAGCACCGAGAAGTGGTTCCGACAAGCCAAAGATACCGTCGCCGTGCACGCTCGAGACAGCTTTCCGCAATCATCTAGAGGTTTGCGCGCCTGTGGCTCGGAAGGCTGTGCTCGAAGTTGCTCAGTTTGCGCCCACTCCTCAAGCCAGATCGAAGCTCCTCGGCATTGCGCAGGATCGTGGACGTTACGAGCGGTTCACGTCTTCTGCACACGTCACGTTCGCTCGGTTGCTCGAGCTTGCCAGCCCTGGTGCTGCGTGGACCTCGATACCGCTCGCCTTCGTTATCGATAACTTGCTGCCACTTCAGCCGAGATACTACTCCATCTCTTCGAGTTCCGTAACGTCTCCCCGGCGCATCGCGATCACCGCACTGGTAGTCAATAAGACGATCACGACTGAAGGCCAGTCGAGAACCACAATTCCTGGCCTGACGTCCAATTACCTCTTATCGGCATCCAATCTTCACCCGGCCGGAAATACGCCAATTCCCACCTATCACCGCTCAGCCGCAAGTGGAGATGTCCAGGGCCAAACAGTTCTCGCGCACGTGAGGAAGTCGAAGTTCAAGCTGCCCGTCACATCTTCGACTCAATTGATCTTGGTCAGCGCTGGTACCGGCTTTGCTCCTTTCCGTGCGTTTCTCCAGGAGCGCGCCAAACTGCATGCAATTGGTAGGCCGATTGGCAAGATGTTGTTGTTCTTCGGATGCCGGAACCAGGAGGACTACATCTACCATGACGAGCTGGCAAAGATGCAGGGACAGCTAGGAGACAAGCTAGAGATCGTTACGGGATTCTCACGAATGCAAGGGCAGCGCAGAGTTTATGTGCAGGACCGGGTGGCCGAGCACGCTGGCAAGGTGCTGGACATGCTGGAAGGAGGGGCCAACATGTACATCTGCGGCAAGGCAAGCATGGCCCGGGAGGTGGATATGAGGCTGGGAGAAGCGGTCCAGGGTGCGCAGGGTAAGACCGAGGCCGACGTCAAAGCGTGGGCTGACGGGCTGAAGAAGAGGGGCAAATGGAAGGCGGATGTTTGGGGGTGATTTCGGTTGAGATTCTGTTTACCATAGCGCGTTCGTACGAAGGGAGGGCGACCCCACTTTTACCAATTTACCCCTGCCAAGCCAAGCAACACGGCCAAAGCCCATCCGCGCCCCAACGGCAGCTTGTGCGCCAGTTATCCCGCCACCTTTTGCTCACACCTCAAATTTTCATACCTCTCTTTGCATAGCAGTCAACAATGGATGTCGCTCTGGAACTCCTGGATCCTCTTGTCCTGGACAAAGCCTACGCATGGGCTCTCCCCTCGCCCGGCTTCAGCGTAGCCAATTCTTCGTTTTCAGACTTTTCGGCCGCTAGCACAGCGCCTGCGTCCCAATGGCCACGCGACAACATTTACCGTCAGATTATATCGATTCTCGTCATTACTCAGCTCGGCGCAACTTCTCTCTACCTCTTTTTCAGCTCTCTGTCCTACTACACTGTCTTTGATCGCCGGCTCGAGTACCACCCACGCTTCTTGAAGAACCAAGTCTCCCAAGAGATCAAATCATCGCTCTTCGCCATCCCCTTCATCAACCTTTGTACCCTGCCTATTTTCCTCGCTGAAGTGCGCGGCCACAGCTTGATCTATACCAACACAAGCGAATATGGCTGGCCCTGGCTGGTGGCTTCAGCCGCTCTGTACATGGCTTTCAATGATTTTGCCATCTACTGGATTCATCGCCTAGAACATCACCCCAGCGTGTACAAGTACATCCACAAGCCACACCACAAATGGATTGGTAAGTGTCCCCAGTATCTTTCAGATGTCTTGCATTTTTGTCGCTCTAAATAGCAATGCTAATTTCAACAGTTCCTACACCATGGGCTGCGCTAGCGTTCCACCCGCTTGATGGGTTCGTTCAGTCATTGCCATACCAGTGAGTATTCCCTAGACCATTTCCCCAAAACCCCATTGCTAAATCTCAAAAGCATCTTTGTTTTCATCTGTCCAATGCAGAGACATCTGTACATGGTTCTCTTTGTTGCTGTCCAGATCTGGACAATCTTCATTCACGATGGCGATATGATTACCGGCCATTGGACAGAGAAGTGGCTCAACAGCCCCGCCCATCACACTTTGCATCACATGTACTTCACAGTCAACTACGGACAGTACTTCACATGGGCCGACACCTACTTCGGCTCTCACAGGGCACCACAGCCAGAGTTGGACCCTATTCACGATGCGCTCAAGGTTATGCGTGCGAAGGGCCTAGTGGATGAGCAGGGCAACCCCATCAAGCACGCCAAGAAAGAGTAGACGAGTCACGATTCCACTTCCTGGGGGAGTTTATGAGTTTTATAGATTTCTTTGAGGACAAGACGAGATATGGCAGATCATTGGTTAAAGACAGCCAATTAGCTTCTCAGATCCTCAATTTTTGGACCTGCGGGTCATTTCGGTATGATAGATCTCCTCGTTACAGCGAGAACCTTATAGCAATATCTAATATTAATGTAATACCAAGAAGCGCTCGCTCATACCAACACTGTCATTGATGAATGATCATGCCGATCTGACGGTTTTCGAGTAGCATTATCAATCAGCGATTGCTTGAGCAGGAAAGACACTCAAACGCCCTGTGGCACGCTGAGTTACGGACGTGGAGAAGCTCTAGCTCCAATAGAAAAAGGCTGTTGCTTCCGCTACCCCGACTTTTTTCGTCACGTCACGTCGCATGATGTACGAATCCAACCAGTTTGTCAAAGGCCGCCTGGACTTCGGTAACCTTCTATCGGCTTTGTGATATTTCCATAGGATGGGTCTGGCGATATCCATCCGATCTCAACCTCGGAATGTTGAAAACGGCAAGCCCGCAGGATACGGCCTTTTGACCCCGAGCCTTGGCGCCCAACGTAGAAGTCTATGCCGCAAACTTCCTATCCTCGACTATCCTAAGCCGCACGCGCGACCAGCGTTCTCGATCCGCCATGCCGTGTCAACCAATGTGCAGCATCCGATTGAGCTGTCAAGCGGTCCCAACACGCCGGTCTACCCTGTTCTCTAGGGCCCTCCCCCGCATTTTCCCATGCACCCCAACATTGCGAAGCGAAGAATGACGCATACCCGATAGGTTTGCGGAGACTTGCGAGCAGAAACCTGGGGAAAGCGTTGCCAGTATGGTGCGACGGATCCCAACGTGGCAATCCAGGTCAGCCTGCGAGAGCTCTTCGCATCGAGCTTGGTTGCGCGTCGTGCCGGCCATTGTCGGAGAGCGAATTTGAGGCTACACGAGTAGCATAAGTAGCACGCGATATCTCCTGGAGTATGGCTTGAAGTATCGCAAGCCCTCGAGCCTCTCCTGTCATCATTGCATTGTTGACTCTGATCACCACCTCTGTAATATCATCCGAACTCCTCACCACTGCCAACTCCAGGTCAATATGGCTCAAGACTTGAAGAAGGTCGATATCTTCAATGAACGGTCTTCCAGCATCGACAAGATTGAAGACATCACGACTGCACGCGAACATGCGGAGCAAATCGCAAATCTCTCTGGCATCGAAGCTACAGCCGCTTCGAAGGCTGCTTGGCTAATCTCCATGACTGTTTCTCTCGGTGGTCTCCTTTTCGGTGCGTAACTCTATTTGTGGGTTGGATTCTGAGATCCGACCTTGCTGACTTTGTCGAGGTTACGATACTGGCTACATCTCTTCGGTGCTCGTTACTATTGGCTCGTCTCTCGGCCACGAACTCACGTCCTCAGAGCAGGAGCTCGTCACATCACTTACCTCTGGAGGTGCCCTCGTGGGAGCCGTCATCGCTGGTATGATTGCCGACAAATATGGTCGCAAGCTGCCAATCTTCTTGGCGTGCGGCGTCTTCGTTATCGGCACCATACTCCAGACGGCTGCGTATCACCTCCCACAGTTCGCTGTAGGCCGCTTCGTCGTAGGCCTGGGTGTCGGCTCAGCGGCTATGATTGTTCCTCTGTACATCTCAGAACTGGCGCCAGCCAAATATCGCGGCCGGATGATTGCCTTCAACAACATGAGCGTCACCTTTGGCCAGTTTCTTGCGTCATCCATTGGTGCCGGCTTCGCACAAGTCGGAGGCGCCAACTCACAAGCCTGGAGAGCAACAGTTGGCATCGGTGCGGCACCCGCCATCCTCCTTGCCGGTCTTCTGACTCTCTGCCCCGAGTCTCCCCGCCAACTAGTCGCACACGGGGACGTAGACCAAGCCAGTATTGTCCTTACGCGCATCTACCCAACATCGACCGAAGAGCAGCGACGCGCGAAGATCACGAGCATTGAGATGAGCATCAACGAAGCCACACAGACTATGGTGGATGATTCGGTGTTCAAGACTCTGGCCCGTATCTTCACCACAGCATCCACTTTCCGCGCTGTGTTTACAGCATGCACGATCATGGCCATTTCACAACTGTCGGGCTTCAACACACTCATGTACTACTCAGCGACGCTCTTCAAGATTGTAGGCTTCAACAACGCGACCGCTGTCGCCATTACCGTTTCCGCCACGAACTTTATCTTCTCGCTCGTCAACCTTGTCATTGTCGACAAGTTCGGCCGCCGTCGCATTCTCTTGATAACGATTCTGGGCATGAGCGTCTGTCTTGTCATCGCTGCCGTCAGCTTCTCTTACATCCCGATTGATCTCCGCACATTGGCTGTCCAGAGCGAAGAGATTGGCTGGCCAGGTTATGTCCTTATTGCCACGATCATCATCTTCGTTGGCTTCTACTGTAAGTACCCTCACTATGCTGAAGTCTTTTTTGTCTTCTCTTCCGCTATCACTAGACCAGTGCTAACTTCAATCAGCTAGTGGTGTGGCTACCGTGGCATGGATCGGGACCGAGCTGATTCCTATGGAGGTCAGAGCTGTTGGAACGATGTTGAATACGGTCACATGCTGGAGTACCAACATCATCATCGCCTCGACCTTCCTTTCCATGATGAAAGGCATCACGCCATCAGGGGCCTTCGGCTTCTACGCAGGCATCTGCTTCGTCGGCTGGCTATTCGTTATCTTCTGCTTCCCTGAAGTCAAGGGGATGCCACTTGAGGCCATCCGCGAAGTGTTCGAACACGGATTTGGCGTCAGATATGCGAGGAAATGGCAGAAAGAGAACAGGGAGTTTGCAAAGATTAATGCAGGCAATTCACAAGCCTTTGGTCACTAATCAGAGGTTTTCATGTATGGATGACATGAGCCTGGCGAGTAGGTTCTTTTCATGTGGATATCTTAGTTGCGCTTGATATGTCGCTTCTCGCGACGCGACGAATACATTGCTTTACTTCAACTTGCACAGGTCCCAAGCACACATACGGCATGCATGCGGTGAAGTGATGAGATAATATTTCGGTGTTGGTGTCAAGTCCCCTAACCAAGTACCACGGTTCCAACACCGGATCCCCCAGCCCGTAGCCCTACCAACCGGACCCCTTACCAGGCCAGCAGATCAACAAGACATGCAAAATACTTCTCCTTCCTACCCCTCCAGCCACCTCCGTCTAAACGCACAAGCAAAGTCCTCACGATGCGCAAAGCAAGCCTCATCGCCATCCTCGCAACCGCCATCACCAGCGTAACAGCCATCGACAAAATCGGCCGCTCATCAGATAAATGCTTCGCCTACGCCGTCACCGATGAGGCCTGGACAGAAAACAACATGAGAAGACGGCGGGTCGTTTACGATACCACGAAGAGCATTCTGCATTACGATCAGACCATGTATAGCATTGGGTGGATGTGGTCTAACGAAAAGGAAGGTGTGTATTCTACCATATCCTATCGTTTGGAGATCGGCTACTGACTGTTGGCATTAATAGCGTGCAAAGCTCGTACGGTAGATACCGTCGTGTACTACAACGGCATCGTCGTTCCGGCAGGCGCATACGTTATCGACAGCAGCGAGATACTGAGTGAAGATGGGGATCGCGCGCATCAGTGTCTTTTGGATGTGTTCAGGACTACTTTGGGAAACAACCTGAACTGCACGGTATGATTTGGGTGTGGACTTCAGGTAGTGAGGAGGAAGGGATCGGCGTTGCATTTAGGGGCCTGGGGATTTGGAGTTGCATTTGCACACTATTGAACGCGGAGGTGCATTTTGGATGGGACGTGTTGCGCTTCGAAATAGAAGGACAAGCTTCTTCCTACGCTTCCCACCTCTTCGTGTTATCTCCACTCTTCACCTGCAAGTAATTCCCAGCAATCGGGGCTTTGAGCCCAGCATCCACAATGAACTTTGGCCAGTCAATGCCGAACCGGCTGCTAACAGCCTGTTGATGCGCAGCCGGGACCGCGAAGTTTGCCGGCTGCTCATGCAGCAAGAATACGTAACGATGAGTGGGAGGCGCGCCAGCGGGTGGCGCAGGACCAAAGTACGACGAAGGCGTTGTGGCTGTCGTAGTGAGGACCGATGTGCCGTTCTGCTTGGTGCCGGAGGGCGTGTAATCCTGCAGAAGGGCATGCAGGACGGTTGACGCACGGCCGTTTTGGGTGACATCGATGTCTGAGCAGTGTCAGTGTGATGCGTTTTTGATAATGAGAAGGGGAAATACCGATCATTGCAAGCAGGTACTTTCCGCTGAGCGTTGTGTTGGTGAGACCAATGACAGGGGCCTTTGCCGTTGCTGTTTTACATCAGTATGGCACATCCTTCTTTGCACCTCGGGTTCGTACTTGATTTTTTAACGATGAGACCGGGACTGATGTACTGTGTCCCGTAGTAGACATCCAGCGTTGCATTGGTGGCAGGAGTGAAGCCCGAGGGCGTGGTCTGCGCGATGGCCGATGCAGCGAGAACCAACGAAGATGCAATTGTCGTGAACTTCATTTTGACACGTTTTGAGTAGGAGTGATAGATATCAGCGTCTCAGAAGATGGTGATTTTCTGAGAGCAGTCGACGAACAACATCATAAAGGCCCCACTGCGACATGGTGTGGTCTGGCCCCTCTACTACTGCCATGCTATCGACATGTGGGTTTTCTGCAACATGTTGAGTACAGGCCAAGAGAAATTTAGAAAGGCAGGATGTTTATAGATGAGGCTTGAATCTAAGCGAAGCTGATATGTTGCAGGCTGAAGGGGCCTTCATTCCGACCCCTGTCGCCCCCGCAAACTATACATACGTGTTATCGGCACTTGACTTGAGTGTCTTTCTATCCGTCGCAAGCAATTTTCCAGTGCTGAATCTTGGGATGAAGTCCTTCCTCGCTCTTGCTATAGGCTTGTCTGACATGGCTTTGGCGTGCTCACATGATAGACGAGCCCAACTTGATGTCCCAGCTTCGGGTACCCAATTATATCAGCTGCGGTCCTCATCGTACGTCTAGTCCTTTGAAATCTTCTATATTGGGTCGCTGATTATCGGACACAGCGACGATCCGTCCCTGGACAGCCAATGGGTATCTCTGCCAGTCAGTTCTTTGGACATACGCACCTACGTGCTCGGCGACAGCCAGGATGCAGCTAGCAGCTTCTATCTCGTGAAGTACAATGCAACGAACACGTGGGAGCTTCATGCGGCCGAGGATGGGGATCGACAGGTGGTGTTGCATAGTCGAAATCAGTCTAGCGAACTCCTATACATGAGCGATGTACTGCGTCCGGGTTCGACCGACGTGCTTGAGGGAGAGTTGGCGGAGTGGGGGGTCTTCATCTTGGATAACAATGTCCTTGATGTTAGAGATGGGAGTGCGCTGACGGAAAGGTCTTTCGTAGCTGTGCACCCGGAAGCTGAAGGTGGTGTGTATGAGATTGCGTTGTATGATGGTAAGTGCTATCCTTCGAGCGGCCGGGCTTTGATGATGACACGGTTCAGGACAAGGTACTGCTTCCTCGAGGACGCTGACCAATATCGCATTGGGATTTGTGAGGCTTCCGAGGACTTGAAATCGTACATGGCAAACTCAAGTAATGTGACATCGTCAAGGTAGCAAGTGGTTCTGGCTGTTGGGGTTGTTTGTCTGTGCGGCTATCGATAGCGACTTCCCAAAAATCCAACTCCAATCTTGGCATCCCACCAACGCCGCTCCCATTGTCGACAATCCACCAGCCCCGCCCCTGCGCCCGCCGCCTACACACTGCCCCGATACCAGTCTCTACTATTCTCACCATGCCGGGCGCCAAGACCACGCTGCTCATCGAGGGCACCTTCGAGGAGCTTACCGACGAGTTCGCACAATACATCGACAGCCTCAAAAAATCCCAGGGCGATGAGAGCGCCAACCTCCAGGGCGAGAGCGCGGACCTGCTCAAGGAGAACAAGAAGGACGATGTGCTCAAGAAGCTCGTCGTCGGCAGCCAGGCGCTGAACCAGGCGCCCGAGAAGGGTACGGCTCCAGCAATGACTCGAGGGGTCCTTCTGAGGGAGAAAACACCGGGCTAACAATGAGTACGCAGAGTTTATTGCGGCCTACAACCTGCTCATCCACCTCGTAAACCAGTCGCCAAATGTCTCCATCTTCATCCCCAAGATGTGCCAGAACCTGAGCACGCCCATCTCCTCGTCGCCTCTGAACGGTGGTGGTCTTGCGCTCTCCATCCTCAGCACCATCTTCAACACCACCCAGCCAGACAGCGAGACGCGCTACCACGTGCTCCTTGCCATTCTCCGTGTCATTCGCGCCACATCAAACTTCGAGACACTGCGACCACAACTCAAGCAGCTCGACAGCTGGATAGCCGCATGGAAGACCGGGGAGGAGGATTCGCGCAAGCTCTACCTTGCTGTGAGCGACGTCGCATCGGACGCAGGCGAGGAGGAGCAGGCATACACATATCTGCTACGCGCACTCAGGACATTCCCTTCAGAGCAGGCTTCGTCCCCAGAGGCTCGCGAGCTCTCTCTTCGCGCCCTCAAGTCGGCCCTCACACACCCGACCCACTTCGATTTCCAAGATCTCACCGATCTCGACTCGATCCAGGCCCTCCGTAACTCCGACCCCATATACTTCCAGCTCCTTGAAATCTTCAACTCCGATCTCCTGGATGACTACAACGACTTCAAGGACGAGCACGATGGCTGGGTTGAGGAGTCCGGCCTTGACGCCGGTGCCTTGAACCGCAAGATGCGCCTCCTCACCCTTGCGTCCATGGCTGCTTCAGCGGGTCAAGCCAGGTCGCTACCTTACGAGAGGATCGCAAAGGCACTACAAGTACCATCCGAAGACGTCGAGATGTGGGTCATTGACGTGATCCGCGCTGGTCTTGTCGAGGGCAAGCTCAGCCAGCTCAACCAGACCTTTTTGATCCACCGCTCAACATACCGCGTCTTTGGCGACAACCAGTGGAGAGAGGTAGCTTCAAGGTTAGATTTGTGGCGAAACAGTCTGCAAGGTGTTCTGCTGGTCATCCAGCAGGAGAAGCAGAGGTTCGCGCAGGAGAAGGAGGAGGAAGCAAACAAGGCCGACCAGAAGGCCGATATGGCGTCGCGGTTCGGCGGAAGGGGCGGACAGAGGAAGCAGCAGAGGGCCATTGATGACGATATGGACTAAATGGTTACGTCGTCTTGGTGCGCGTTTCTTTCTTTCAAAAGGGGTCGGCTTGGGACAGATGCATTATGAGGCTTTTCAGGTTCATGAACAGCAGCCCTCGAGCTGCATGATAGACAATGCAATTCAGATATATTGATTCTTGGGCGTCTCCCTATAGACTATGAAGCCTGTGTCTGCACAAAGGTGATGTTGATGGGCTTCACGCCACGCTCCTTGAGCTTCTCCACAACGTCCCGGTAAACCTGGTCAGGCTCCTGCTCTGCGTTGATCTTGACAACCCTATCCTGCGACTCGAATTCATTGACCACGGGCATGCTTGTCTCCACGAATGTCCTGAAGCGCTTCTTGATACTCTCGAGGTTGTCGTCAGCGCGTCCTGATGTCTCGCCGCGGACGAGGAGTCGCTTCTCCATGACAGCCTCGGAGCACTCGAAGAAGATGGTGAACTTGGAAGGGCAGACGGAGCGCTCGAAAGCGTGGGCCTGGTCGAGTTTGCGCGGGAAGCCTATCATGTTAGACAATGGACTGGAAAGTAGCTGCATGGGTCATCATACCATCAATCAGGAACAATTTTCCGTGGTTCTCTCCGCTCTCCATGCTGACCTCCATTGCGTTCTCCAACAGCTGAACGGTAACCTCCATGGGCACAATAGTGCCTTCCTTGATGTACGTCTTGATCATCTCGCCGAACTCGCTGCCCTCGCGGTTCTGCTCTTCGCGCAGCAAATCACCAGCAGAGAGATGCTTGAAGCCATAGTCACTGACGAGCTTCGTACATTGCGTACCCTTTCCGGCACCGGGGCCACCAAGGACGAAAAGGACGGTCACTTCGTCGCTGGACCAGCGGGGAGACTCGCGCGAGCCCGCGGCAGTCTTTTCAATGGCAGGCATCTTTCTAGTGGGGATGTGAAGGCTTCACTTGTCCTTTGCCGCTGGGGGAATGGCCTTGAATAGGTCCTTTGGGCTGGTATCCCTCGCCTTTTCGCTGATCAATTATCGCGTTGAACAAGTATGTGCCTAGTCCCAATATCGCGAGGATGGGCCAGACTTTGAGTGGGGATTTCGAGGGAGGTGTTCGGATGTGTGTCGGAGGCTGCAGAGGTTGAGATAAGAGGTCAGTGTATGCGTCGCATATATTTTGTATCATCTCTACTCACTTCGTTCGGGCCGGTTGGTTCGCCGGGTTGACGGAGGCGAGATGCGTTTATCCTGGAGGAGGAGAAGGCGCGAGCTGCAAGAAATTGAGGCTGGCGAAGGAGGATACGTTGGCGCGAGATTAGCGAAGACATGATGGTTAACATGGCGGTATGCAGCAGGGGCGACTGTCGTGGCTGCCCGCAGTTGCTCTGATCACTAGCCCAAACGCGACTAGCGTCCACGTACGATATCAGGGCCCAGGCACCCAGGCTCCACCTCCAATGTTCCATGGTTCCAATACAGACACAGACCACCACCAGCTCGGTGGCATCTTGATATTTGCTAACAAACATTTCCGGCTAATTCACTAGCACAGCAACACATTGTCTTACAAGCTTCCAAGCTTGTCAGCCCGGCGGTCATGACTGGTACCAGTCTCTTCTCCCGCGCTCACAAGCCGAGAGGGTCTCCGCCCAAGAAGATGCGCGGCTTCCTCGCCTTACCCGGTGAGATCAGAAACCAAATATACGGCTACTACTTCGACTCGGAGCGTCGCTGTGAGATCGCCAGCAAAGGATCCAAATTCACGCAGCGGAAACCACAGACTGTCAAGTTGTCATCAAATGTAATCGCTACAAAGAGCACGACCCCTGCGCCTGATCCTGAGATAAACGCGACTCCTCCTGTCGTGATTCGCTTCTCGAGATCACTTGGCAAATACAACGCTGTTCAGGGCCTGCGAACGAACTGGCCGGGCTCGCTATGTGCGCTAAGTCTTGTTTGCAAGCAAGTTTATGCAGAGACAGCGAAGTTGCTCTACCAAAACACAGTTTTTGTCTTCGACGCGCCAAAGCGGATGACAAACTTCTTCAAATATGCCTCGTCCATCCACTTGGGAAGCATCACCAGGTTGCATCTCCACTACAGCACTTATGGAAATCCAAACAAGACCGTGGACGTGGTTTGGCAAGAGAAGCATCATCAAAGTTGGTAAGTATGGTTGCGATAGTGACGGACTTGGACGTTGTCCGGTATGCTACATGCAGTAGTAACTAACGCCATGTTCACTTTCAGGCAGCGAGTTTGCGATGCCGCCTCGAAGAAGCTTACTGGCTTACGCGAACTTGAAGTCTGTGTAGAGCTTCACCATGGCCCTCGAAAGATCAGCCTGCGCGAGAAATGGATGACACCCCTGCTTCAATTTCGTCGGCTAGCGTCTCCAAAGAAAGCCGCGCGCAGGACCGTGGAGCCATCACCGCTCGATCAGCGACAGCCAGGTCTTCTGATCGTCAAGGTCAAGTTTAAGCATCTTTACGCCAATTATGCGTCGTATGCTGGTCTCCAAGGACTGGACCGGGCAAAAAGGGAGTTGTATCTGCTCTTTGGCCAGGCTATCAGTCTTGCGATTACTGGGGCGACAGAAGAAGCGGCCCTGTCTGGGTTCAGAGAAGCGTATGAGGGGAGGCATGCACAGTATCAACCCTACCTCCCATCCTCTTGGGCGGGTCCATAAGGTTCCCGAAAATATGGCCATACCGGGTGTTGAGAAGGTCGGTCAAAATAAAGTTTGGGAGATTGAACAGATATTCCGAGGGACCTGATGTGGGCACTCTATGTGCCACTTGGTATTGCATTAGAGCATTATGCTCATGCATGTGAAGGCATTAAATATGCTCAGACCATCTTACTCGACATGGATTGATAGTCTTCATTGACATTCACTGAATTCTATGGTCTACGCAATGTCTATCCTCTAAGTGATCGCAAATTTCCACTGCCATGTAGTCCGGCAAAACACGACTCTCAGATCTAACTACAAATCACCCAGCTCAAGCACTCGGGTTCTGCTTAGTAGCCTCATCATCAACTTGCGCCTTATTAGTAGCAATCTCCTCCTCAACCTCAGGCGGGAAGTCACCAGGTACGATACCAAAGACACCAACATCACTACGACCCATACCGCCACCCTTCTTCTCCGTCTCCTCGCTCTCCTTCAACACAAAGAACCCAGGGTTCTTCTTCATCTCCTCGTCGTCGAACTCAAACACACGCCAGTCGGCATTGAAGAACATGCGGTTGCACACACCTGTGCGCAGAAAACCCGAATGCGAGACAACAGCAATGACTTTCTCGGGGCGGGAATAGAGGTCCTTGAGACATCTCTGTCCACGTGCTAGGATAGCCTTTTCGGTGAAAGCGTACGGGTTCTTGGATCCGCCAGTTGTCTTGTCTGGGAACGAAGGGTCTACGACGGAGAAGTCGTACTGAGGGAATTCCTTGGAGATCTCATCGATGGGTGTTCCAGTGTCACACGGCTTGTCTGCGTTTTCTTGCCAGTTCGCGTCGGGGATTACTGCAGTGCATATCAGTATTATCCACATATACATAAAGTGTCTTGCTCAGTGACATTGCTCTTACCCTTGGTGCCTTTCTTGATAAGCCAGTCCAGCCCGATAGTGGCAGTCTGGAGCGTCCGCCTTTGAGCGCTGACAACGATGAGTTCAACTTCATTGCCGATCTTGCTCTCTTTCAGACTCTCATGTAGCTCGCGACATTGCTGCTCGCCCAGCTCAGTAAGTGGAGGGTCCCTGATAGACCAGTCGCTGGTGGCATTGTGTTGTGCCTGAGCGTGGCGAATGAGTATGAGTGTTGGCGGCATGATGATATATTACAATTGGATAAGAAGAGTGTATTTGGATGGTAGGATAGACGCGTGACGTAAGATACTTATGGATGGAATTGTTGAATGGTTTTCAAAATCGGATTGCAGGGTGACGCGCTAGTGGGGCGGATGTACCTGCATGGCGAATCTGGAATCGTCGATGACGCAGTCAACTGTCAATCCAGAATTGGCAGGAGCGACGAAGCAAGCTTGAGAAGCGGGCCGAACAAGAAGATGATAGTGCTAGTGCTTGACTTTCGTAAATGTTGTTCATTGATCGTGAAAGGCAGTGAGAGCCGCTCGTTATGCATATAGACCGTCTACGCGGTGTTATGCAGTCGTCGTCTACTCTTCCATTTTCTCCTCCTCCTCGTCATCATCGTCGTCTCCTTCCAGCGCCTTCTTTGCCAGCTTCTCAGCTTCTTCCCGGATGTCCTTGGGCACTTCCTCGTGCCTGCCCTTGGTAGGACCGTCGAGACTGCTGATCCATGTCATCTCAAGCTCAAACTCCTTGTCTTTGTTGTCATCGTGTGCGACGTAGATGATGCGTGCTGCCTCCTTGACACCCTCCTCTAGTGATAGATTTCCCTCGGAGAGGTTGAGTTTCTCGAGCTCTGACTTAGCGACCTGGCGGCCTTTGCCTGTAGCGGCACCGTAGTAGCCCTGTGCACGTTAGTTGTTGGACAAGTTTAGGTCACCAAGGTCTCCATACCCAGTATAGACCGCTGGGCTCAATCATGTAAAGCGATGGCCCACCATGCTTTGCGCCTTCTTTCTTGCCTCCCGAGCCAACAGTAGGCCCTGAACCAACTTGACCATCTACTGGTAGCTCGGCCTCGGAGTCCCAGCCTGCAAGGATTGCAGTTATACCGAAAGGACGGACACTCGAGTAGAGGGTATACGCTTGGGCATAGCTTCCCATACGGTCGGCGAGAGACGAGGAGGGGATGGGTGCCTTGTAAAGCTGCCGCCATTGGGCTGCCTCGTCGCGGGCGCGGGAGACGAAGTGGCGACCATCGGGGAGGAGACCGGAAGACACAATGCCCATGTTGCGGTCCACAGTTGCTATCCGCTTGTTCGCGCCGGGCTTGAGCAACTTGCTGCTGACGAGCTTCTCCAGAGCGAGTACGACGCCATCCTTGCACTTGATGCCGACCGCTGTGCCACCATTCTCTACTGCCTTAACCGCGTATTCGACCTGGAAGTTTCGACCGTCGGGCGAGAAGACCGAGTTGGACAGATCGTAACCTGTGCCTATTGACGTCTACGCCATGGTTAGATCGACTGGGGTGCTTCAGCTGTTACGGTGGGGTGTTTACCATGGTGGGCGGTGTGGAGACTGAGAAGGGCGCTTTGTTTGTTCCGAGCGATCAAATGGACCGCAGATTCCCGGGAAGCGATTACGGGATTATCAAGGGTTGGCAGTCGTGTGTCTCGGTGTTGATGATTCTAGGCAATGGTGTATCTGCGCAAGCTCCAGGTAGCTCACTAGCGCGCGTGCGTGCCAAGGCCGACACCTAGAGGCATCAACCCGCGTACGTGAGCAGCAACTCGCGAGCAGTGCAACTCTCGATCCTCCTTGCTTCGCCCAGGACTGTTGGTGCGATCCGACTCCTCGTTGCTGGCGCTCTACTGGTGTGTTCGCTGCCTGCTGTCCCGGCTTCTTCCGTCTGGGCCTCCAATTGCCCGCACCTCACATCCAAAAGTGCATACGCCCATACACATTTGATGAGTTGTCGTCCCAAATCGACCACTATTTGCAAGCTCTCAGGACACATCATTGGCTGCCAGCAGACTAGCCGCACAGGTTGGGTTTCAGCTTCGTCACTAATTGGACGTGGGCGACAAAATTATCAGAATCATCCCGCCTACACGCATGACCCCGACAGCACGCTATACTCAACGGTACATAAAGAACCACCATCACGCTGCTGCTAATTTTCTTCCTGCCCCCTCTTCACTGCTGACTTGGTTCAAGTATATTTCAATACCTTTCCGTTTGTTCTTGACTCACAAAGGCACCCTTTGACATCCCCCGCCGATTGTCGTCAGCGCCCAACGCAAGCGCGGACAAGTACGATTCCAAGTTTCCATATACTAGCCAACGGCGAATTCTGAGCTCGAGTCTACAAGGTCTTTCAACGATATAGTCCATCACTGTATGCGCCTTTGTCGACTCCCCGCCTAATACAATACTTGAACCTCCGTTTTCCAGAACTTGCCCCTCATCCGCTTGCTGTTGAGACCCTAGAGGACATGCAGCCCATGCTCCTGCACCACTGCGACTGCACTCACGACACGCCCATCTCATTCAGTCCTTACGCCTTTTCTCAGAACATTTCTTGCGCAAACGTAAGCTCGTTCGTCTTCGGCGCTGGTAAACACTAACGTTACGTCATAGTGCGGCACAATATCTACGGGCATCAACGTTCAGGGGAAAGCAGCAGAAGACGCAAGCATGCAACAAGATGAACTTACTCGGCTGTTCTCAGCCAACATGAACTTGTCTCAAGGCAACCCACAGCCCATGCAACCACAGATGCAACAGGAGCAAACAGTGCAACAACAGCAACAGCAAGAAGAAGCTCCCAAGCAGATCGTCTACGCTTCTCAACACTACACTCATTCATATCATGTACCTACTCGCAGTACCTCCGAGCCAGCCTTGAAGACACACATCGAATCTTCGGACCTCGCTGCCGTACTTTTGAGGAACAGTATTGATCCTTCTCTTCTGTTCCCTTCCCAGATCGATCTCTTCCAGAATGCAGACGACGATCAGCGGCTACGTCTCCTCGAGCTCTGGCGCATATCACCTCCATCAGGTCGTCAAGGACACCCAGCGGGCGTAGACTACAACATGTCCCGACAGCTTTACGACTGGCCACCCACCAGTCTCGCACAGGAGGAAGCCATGGCTAAGTTGAGATACGAGAGACAACAAGAGGAGTCCGCCCAGCAAGAGGCTATCCAGCAGCACCAGCAGCAGTTGGATCAGAGCATGGCAGCAGCAAGCGCTGAACCATACATGGCATCAGGCTACGAGATGATGGCTAGGCGCGAGTATGAAGAATCATGCAGAGGCGAGGCTGCGTTGAAGGAGTCGGCCAAGTACAACCAGGCCACCGATCCAGTCTACAACAACACTGGCGGCAACGGCCTCTGGCAGAAGAATGTGGGCAGCGTAGCTGACATGGAGAATACTTACGGAGCATACGCATATGCACGGGAGTATGGGCTGCAGGGTGGTTATGGCGACGAGGAGATGGTCATGTGAAGCGTCCTCTCTTTATGCCGGGCCTCGAGGATAGCTCAGGATGGATTGTTATGCGTGTGCATGCATATGTGCATATCGAATTTCCTATATTATACCCAGAACTATTGTACACACGAACAGTAACGTGGGAGGTCTGCCAAGGATGAGATAGTTCAGTCAGTAGGATACCCAGACATCACTACGTTGTGATACACCAATCGAGCCATGTTTAGACCTCGTTACATGGATGAAGAGAACAGTGTCCATGATATTGTACATTTGAGCGGGATACTCTATTTCTTCGCCTTTCCACTGGGCCACTTCTTCCAACCTCTTCCGTGTCCCTTCTGCTTCCATTCCTGGATCAAAGCCGGCATGTTCAGCATGGCCTGTCTCCTCATCTCCAAGCGTCCTTTCAGTGTTCGCTCCCAAAGCTTTCCCTTGACCTTCTGTCCCTCGCCTGTACCCTTGACTTGCAATCCTCTTTCTACCCGCCGCCTTTCCTTCTCGCCAGGCTTCTTCACAGTCCATGGCAGTAGGTCGACGACACCATGCTCCGAGGCAAGCTTAACAAGATCGGCTTGTTTCCGTAGACCATACGCGGGGGAGTGCCACCGTCCGGTTGCGAAGTTCTTGTGTGGAAGGAATGGATTTGGGTAGGGCAGGTCGTGTGCTTCTGGTGGTATGTTTGAATTTGAGGGCGCATTTGCGGGTCTTGCGATGGCCTCTGGCGCGGATGTCTCGGTCACGGAGGCATTGGGATTGGTTGGTGGGGTTGTCGATATTGTGCTCGGGGTTGCGTGCGAAGTCGGTGATGCAAGTTGAGATGAGAGACTGGGGAAGAGCGATGGTGGCGGGTACTTTTGGAAGAAGCGCAGTAAGCGCGGGGGCAGCGACTTTGCGATTTCGACAGACGTTTGGGCGCTCATGGTGGGTATTTTGTGCGTTGCGACCGATATGGACGTGTCGGTTGGTGCATCTCAAAAGTTCGGTGCCAAGAAGGCGGTTTCGAGCTAGGTACGAGTGTCCAGGGCGGCCCGGGGAGCTCGCGCCTCCGCGTAACACTGTGAGCTGCCTGCCCAGCTGAGTACACCACAAGCACCCACAACACCACCGTTTCCCACATACACCGCAGAGCTCTACGTCCTCGTCTGTTACTGTAGTTGCCAATCGAGGGTCATTCCGCATCACACACACAGCCATGGTAAGCTGCCCGCAGTCAACTTGGAGTCCATAGCTAATCGCAACAGTCGTCACCATTCTCAATAAGTACGCCTCCACCGACACCACCCCGCATGCTCTTCTAATAACTTGAATAGACGGTGGCGCCTGCGTGGCCATGGTGGGTAAGGACTGCGTGGCCATCGCATGCGACCTGCGTCTCGGCATGCAAGCCCTCACCGTGTCCAACAACTTTCCCAAGATCTTCCAGTACGGCGACGTCTTCCTAGGTCTGACCGGCCTCGCCACCGACGTATCCACCGTATCAGACCTGTTCCGCTACAAGGTCAACATGTACCGCCTCCGCGAAGAGCGCAACATCAGCCCCCAGACCATGGCGAACCTCGTCAGCTCAAGTTTGTACGAGAAGCGCTTCGGACCCTACTTCATCAGTCCCGTAATCGCCGGTATCAACCAGACAAGCGGGAAGCCCTTCATCTGCGGCTTCGACAGTATTGGGTGCATCGACTTTGCGAAGGATTTCATTGTTAGCGGAACAGCCAGCGATCAGCTGTTCGGTACATGTGAGGGACTGTGGGAGCCTGATCTAGTGGGTTGTATCAGTACGTGGTATCGGGCTAGGCTAACATCATAACAGGGCCCCGAGGACCTCTTCGAGACAATCTCACAGGCGCTGCTCAACGCTGTCGACCGAGACGCACTTTCAGGCTGGGGCGCACACGTATACATTATTGAGAAGGACAAGGTCACAAAGCGGTTACTCAAGGGCAGGCAGGACTGAGGTGGTGTATGGCACGTGGTGGCATACAACCATGTTTATGAGCTATGAGGAATGCTACAGAGTGCTGGGGGTCTGCCTCCAGGCTGTGACAGGATAATGGGAACGACCAAACTATCTTATGATACGTACGCGGAAGCACCCCAAATACGCCAATCTGAATAGTAGACGGCTAGACTTGGCCTCTAAATCAAAGTATGTCCAAGTCCACATATAATAATCCATGGTACAGCTCCTTCCTCGGGCTTGGAAGCCCGAAGGTAACAGTACCCAGCATCGGACTATCGGTTGGACTGGCTCTACCCCTGCGTATCAAGGTCTACCTATTGTGTGTGACACTATTCCAAGGTGGTTCCCTAGATGATACCTGGGAACCACATCATGCAGTGGGGCCAGGGTACTATCGATAGCAGCCACGCACGTGATCTGGTGTTGCCTTAGCGTACATGCACCTTATAGTTCGCGCGAATCCTCCTCCGCAAGTCCACGAACCGTGACCCCCGCGAAACGAAGATGACTGCCGCCGTTCCGCCCCCAGCTGCTCGCAAGCAGCCACCGAGTATCGACGACATCCTCAAGGCCAAGCGCGAGAAAGAAGCGGCTGCCGCAAAGCCAAAGTTCATACCGAAGGCCGAGAGAGAGCGCATCGCGCTTGAGAAGCGCCAGAAAGAAGTTGAAGAGGCGCAAAAAAGGCGAGAGGCTTCCAACGGAGACAGCGACGCATGGAGACATTCGCAAGACAACAACCGCACAAATGGCCACAACAGCCACAACGGCTCGTCCTCATTCGTACCCACAGGGCCGCGCTCGATGCGCGATGCGCCGACTGGACCATCGTCCATGCGAAACGATCGCAGAAATGGAGACATGGCGCCTCCTCCACCGCCGGACAAGAAGGGCAGCAAGCGCCCTGCTGACGACACCGAGGCGGCCTTGATAAGGCAAAGATACATGGGCGCGGAACAAAATCAGTCGACGTTCTCGGCCAAGAAAAAGCGCAAGAGGACGACGGAAAAGAAGTTCAACTTCGAGTGGAACGAGGAGGAGGACACGAGCCACGATTACAATCCCATCTACCAGCAAAAAGCTGAAGCAAGCTTCTTTGGGCGCGGCCGACTAGGCGGCTTCTCTGAGGAAGTCACCAGCGCAGCGACAAAGAAGATGATCGATGCGATTATCGAGCGAGACCCGGAACATGGCAGAGAACGAGCTGAGCAGCTACTTGAAATGGAGCGACGGCGAAAAGACAGGGGCGGTCGCGCACAGTTGGACATGCACTGGAGCAAGAAGAAGCTGGAGAACATGCGAGAGCGCGACTGGCGCATCTTCAAGGAGGACTTCAGCATTGCTACCAAAGGAGGCGCAATACCGAACCCTATGCGCAACTGGGGTGAGTCGGGGCTTCCGGAGAAGCTCTTGCGCATCGTGGACGAGGTTGGCTACTTTGAGCCCTCACCTATTCAACGTGCGGCTATACCTATTGCTCTGCAGTGTCGCGACCTGATCGGAGTCGCTGCAACGGGTTCGGGTAAAACCGCCTCCTTCGTCCTGCCACTGCTTGCCTACATCTCACAACTGCCTCCTCTCGACGCGTTCAACCGACACGATGGCCCGTATGCCCTCGTCCTCGCACCAACTCGCGAACTTGCTCAGCAGATCGAAGTGGAGACTCGCAAGTTCGCATTACCACTAGGTTTCAAGACGGCTGTCCTCATCGGTGGCCACTCCATCGAGGAACAGTCGTTCCAGATGCGTGACGGAGCCGAGATTATCATTGCCACGCCCGGTCGTCTGGTTGACTGCATTGAGCGTCGAGTCCTTGTTCTTAGCCAATGCACTTATGTCATCATGGACGAAGCTGACAGGATGATTGACATGGGTTTCGAAGAGCCCGTTAATAAGATTCTCGACGCTCTACCTGTCAACAACGAGAAGCCTGATAGCGAAATTGCCGAAGACCCCACTGCCATGAAAGCAGGAATGTACCGTCAAACCATGATGTACACAGCTACTATGCCGCCAGCTGTAGAAAGAATCGCGAAGAAGTATACACGTCGTCCTGCCATCGTTACGATTGGTAACCAGGGCGAGGCTTCCGACACTGTCGAGCAGCGCGTCGAATTCGTCCAGGGAGAGGAGAAGCGGAAGAGGCGTCTCCAAGAAATCTTGAATACTCGCGAATTCGCCCCACCGATCATCGTCTTTGTCAACATCAAAAAGAATTGCGATGCGATCGCTCGCGACATCAAACATATGGGCTTCGCATCGGCTACAATCCACGGTGGAAAGACCCAGGATCAGCGTGAGGCTGCTCTGGCATCCCTCAAGAATGGGCAGATCCAGGTGCTCGTCGCCACAGACGTGCTCGGTCGTGGTATTGACATTCCAGATGTTTCCCTGGTTGTCAACTTCAACATGCCGCCTAGTATCGAAACGTATACGCATCGTATTGGTCGTACTGGTCGTTTGGGAGCGGACTCTGACAAGCCTGGTGTTGCAATCACTTTCTGGGGTAATGAAGATGCGGATGTGCTATACGATCTCAAGCAGATCCTCATGAAGAGTGAGATAAGTAAGGTACCTGAAGACCTGAAGAAGCACGAGTCGGCGCAGCAAAAGGGCAAGAAGAGCATGGGCAAAAACATCACTTAATGAGTTGTAGGACCAGCATGCATGAGGCTGGAAATAGAGAAGTAGTTGATTACATAGCTCTCCATTCTTACCACAGAGAGAGCACGGTGCAAGCCGCAATAGGAAGCAATAAAGCACAGTCGTCATAATTTTCCGAGACATGGGCAAACTGCCAACTGCCATGGCAGATGGCCTAATGCGCGACTCGGTAGTGCCGATCTACCCCGGACTGCCTGCACTCCTAAACTGCAACCCGTTAGCAAGTGGAGAAAGGCAGCGTCACTCGGACGCCCCGTCCTGTTGGTTTGCAATGCAAGCCGCGCGTGGTCAATTAGTGCACGCGCACCGTCGACGCTCGTACACGGAAAATCCCCGCCTCGATAGAAATAAGCCCTTACTCGATGTCGCTTCCTACCGGCCCGTTTCTCCTGTCATTTCTGTCGCCCTGCTGTGCGTTACGGTACCCGTCTCCTCTTCGAACTGATGGCGTCGCAATTCTGCCTCTTTGTGCCTGGTTCGTTGTTGCACGGAGGAGCTGCGTTTTGACCAGTTTGAGACGGAAGGCTCGGAATGGCGTCGCTCTCTGTCAACCTTGCTTCTAGCGTCACATCGTCTGTTTTCGCGGCGGAGTCGACACCGGCGCTGGGGACACTCGAGTCCGCTGGCGCTGGAATCACTGGAGGTAAGTTTCTAGCTGTGTCTGAGCAACGCGATTGTCTTGTACTGATGCCTTTGTAGGCTACACCGGCGATTCTCTTCCCCTTAAGATCATCATCGCGTTTCTGCTCGGTCTTTCGCTCTACAACGCTATCGAACTCATTGTTCTCGCTTTCGTCACTTTCCAGCGCTACCATGGGTTGTACTTCTGGTCGCTCGTCATCAGCGCATTCGGCATCATACCATACTCGCTGGGCTTCATCATCAAGTTCTTCCGCTTGTTGGACCCCGCGGCGAATGCTGGATATGTTGGCGTCGTCTTACTCACGCTTGGCTGGTATCCCATGATCACTGGTGAGTTCAGTCAACGCTGGAGGTCCCCAGCATGCGGCTACTAACAACGTCCAGGGCAATCAGTCGTTCTATGGTCGCGTCTCCATCTCGTTACGAACTCGCGCCGAGTCCTTCGCTGGACTCTCTACATGATTATCGTCAATGGCGTACTGCTCCACTCAGTTACGACCGTCTTGACCTTCGGTTCCAATTCGAACTCGCTTTCCGATGCTACGCTGCGTCGCTTCGTCCGCGGATACTCGATAATGGAGAAAGTGCAGATGGTGTGCTTCTTCGTGCAAGAAACCATCCTGTCCATAGTATACATCAAGGAGACGGTACGACTACTGAAACTCTCGGAAACGGTACAAGACGACGTACGCAGTTTCGACGACAGCGCTGGAAACCAATCCCACGGGCACCTCAAGAACACAAACGTTCGAAAGACAATGTACCAGCTCCTCACCATCAACGTACTAATCATTGCCATGGACATCGCCCTGCTCAGCGTCGAATTCGCCAATCTGTACCTCATCGAAACCACCCTGAAAGGCGTCGTATACTCCATCAAACTCAAACTCGAATTCGCCGTCCTGGGAAAACTCATCCAACTCGTGCGCGTCCGAGCCGAATCCGATCAGAGCATGAACAACGCCTACGCACGCGGTAGCAGCTTCGAACGCCGGAATACCCTGACACTGGAAAAGACACAAAGTGGTACAGCGAGTGTAGGCGCATCGGCGAGACTCAACGGCAGCCTGCTCACGCACGATTTCGGCGGATCGCAATATCCCGACTTTGTGGATCCCCGACGCATCAGCCCGAACGTTACGCATGCGGAACCGGCGAATGGCGAGACTGGCTGGGAGACGCGAGGGCAGCAGGAAGATCAGGATAAGTGGAGGAGGCGGGTTAGAGTCAAGCGGGGCAGCTGGATCGATGAAGAGATGGACAAGCATAATATTGGGTGATGTGGCAGTGAATACCTGACGGGTTGACATGCGGATCTCGACTCGCGTACGAACAGTACTCTGCCCGTTTCGTCACGGGACAAGTGAACTTCGCGCCGTTATGCCGTATGCCCAGACATGGGTAGGACAACACTACGAGATCTCCGCCGTTTCATCGATGTCGAAGTGGAAGACTTGCAGCGTTCACAACACGAGACTATCCTTATAGATCCTCAGTCCTTAGTCCGACGATCTCTCAACAGATCCGATACATATCGACGTCTTACTCAGCAACCTTCATGCTATGTATCACAGCCTGTTCGCATCATGCCCGAACGTCGGAAAACTGCCTCCAACATAGTTGCGGATGACAATACTGCAAGCTCCGCATAATGGCACCTGCATAACGGAACATTCGAAGGGGACGTCCTGATACACTAGCTGGACGCAAAGCGAGGCGATGGAAGCAGATCTCCACGACGCCTGTTATCAGAGTCTGGAAACGATGGCAATTGGAATGGGAATCCTATGTAGGGGTCATCAAAATCTGTGTGTACACGCTCTATCCAGGACTGAGCTTGAGTTTCAAGCGTCGTGCTTGGAAGGCACACCACGTAGATTTAGCGTAATTCATATGTACTATCCAGTAGATAGAATCTCCATCGTATATACAAACAACAAATAACATGTTCTAATTACCTTGACAGTTACGCAGTTTCTCTTTTAGAATAGATGATAGCAACAACCTAAGACAAAGCACCTTCCTCGTAAGTTGAAAGTCTCGCGTGAGTGAGGTCTCTTCCTTACCCAAATGCTACCTGCTTTCCCTTTTTGGATATTACATCTTCCACTTCGTACCATGGACCTTGTCAGCTAGAAAAACCTAACGAGAGCTGAATATCTCAGGCCATCTAGATGTATAGGCTACAAACCACATCTTCTGACATTCTCGACACGGGCGTTCAAGGTCCCAGGTTGTGCGATAGTATCAAAAGTTAAGGTTCCAAAAGGCTTCGAAGTCGGCGCTGGCTGTTCGTCGGAATGGTATCGCCGTACAGTTGAAAATTTTGCTTGTTTACGAACAAGGTATGACGCAGCGACTTTGGGGAGTCCGAGAAAATAGGATTCGCAAAGATACTCTTCCTACTTGGCTGTTCTACTATAGTTCTATGCAGTAATATTCTTTAGGCATTCCTTGATCTAAGTGAGATAGGGTATTAATTTGACAAACATGATGATGTCGATGTATGCGGGCACAACACCGAATAGGAACGCTGTTTACAAAATCTTAATACAGGCGTAATGTGATGGCTACACACCTCGTGGTAACCGGTTTCAGTACCTAAATATGCTTGACTTTATACCGACAGACTTTGACTTTACGTGTTTTCTTTCGTTATGCAAAACACCAAAGCATGAGATGTGGCACTTGAATAGCTGAAGACCTTAGAAGCTGGTCTCAAAAAGACAAGACTGCATTACTAGTACACTAGAGAACGTTGTTGACAACGAAAGAATGCGCCTTTGACTTAGACTAGGGCCTGTTCTTGGTTCGAGCTGGTCATTGAGATGGTACTCCTGAGCTTCGCGCCTTGGTCCACTTTGTTGCTGCACATTACCGCGACGACGGGTGTACACAGGTATGAGCATGAATGAAGAACATAGTCAAGCGGCACCAACTCCAGCGGATCGTCAGGATGCGGGTTCTATACCCACCTACAGAAGATGATCAATTGAAATCACGTAGAAGTCTACATTGCGGGAAGATTTTGCAGTTGGTGCGTTGAACACCCACGTAGCCTCCAGGGCACCCACATAGCCTTCAGGGCACGTGTTCAGTTTGTGCATTGAATGAGATGCTTCAACTTCAAGTGCGAAAGATAGCTAGGCAACAAACCATCACAAAGTTGCTCAGCCTGCTTCGTACCGTGGCTGAGCGTGGTCGAATGTGTAGCCGAGCGAACAGTGCAGCCAATATTAGGGGAAAAGGACGCACACACCTGGTTGACTCAGAGGGGTTTGAGAGTAACATGTGATTGGAAAATGGCAGAGTGTAGATACTTCTTGGTATGGATACTATTGCTAATGGACAAGAGAATGATCGAATCACAAATCGGGTGTTGCTATGTACCTACGCGAGTGCGCGTCCCACATCACCTGGGCAACCTAATAAGAAAAGATATCCTGAAGCCTAGGTTAACGTTAGTCACCTACTTTGCAGGTTTCTGTCTTGATGTAGTCTGCAAACATACAGATTATGCGCTACCTATACAAATGCGCGTCCCCTGTTAACCTGCCCAACGTCGAAGTTAGTCATCCACTTTGCGCGTTCTTGTCTTAATGTATTCCGCACAACCTAAGAACAACTGAAAACCCTGAAGCCTACGTTGACGTTAGTCACCCACTTTGCGGGTTTTTGTCTTGGTGTAGTCCGCAGACGTTTTCGTGTATGAGGTTGTCCCATGGGTGAGGTAGCGCCGGAGACTAACGCCGATCATGGCTGAGACCCGCAGCTGTGGTCCCCCTCACCTGCGTGGCCCTATAGGAATATTCCCGTTTCAATCCTACTCGATGACTACCTAGGTACATGAGGCTTTTTCGCATTGATTTGTCATTAATGAAGGCGATTTGATGACCGTTTGCAAGGGTAATGTCTCGATACTGAACCATGGTTGTAGTGGTGAGTCTGTAGGTAGCGTTGGCCCGTGGCGCACTTCCGCATCGCCTAAATCTTGGGAGAGTATATAGCTTGTGCACGCCCGTCCGTTAATCTTACCCATAACATCTCTCACCCACATCCAATCAACACCAAGACACCAACATCACAACGCCAAAATGTCTTACAATAATTACACCAGGACTAGCACTGGCCGCCCAGAGCCAATTCAGCAACAGCAGACCATGGCGAAGCCCACCAGGAAATACGACTTGGTTGTTGAACAACAACCGATCCGAGCCCGCATGTGCGGCTTTGGTGACAAGGATCGAAGGCCGATCACACCCCCGCCCTGCGTCCGCTTGGTCGTCTACGACACCCACACGGGACAAGAGGTCCCCTTCAACGACATCGATAGCACGTACTTCGTGCTCATGGTCGACCTCTACGACGCGCAGGGAGTCAATGCCGTCAACCTGGTGAGACACAGTAGCGCGGCGCCGACCGTGTCGATATCAAGTAGCACCACCACTTCATACCCTCCGCCGCCCGAGCGAACACACCACATGTTCACAGCCCAAGTTCAGTACGACTCCCGCGGTGGCATGCCGCAGCAGCACATGGTCCAATACGGCGGAAACCCCGTGCCAGGGCCCCAGGGATACTGGCAGGCCCAACCACCGGGCTACCCCATGCCGCAAAACATGTACGGGCAGCCCCCGGTGCAAATGACAAACACGATGATTCCCGCAACACCCATGGGGTCAAACCACACCCGCAATCTCATCGGCATGAACGCTGTCAATGCATGCCGCCTCCAAGATCTCGACCAAAAACCCGGCTTTTGGTTCGTACTACAGGATCTGAGCGTGCGCACCGAGGGCACATTCCGGCTGAAGCTCAGCCTTTTCGACATTGGCTCCAACGATGGCACCAACGGCACCATTCACATGAACGACGGCAGCAAAGGTAAAGGCCCATGCCTTGTCTCCAACTTCACCGAGCCCTTCACTGTCTACTCAGCCAAGAAGTTCCCCGGTGTCATTGAGAGCACCAAGCTCAGCAAGTGCTTTGCGCAGCAGGGTATCAAGATTCCCATTCGCAAAGATGGCCCCAAGGTGCCTAACCAGGCTGAGTTTGATGAGGATGCGTGAGAGCTGGTCAGAGGCATACGCGTTGACGGTATGGTCGTTGGCAGGTTACGGATTATGGATGCATGTTTTTGGGTTGGCGTTTTGGAATTTTGGCGTTGTTGGGGTTTTCTATCAATACGTTGTGGGCGGTTTTCTGTAGGAATCGCAAATGGACAAATCACTAGTTTACACGTTCTCGTTACTACTGCTGATGTAAATGTTCTGTCAGATGAAGTGATGTATAATGCACCCTGAAGGTATACACGGTGTTCTCGGATGACGATACACAGCCTACAACACATTGATACCTCCAGGCCATGTCATCAGTGAACCCACCTTATGCAAGGAAGAAAGTCAACAGGCGCAATGAAGCCTACATCACTCCAACAACGGACAAAGACGAATCACCGAGGCAATGTAGACATGTAGATGATTTATTTATAACAGGAGTTCAACATTATGCCCACTAACCCCACTGGAAGAGTGTCTGCTTCTTGCCCTTGTTACCCTTCTTCTTCCCTGCCGCTCCTGCATCCTCCAAAGCCGGTGTTGATGTACCGCTGTTCGTGCCGGATGGGCCAGCCCAAGGGTTACTCACTGGAGTGTTGCGTCCGCTGTTATCGCGTCGTAGACCGTGACCAGTGTAGCCGGGGCTGAAGATTGTGCTGGTGGGTTTGGCTGCTGCGGGGAGAGCTGGAAAGGCGTCTGCGGCAGCAGGCTTCTTGTTTACGTTTGTTGATGATGCGACTCGCGATGGCATGGGCGAGGGGCGCGCGCTCGTTGCGGCAGATGAGGAGGCCCATGGCGTTTGGCCGGGCTTCGCACCGACACGACCCGAAGGTGCTGGCAAAGCTGGGAACGGGTTGCTCGACGATGCGTTCGACCAACTGGCTTGCTGGTTGGCTGTCGATCGAGACGATTGCGCTGTTGAGCTCTTCAGCTTCAGTACCCGTGAACCTCCTCGCGCAGTCGATCCGCCGTTCAAGCCTGTCGCAGAGCCAGGTAATGATGGATAGTCCTCGTTGATAGCCTTCCAATCATTCCAAGCCTTCAATAGAGCTTCACGCTTCCCTGGCATCTCAAAGATGTCTGCCAATTCTTTGATCAGCTTCCCCATCTCCTTCGAGTTGGCGTCGAATAGCGCAAAGAACCCGTCGATGAGCTGTGCCGCGGATACCTTGGAGTTGCGATAAGCCGATACCGCGGCTCTGAACTCTTGCAGTTTGATTTCACTACCTCGAAGCATGTTTGTGGCCCGTTCTGTGACTGCGTTGTGACGCAACAGTCTAGCCTGGTCCTGGGGTGTCTGTGGAACTGGGTTGGGTGGTTGTGTGTCCATGCTTAGTTGAGCAACGCCATTCGTGATGTTGTTGGCAGCCGCTGGGGTTGGGCGCGACGCAGTGACGGTAGGAGGCTCTGAGGCGCTTGGAGGAGGTCTAGCAGCGAACGCCTCGCCTGGAGTTGGTGCAGAGAGCTGGCCCCCAAAAGTTCTTCCCGTTACTGAATGAGTGTTTTGAGCCTCTCTCTGCCGCTGGTAAGCAAGCTCTGCTCTGCTCAAGGGCTGCGCAGACGACGCAGGCACTGGCTCAGCGTTCGGATCCCGTCCGCGTCCACGGCCTCTGCCGCCCTCGCGTCTGCGCTCGTCTCGCCTGTTGTTGCCCTGACCTTGCTCGTGAGGCGCCCTGATTTGGAAGCCAGACATGTCGACTCTCCGGGCATCCCGTAAAGCGTCCTTGGAAAGACCGTTGGGATGCACCTCCAACTGGTGCGCCTTGAGGTCCATCTCAGAATCGAACACGACGAACTTCTTCTCTAGACACTCTCGGTCTGGGCAGAGGAAATGGTCTTTCCGAAAGTGCACCTCGAGCGAATCGTAGTTGACGTAGTATTGTTGTTTCCTGCTTCCTCCCTCCCGGCGGTCGCAAATGTGGCAGCGCTCGTGCTTGTCTCTGCAATGGGTGTATAGTTCGTCGTCGCCGTAGAAACGCTGGTTGCAGAAACCGCACTCCGGGTGCCCTTTGAATCCGCTTTGATCTATTGCTCCAGGATTATCGTCGCCGAACTTCTGGTGCCGTCGTAGCTCGGCCATCGTGAATAGGACGTGCTCGTGGGTAAAGACCTTTTTGTTCCGCGTACAGAGGTCACTTTATAACGTTAGCCAGAATCATTTGTTCAGAACTGCAGAGTACACACCACATGACTTTTCCATGCGCCGTCTTGACATGACGATGCAGGTCCGGCCAACCTAGACAGGCTACATCGCACTCGCCGTCGGGGCAGTTGTATTGTAACAGCAATCGCGCGTCTTCAAACACGCCAGAGTTCTCAAAGTGTATGCCCAAGGTATCGTCGGATTTGAAAAACTCAGCGGTGGAGAAGTCCTCGTAGTTCTTCTCGGCGTCGTCTGTGAGGATAACGTGGTCCGACTCGGTTCGACAATGTGCACAGGCCTTTGTTTTATACAAGGCCCGCATTCGGATGGAACAGATGTGGCATGTGCGGTGGTTGCAAGGAGCGACGGCTGTGTGTTGAACGGGCGAGGCGCAAATGAAGCAGACTTCGGCATCGTCGTCTTCGTTGTCCGATTGCTGAAGGTTGGGCTTGACGAGAGTCGGTGGAGCGTGTCCGCTCTCTTCTGTGTCTATGGCAGGCGCCTTGCCCTTCTCTGGCGCATGTCCACCGCGAGTGCCTGCGCCGTCTCTGTTGCCGCGACCTCGCCCGCGGCTCTGGAAGCCGCCCCGTCCACGGCCTCGCCCTCCGAAGTTCTCGTGGCCATCTTCTCCACCGTGTGCACCTCTGCCGCGCCCACGCCCTCTTCCCCCTCTCCGTTGCGGGCTTGCAGGAACTTGCGGGGTTTCCGGGGCGCCTGTCGAGGCCATCGCGGGGTATTGTTGCGGGTCTAGGGGGTCAGTATAGAGGATTGTCGGTATGGATGATTCCAGACAGTTGTGCGAAAATGAATGGTCAGGCAGAGGCAGGCGGGCGAGGCCTCTTTGTACGGTAGGCCTTTGTTGGTAGTTTGGCGAAAGCTACTTGCGATGACGCCCTTCACAAGCGAAAGCTGTTAGCCCTGGAGATGGTCCATGCTCAAACATGACTCAAGCACTGCCAGACCGAACATGGCGCAGCAGTCGCTCGAATGAGTCGAAATGATTCTACACTATATTGTCTGTATGGCCGTAGTTATGCCTTACCGCTATACCTACACAGACACGTTGTAGCCTTCTCGATGGCTACTCCGAAAACACACTCCATAGACTTCCCGAGTTTCACAATTCACGTAAGCCCAGTTCCTCCTCATCAAACTCATCCTGGTAGAAGGACCTCAGTGTCTGCAGATAATCGTCCCCTCCGCTGCCACCATACATAATCTGCTTGAGCCAGCCCTGCATGGCGTAGATCTGATCGGTAAACTTCTCAGCGTCAAGATGAGCCTGCTGAGTTTCGGCGGCTTTCTTCTCCATATCGACGGGGTCTTGCTCGCTGTACGCGGCTAGCTCAGTCCTGAGCTTCTCGAGGTCTCTGGTGAGGTCGGCATGCTTCGTAATCAGTGTCTTGCGGTCGCCACCTGCGAGTGATGAGCATAAGTGCAACACACGGTACATTGGTATTACCTGTCTCCATGAGCATCTCCTCGTCATCAGCGCGAGCTGCACCTGCATCATCCACCTTCGCCTGAAGTTCAGCTACAGTAGCGGTGGCCTTGTCGAACTCCTCTTGGGCCTTCTTGAGAGCAGCATCTTTGGCTTTCTTTTCGTCGGCTGGGAAGCTCCAGTACCAGTTGCCGCTACCAATCTTCTCGACACGGATCTTGTTGTCGTCTGAGAGTGCTTGGAGGTAGTCCTTGACCTGCATGCCGTTGATAGAAGAGACTTGTGGCAGCGTCTTCTCGAGGTCCTTGATGCTATGAGCCTGTGCCGTCTTATGGAACCAGGCAAGAATGGATGCCGCCTTCTGCGGGTTGGGCTGAGTTTTGGGTGCCTGCTAGTGTTAGTGAGTGCTTGAGTGGGAATCATGTCTGAACTGACCATTTTCGCCCGACTAAGAAGACAAATGCTCTTGCAGCGGGAATGAAATAGCAAGAAAGAACGAGAAGCGATGACCGCGATGATCGTGTTAAGACTAAAGTCGCGAGATTTGAGCGGGCTTTTGATCGCGTCTTCCGCTTGCAGGAAGGCACGCTAGGTCCCCGGTTGTGGTAGGAGGCAGGCACGACCTCAGTCCAGCTAGAACCTCGATCGCATCGACGCTATTGGCACTCATCTACGACACCCGGTAATATCCTTTCTACAGTAGAACTTGAACATTACGGCGTGAAGATCAGAGGTGTGCGTTCAAACGGGCCCACAAGGCGGTGATACACATATGGCATCGTCTTTGACCCATCAAGTCCTCCTTGCGAATCTTTTGGCTCCAGGTCGAAATGAAAACCTTTCACTCCTGAACTTCGCCATTCCACGTATTGTGATACTCAATCCAGATCCTCTTCAAAGTCGTCCGACTCTTCTGAGTCATCAAACGACGACGTCGACGACGACTCATCGGACGAAACCCACGTCACATGCTTCCCTGTCTTCTTTTCAACCGGCCGCTTCTCTTTATCAACACTTGGCTGCTCCTTCTCTTTACCAGTACCCTGTTTCTGCGCACCACTCTTCTTCGCCCTCTTCGCCTTCTTCAGACTCGTGAGAATTTCATGTTCATGTTCCTCAGCGGCTTCGGTAAAAGCCAAATCTCCCGTCTCACCCAGTGCATCGCGCGCCGTTTCTTCCATCAGGATGCACAAAGCAATGAGCGCGGTTTCGTTCAGGCCTCTCCACGTCCTTCGCATGAGCTTGCGCGAGAAGCGGCGGCGTCGTCCAGTTTTGACCCACAACCTCTCGATGTAGGCTTTCATTGCGGTAGCCAGATCTCCACTGGGCAGCTTTTGGTCTGGAGGTAACTTGTTGTGAGCGGGATAATAGTCATCTTCCTCATATCGGATGGGCGCATTCTTTCGCTTGAAGAGTACCTCGTCTGGCCGAAGTGGTTTCCTGGATGCCTTGGGATCAGAGATGTTGTGAATCAGACCAGTTCGGGCGACTCTGCCTAGACATCTTTAGATCAACTGTCTTAATGATGAACTTGATGGCTCTTACGTTTGACGGCATCGTAGACGGTGGATCGACGCTTGCGAAACTTCGTGCGTTTGATCTTGAGCTTTTTCTTGACAGCAGCCATGCAAGATAGCTCCGGAGTGTTTGTCGTTGTTTTTGTGCCAAGGTAAGGCGGAGTGCAAAGGTACGCGGCTCGCTTGCAAGGATTGAGCGCCCGTTGGTGAATGTGTTGCGACTGCAGATCCCTGTCGCGTGTGGACGCCAGGCTACAACGTCATAACCTTGGAACCGTTTGCGCCTTCCAAGGTTCTTCTTTCCCTCGCTCCAACACACACGAAGCATGTAGTCGCATATGAACACCCAACACGTGCTCGACCGCGCGTACGGCTTCATCCCCAACCATGTCCTCAAGCGCGCCTATACCTCCCGTCTTATCTACGCGCTGCAACCGTCTCCCGCCGTGACCTTCAGTCAGCACCTGCCTGCTCCCGACAACCCACGCGAGCGCATACGGGCGCATATATCCGGAGTAAACGCGCTGACAATCGACAAGTTCGAAGGACGATATCTGCTTTCTGGAGGTGCCGACAGCTCCATCGCGGTATGGGATCTCGAGGCGCAGACCACGGCAACCGAGGCGGGAGAGACACATCTGCCTCTGACGGCGGTGAACAAGACGAGCGAAGAGCACAAGCTGGGCATTACGCAGATACAATTCTATCCCTTCGATTCTCTGGCCTTCCTCACGTCCTCGTACGACCACACCGTCAAGCTCTACTCCAGCGAAACACTTGCGACGTCAGCGTCTTTCGATCTCGACTCGGTCGTGTACAACATCGGCCTGTCGCCTATCGCATCGCACCTTCTCGTCGCATGCGCCACCCAACACCCCAACGTCCGTCTCGTCGATCTGCGTTCCGGCGCAACCACACACAGTCTAGCGGGCCACTCTGGCGCAATCCTCTCCACAGCATGGAGCCCTGTGCGCGAACACATTCTCGCGAGCGGAGCTACAGACGGCAGTGTACGCTTCTGGGATGTACGCCGCAGCGTCGGTGAGCTGGGCGTACTGGATCTCGAGGACTCAGTCGGCATACTAGGGAAGCCCGCGTCGTCTACACGCAACGCTACCAACGCACAAGCGCACAGAGACGCCGTGAACGGGCTCGTCTGGACAGAAGACGGCAAACACCTAGTCTCCTGCGGCCACGATGCGCGAATACGCGTCTGGGACACGGATACCGGCGCCAATACCCTCGCAAACTTCGGCCCCATGGTCAAGAACTCTGGGCTTGCGCCGCGTATCCCCGTACTTGCACCCACGCAGAACCTCCAGCCAGGTGCCGATCTCATGTTCTACCCCAACGAGCATGAGATACTCAGCTACGAGCTCTTTGACGGCAAGCTGATCCGCCGTCTGCGCCGCTCACCGCAGCCCCAGACGAACAACCCACCTAGCACGTCTGGTGCAACAGCAAAGGGACAACGCAATATCAAGGATAGAATCACAAGTCTAGCGTGGCGGCCACATCATGTAGAGATGTATTCTGCGCATGCCGATGGCAGTATAGCGGCATGGACGCCGCGAACAGAAGAAGACGCTGAAGCAGACGAGGATGAACGATTGGAGCGGGAAGAGAAAGAGGTGGATAAGAAGAGGAAGAGAGGCGTGCTAGATGAGATATACCAAGGATTGACGAAGAAGCAGATTACATTTGGCAACATGGGCTTTTAGCCAACCGATAGTAATATTGACAAGATGAATTGAATCGAATCGCTCAGACTGTTATATTACAACACATGCTACCCGCTGCGTCTCTTCATATGCCCATTACATATCATCATAACAGTGCAATATATGTCTTCATCTAGCAATCCCCGTCTATCTCTCCGTCTATTCCAGTGTCTATCCAGACCCAAAATGCGGTAACCTAGCCGGAACAAATGGCCCTTCACCAACTCCTCCTCTTTCGTCTTCCTCTCTCACCTCGTCTTTGATAGACAGTGGCCGAATCGGCGTAACAGCCTTACTCGAGTAATCGCTCTCATCCACATAGAACGCACTACTATCCGGCATCGTCTGCGTATCTACGAAACTGGGGAAAGTAATCGCATCGCTTTGATCTATCGACGGCGCAGTCTCGCCAACGGGCGTGCGTACAAGCGGAGATACAGTCGAGTCTACCGTTGTCATAAGTCGCGCTGGCGACGCAGAACGAGGCGTACTAGATTTGGTCGAGAGAGGCTGATCGGGCGCTAGACCGCGCTTGACAGCGAGTTGTTGCGCTTCCTGCCGTTTGCGACTGACTTCCCTCTCCTCTTCTAAACGAAGACGTTCCTCTTCTTTCGAGAGTTCGTCGAGCGTGGGGGGAACTTGTTCGATTGTTTCTGAGACGGAGCGCGCGGAGAGGGGCGGTTTGTCCGAGTTGCTTGTGTTGCGGGAGGAGAGCGTGCGGGTGGATACGCGGGATGCGGAGGGGCGCTTGCTCTTGCTTGAGCGGGCCTTGTTGCTGCTGGGCGTGTCTTCGTTCCATTGGCCCGTTGTGCGGCGCTCGAGGGCGATGGTGAATTCGTCGTCGAGGGGCACGGCGTCTTCCAGCTCGTCTTCGCTGGGGAAGATGTCGCCTCGCGAGCTGAGGGAGTCGGTTGTGTGGCCCGATGTGTGCGTGTTGCTTCGCTGTCGGCGGTGGCCTTTGTTTTCGGGCCCGTCGAGTGCATCCTCGTCGCTGTCCTCTATCAGTGGCTCTTCCTCCTCACGGTTTCTTCTTGTCGCGCCTGGGTGCTCTATGAGATCTGCGGCCGAGGGCTTGTATCGCAGTCCTCTGCCGCCAATCTTGAAAGGCAAGCGTCCCAAGAAGCCAAAGTACGAGGAACTCGGGATGAGAGTCGGGTCTTGGGCACCATCTCGTGGCAGCGTCGTGCTTTTCCGGCGCGGCGTGTTGTATCTTGGGTCGCGATTTCGCTGTCCATAACTCATGCCGCTCTGCCGGCCAGGCTGCGATGTTGCGCCATAATTGGAAGCGCCGCCGAGGAAGCGGTCGAGGTTGTCGCTGCCCCAGCCCAGAAGGCCGTCGTTCTCATCGTCCTCCCAGTCGTCGTAGAAGTCAAAGCTGACTTCTGCCCGGCCTCGTGACCGCCCGCGATTGCGCCGGCGGTCGTTGTGCGCTGGGAAGCATGGCGCCGTGCACGCGTTGACGCATTGGGTTATCGACGAGAAGCACGGATTAACATAGCGCTGCGTGAAGCCGTAGATGTTCTCCTGCGCCGATTCGTTTGCGTGCTCGAGGTTCTCTGTGATCTGATGGAGCGTGCGATTCCACCGCGGGTCGCTGCGACGGTACATGGTGACGATGACGACGACGGTGACTAGCACTCAGTGGAAGCGGGTGGGTATTGCGTGGAGCAGCAGAGTGCTGCGATGCGACAGCGCATTGGCTTCAACAGGACAGCAGGCGCATTCACGCTGACACACTGAGGTATGACGACGTGGTCGATGAGATGCGGCTCGGTTGGCGCTCTAGGTTCAGATTCCCCAGCCCTGCGCCAGCCGTCCCAGCACCCACATCAATCCAGCCTTTCACCCCCACAGTCTTGCTGCTTTCGGCACGCCCCTTCCGACCAATCCTACAATGAACCATGCGATACGTCCGCTTCCTCAAAAGTCCCCGCGTAGTCGCTGAAAAGGGCACGTCGAGAAAGCAAGTCCACTGTCTGATTACCATTACTTCAGACCTTGGAGATTCTTTTCTCCCTCACGACATCCAGCTAGCAGCAGAGTTGTCAGCAACTGCAGATGGGTCAGAAGAAAGCGTGATAGTATGGTCGACTGTGCAATGGACAGCCGGCATGCGCAGTCTGCCCATCACTTTCCCGCTCCCTAAATCTCAAGCTTCTCACTCGAGTTTGCGAGTAAGAGTGGGTGGGGAGCCGAAACGAACATACGATGACTTTGCAGCCATAACAGAAAAAGGTGCTCGGGGTGTTGTATCTGCCTGGAGCCCACCATTCGCGTCGGACCAAGATGCTCTGAAGTTAGTCGAAAGACGGTTCAAGCTGCCAGATGGACCCATCACTACTATCTGGGAGGAGACGGGAGAAAGCATAGCGAGGCATCTATGGTATGCATATCCAATTTTGTTACAATCTATTTGAGGTGCTAATCATATGACAGGGACGCTGGTATCACACTCTCATGTCAAATGACGGCTCTGGATAATCCAAAATCCAGCCTAGCAGAAGCTTTACTACCATATGGTATTGTATCTGAACCCCATCTGAATGTCCTCGAACTTGGCACTGGCTGCGGGATGGTCGGCATTGCAATCGCTCAAACTGTCTCCAACTCCAAAGTTCTCTTGACTGACCTTCCAGAGGCTAGAGAGATCGTTGAGCGTAACATCGACTCGGCAGTCAAAGCACCACGTGCATCACTCGCGTTCATGGAACTGGACTGGGATGCAGAGTTACCTGGTGAAGTACAGTCTAGCTCAGAGCCTCTCGATCTTATTCTCGCTGCTGATTGCACCTACAACCCAGACAGCAGGTATGCTTCCTCTCACCCACTTCACATGCATGGAGTACTGCTGACTTACAACTACAGCCCCGCATTAGTCAAGACGCTTGCACGACTCTCCAGAGCAAACCCTAAAGTCAGGATTGCCATCGCAATGAAAATGCGCCACTCGAGTGAAGAAGTCTTTTTCAAGCTCATGTCCGACGCAGGGTTCCTAGAGACAGACAAGATGGAGTTTCCATTGCCAGGGGATGTTCAAGTTGGCGAGGAGACTGTGTACTTGCACGTCTACTATAGGGCATTCTTTGCTCCTACTTAGCCAGAAGGTTATCTGCCTTGGGTATCGCTAGGCTCTTTTCCCAATTTGATGAGCAACTCACTCATTCGTTTGCCATCAATTGTCACATATAGCAAAGGAGGTGCATACAAGCTATTATGATCAGGACGTTCTGGACGCTTACAAGGCTGCTGCAAGGTAGCTAGCCTGCCCGTATCGTATGACACCAACCCCAGAACAAGGCACGCCAAGTCTGTGGAAGCCAGACAAAATCTACCGTTCTCCAGCGTCTACAGCAATCAGGTAAAAACTAAGTATTAAACAAATCAACATGCATCCCCATCCCACTTCTACAAGAAAACCCCCCCTCGCATCGATCCTCCCACACCCTAATACCCCCTCCTCAGCCTCGCCCATCCCAAACCCAACTCACATTCCTCCCGCCCCCACACCTTTTTCCATCTCACCATCCACGCCCCTCCCAGACCATTCCCACTCCCCGCAAGCTGACCACCCCAAACCTACCCTAAGTAGCAAGTCCGGCGTGGGGTCCGTCGAACCCAGCACTAACAGCCACTAACGCTCATGCTGGTAAGCACTTCGAGCGCTAGCGCTTTCCGCAAGGACTACGCCGCTACGCCGCAGTAAACTAGTTACTTCCGCTAGCCAGATGGATGCAGATGGATGGAACGAGCGGCTTTCCCGAAGGTGTGCTGATTGAGGCGTGCTGATTGTGGCGTGATGGTGCTGAGATTACTACACCTAGCTATCATGCGCGGCTTTGGTGTCGTCTTGCTACATACGCGCATTGCGGATTAGTTGGTAGACGCGTGAGGCTAGTGGTGTTGGAGATCAATGTTCACAACCCATTTTGTATGATTATTGTAACGATGTCCATCTTTTATATACAGTCTTGTCATGCTATGTACAGTTGATTATCAAGTCCTGCAACGATTATAGTACGAGGTTGCGCTGGTGACCCGTTCAAGCATGTGTTGATTCCACCTCTTCGTTACTACATACAGTCTCTAGGGCGATATTTTGTATGTCAGGCGACGCGATTTGGTTATGAAGGAGTTGATGGCTTCGGTGAGGGCGCTGGAGGGTTTTGTACTTGCCTGAAGAACACCGTTAGTGTCGTTGTATTGGGTTTGGGGGTTGGGGTTGGAGGGTGCTTACGTCTGATTCTCCGTCTGGCGTAGCGGCGCGGTTTACAATGGCTTTTTCGGGCTCGGTTAGGAAGTTTTTGATTGAGCTGTTGGCGGATACGCGGGTTATGTTTCCGTAGCCATCGTATTCTTCGATGTCTTTGATGGGGCTTCCAGCGGCTTGTTGTCGGGCTGCTTGTGCGCGCCTTCTGTTCGATCGCATTATCAAGGTTACACCGATTGCGAGGAGGATCGTGACGAAGCCTGTGTTCATGTTAGATTCGTCGTGCAAGACTCTGGTGCGGTACTCACCCAGCACTCCAAAAAGGATGAACAGTGTCCTTGCAAGGGGTGTCAAGCCGTGCTGCGGCTCGACACTAACGGCGGTAGCCAGACTGGAAGGTATGGCTGATCCGGAAGCTAGGGACAATGTCCGAAGCCCTGAGGATACGGACTGTCGTGTGGTGACAGCTTGTGGCGCCATGATAGTTTGAGTGGATGGCTGTATGTCTTCTTTGGCTTCTGCTGTTCGCGTAACGGTGACAAAGGTGAGAACTGGAGGTAGCGATGAAGGCTTTGTCGTTGTCGAGGACGCTGTCGAGGACGAAGTCGAGATGACCAATGTTGGCGGCTGGGAGAAAGAACTCGCAGAGGGTTCAGTGGCTATGCTCACTGTCGAAGAAGACGATATAGTTGACATAGCCGTTGAGCGGGAGTCGCTCAGAATCATGAATGACACTGCAGAAATATCCATCGTAGGCTTCGGTTGATTCTTTCCAGGCATGGGCTTTTCGACTGTCATCGCCGAAGTTGTAGACGGCACAGTCGAACTCTCAGGGGTTGCGAGAGGTGTCATTATAGGTGCAGTCAACAGTACAGGAGTTTCTAAAGAGATGGAAGTCAGCACTCCGTGCACGTCCCCAAGGGGTGTTCTTCATCAGGAGCTTACCTTGGTTCATTCCAGGTACTGTTCCCAATGAAGGGTCGTCTTGGTTGACACCGGGAAGGGCTGCAATTTCATCCTGTGCGAAAGAGTCCGCTAGAAGGCCTGGGACTGCAGTTGAAGCAGATTGGATGGTCATGGCCTCGTTCATCGCGACAGCATCTGCTTGCACAGTAAGGGTTGGCCGGATGGTAGATGCTACAAAGTTAAGAGAGAAGGTCGAGGTGGCATTCATCGATAACGAAGGTGCGGTGAAAGCTTGAAGTGGTGATCCCTGGCCATCGGTAGGCGTTGGTACAGCCAGTGTTGAGAGCTGTTCGGACTGCGATGGGAGTACACCCTGTGTACCCATAAGAGAGTCCAGTGACCGTGACAATGGCATTGGTGGTGCACCTTCCGGAGTTTCGTTCTTGCTCGTATCCGATTGTTGGGATCTCGTCCCGCCTGTCCCCAAGTCCAAGTCCATGTTCTCTTCATTCTTGCCCTCGACTACGATGGGCGTAGCTGCCATCCTTGGATTGTTACGGCGTACCAGCACCGGTGGGGTATCATATGGTCTGCTCGGTGCAGCCATTGCGAGGTAAGATTCCCATAGAGGCGAGGAAGATTCACAGCACGCGAGGATATTGAAATGGCAGTAACGCGGGTGCCATACCCCAGCCGGCTATTAGTGGTTCCATACAAAAAGTACCAGATGCCAAAAACGTGCTGAAGCGGGTGAACGTTTCGGTGTGGGCTGCTACCACGAGATGCGGTTGGTCAAGGGAACGCCCACCGCGACTTTTCAGTACCAAACATGACCAGCACGATCCCTGTACCAGGGAGATCTGTCGCCTATTTGAGACCATGTGGTGCACCAGCTACGGTTTTCGGGGTGTTGTATCCGCTTCATGGGGTTCCTCCAAACGTGCACTTGTTTCGCAGAGGACGCCAAAGTTTGTGTCGACACTCGAAACGTAGCGCATGCGGCGGGAACTTCGAGACCGGTCTGAACAATGATACCACTGCGATGGCCGCGTGGTACGTATCTAGTTGATGGAGGCCGTCCGGTTGATGATACAAGAAAAGGAACGGTAGCCCTGCCGACAGCTCATGTAGGTCAGATCTACAGATAACGTGTACTCTGGATAAAACAGCAGCGCATTGTTCATTCTTGCCATGGAGAGTGTTCTGAAATATTTCGTCTTCTGCTCGCGACCAGAAACAGTAATGATGGCCTTGTTCATTATGGAATTGTCGCGACATTTTCGACGGTGCCAATGTGAGGCATGCTCAGCTCCGACTCGGCAGACTCATGCAACGAGCGTGGCTGTGCCTGGCTTCGGCACTCGTATCCGGCCTCACGCAACGAGGTGTAATTCAGCGGTATTCTCGCATCCGGAATGGGGTTGTAGAGCAGAGGACCACTGGGTGTTTAGCTCGCGGGTGCATCGGAACCAGCCTCTGAGGCCTCGGGCGCGGCGAAGTGGATCAATCCAGCAGCCGTCCGAGTCGATGATGCTTGCCGTGCGCCACCTCAGTCTAGGTCGATATTCCCTTGTCGCATACTTATTGTTCGTATTCTGGCATTTCTGCAACATGATAATCGCGAGTACATAGCCGCTGTCGTCGTTCTTTTCGCACGTGTACCCCCCGAATGGCCGCACGCGACACGCCCGAGCGCGCGGTGCCGGAAACCATGGACCTCGAGCATGGGACCAAACGCGACCCTTCCCGCGACCGCGTTGCACCGAATGGTCAGAACTTAGAAGTCACCCCGCCATGGAGGAAAAGGTTCAGCGCGCGCACGCCGGCGCCCGTCGCTCGCTGGAGCCGCAACGTTGTCGACTGGGTCAAAGGGCCGAAGCCGCCGGGCAGATACACGATTACGCCTTTTCTTGAGCGCTGGCAGACTTTGCCTGTGCGTCTGCTCGCGCGGCTGCCAGAATGGATGCGCATCTGCGTGTATGCGGCGACGTGCATCGTGTGGATTGTTGTCTTCGCGGTAGTCATCAGTGACGGCGGGCTTCCGTCTGACATTGGAGGGTTGGGGGCGCCTGTCAAGCTGTCGTGTATCAATAACCTGTGGTACGGCCTCTCCTCTTGTACGCAGAGCTGTGATGACTGTACTGATCGTCGCCAGGCCTTCTCTAGAGAGCTGCGGAACCGACGGCCGCAACTGCCTCCCCTTCTCCAACGCCTCGTTCGCCTTCGTCTGCCCCGCCGGTTGCTCGAGCGCCCAAGTCCTAAACCCTCGCGCAATCGGTCCGCAGGTTATAAACTATCGATCCCTTGTGGTTGGCGGCACGCCGGATTCCCAGGGCGATGGGCTTGTGTATCGCGGGGACTCGTTCATATGCTCCGCGGCCATCCACGCTGGGGTAATCAGCGATGGCAGCGGCGGTTGCGGTGTTCTCTCCTTGGTAGGAGAGCGCGACAGCTTCGGCGCTGTGGCACGACATGGCATCAGCAGCATTGGCTTCGACTCGCACTTTCCAATGTCCTTTACCTTTGGTGAGGCTTCGGCCAAATGCGAAGACCCGCGCTGGAATCTGCTGATCCTCTCGACCATCTTCACTGCTCTGTTCGGCATCTTTACCACGAGCCCTGCGACGTTCTTTGCACCCGTCTTTACGATTCTGTTCTTCCAGACCGGCATGGCATCAGATCCGCCCTCGTACTCAAACTACGCCTCCTTGGCCTCTACAACACTTGGTCGCTTCTTGCCTGCGGCATTGGCTGCTGCCCTCTTCTATAAGTTCAGTGTTCGCAAGTCTCTGCGTAATTGCAGGGCGCAAATCGAAAAGACCATACTCTGGATAGGCGGTGCCTGGGTTGGCGCACTGGGTAAATATACATTTGAACGTATACCCATACAGCGCCTTACAGGAAACGACATCCGACAACAGCCTGGTGCTATCACAGCATTAGTAATCATCGTGCTGATTTTGTTTGCCGTCGTTTTGTACCAAGCATGGTGTTTCCGTAGGGAAGGGCGACTGCCACGCTATCTTGCACTATACGCTACATTGGGCCTTGGGCTGGGTATCCTTGCAGCTATGCCGAAGCTTACACTTAGGATACACCACTACATAATCGCCCTCCTACTCCTTCCAGGTACTGCGATGCAGACACGTGTGAGCTTGCTGTGTCAAGGCCTGCTCGTTGGACTCTTCGTCAATGGTATTGCACGATGGGATTTTGACTCTATACTGCAGACTGCAGCGGCGCTGAGAGGGGATGGCCAGCTCGGATCTGGTGTCCCAGCTATTTTGGAGACAATCGTGAAGAATTCGAGCATTACATTCGCATGGAAGAGTCTACTCAGCGGATATCAAGGCGTCAGCGTGGTGGTCAACGATGTGGAAAGGTATCGGGGCATTGGTGGAAGCGACACAGGAAACTTCACCTGGAGTCGTTCGGATGATGCGAAGGATGAGTACTTCCGGTTTGCGTTCATCAATTATAAACTGTTTGGCAACGTAGCATATAGCGACTTTACGAGAGCGGGTACGTGGTTCTCGAATGGGACCTGGTCTGGATTTCCGCCAGGCCGTACATGATGGAACCCGAATGAAATCATCCTCGGGAGGTAGAGACCTGTTTAATCCCTTCATTGCCCTCGTTCCTGCAGATGTGACCAATGAGCCACTAGCGCGTTTACGTCACCGTTCAATACATGGAAACCTGGGCTTCAGGACAGGCGATCGACAGGTGGAAGCGGTGATCCAACGGTTATACAGACACGTCTTGGCCAACCGCGGCAGCCATCATGCCCTCTCCTGCGACAAATCAGGTCTGGCTCAGATTGTTCCTTCTGCTTTGGGTGCGGGGGTAGTCCGAACACGGCAGTGGACATGACGTCACACCAACAGAGCCGAGTTGCTCCAGGGCTTGAATGACCGCGCCTGCACTAGGTCATTTTCCACAAACACGATGCTTTCTCTCCATCGGAACCTCTACTCCCTTTGACCTTACCCCTCTACCTTCCGGAGCCTCAAAGGCATGAATTCACCCCCGAGACGTGAAGCGCCGGCTGCTTCCAAGCGAAAACCTGTCCCTCCGCCGACTGCACCTGGGCCTTCGCTTGAGCCAGAACGCAAACGCGAGCTTACCAGTAGACTAATACCGGATGCCTTTCTCACTGCCACTCTTTTGGCAGCCCTTACTCTCTCCTGGCCGCTACGATGGGTTATCTCTGGAGCGCCCATACTTGTCTACGCCATCCTACTAGGCGAGGCTTATGGACATCGTATCTTACCCTTCGTTCCCGTGTGGACCATCTTTGCAACTGTCAACTTCATTTACGCAGTATGCGCGACATCATGGCTTCTGTACTGGGTATTCTGGTCCCTCTGCTGGCCTGTACTCTTCATCACCTGTCTCTTCCAATTCGAAGCACCTGCTGCACTGGCGCGCCGCACGCTGCGAAAGACTTTCCTACGAGACCTGCACTTTATCAACGATCAGATAGCCTTCTTCGACCTGCCTGCTCTTGAAATTGACACCGAAGTCAAGGGACTTTTCGTCGTCCGGGGAGTCACGCTCTCACTCTCCACAATGACACTTGTTGCTCATGGAGTTGAAGCCGGGATAAAGCTCGCTGACGACATTGAACTCGGCATCCAAGTCGACAAAGTCGTCGTACCCCTCTTCCGCGAGATAACTGTCGACGATGTGTATGCGAATGTGAAGGGTGGGGATTGGGAAGTCACCTTTGGAGACGTACAGTACGGCGTTCCAGAACCAGATGACGATGAATCTGTAGTCGTCACCAACACTGCCATCCTCAGAGCGGCAACGATGAAAGGCAACGCCAACGGCCGCCCGGCTGATATGGTCCGAAACCTTACGGCCGGGAAGATACCGACCGAGGCTGAAGACACCAAATCCGCATTCTCATCTGTCAAGAAGATCTCACCAGATGAGGAGCGCGCCCACACAAAGTACAAAGAGCTGGTACGCTATATCAACGACACAAGCGCCATTACAAAAGCAAAGGAGGGGCTGGTAGAGGCCTCGAAGGCACGAGCGGAGGCTAGCTTGACCGACGACGAAAAGGACACAAAAAACACGAAGAAGTCAAAAGAAGAACCGGGAGTGCGCTTGGATATTGAAAACCTCGATGATTTCCGGGCAGCGATTTGTACCCAGATCCACGGGCAACCCTCGATACCTCACCCACCGACCAAATCGATCAGAGTCTCCACTCTTCGCAAAACATCGTACCCAAATGTAAAGAAATTCTTACATCGGCTACCCTTCCTCTATCGCTTGATGCTCAGCCCCATCTGCTACTTCCATCCTGTCAAGTTCAAGTCCGTCACGGCAGCTGGCTCAGGGAAATGGTTCACTGTCTTGATGCAAAAATACTTCTTCAAGCATTACTCAGCTCAAGATGCCGAGATTCGTAGATTGGAAGCGCGGATATCAGCCTGGTGCGCAGATGCCAATTTCGCTGTGGAATTGGGCCCGATTGCTAGCGAAGCCCACTTCCCCATCAACACCAATTACAACATCACGACCCACTTCAAGATCTCCGATGTCATGGCTTACAGGATTCTTCCGGATGCCGTCGAACTTAAGCAAGTTGTACGATTAGGAGGTGCGGATGCTGTTCTCACGATTCCCACATTCCTGTTTCCCCACCATGAGCACATCTTCCCGGAGAAGAAGAGCGACTTCGACCTGCTTGAGATGGAATCTGCCATAAAAGAAGCCGATCCTACCCCGAAGCAGGTTCGGGATCTCAAAGAGCTCGAAAAGCTAAAGAGAGACGAGGCTTCTATGCATGTCAACGCACATGCCCATCTCCCGGCACAGTTCCACCAAGACCTTCTTAACTTTGTCGCCGCAATTGTCAAAGCCACCAAGGTCATCGAGTCGGATAAGGACTTCGAGGAGGCCAAGGTCCTTCGCGAGCTGAGGCGTGTCACTACATCTGATAGCGAAGCTAGTAGTCTTGCATCAGTCAATACCAACAGCAGCGAGGTTTCAGGGACCACACTGAATGCCAATGACGACAATGGCTTCAAGGCATTCCTAAAGAAGGTGGACTCTGGCTTCAAGGATGCGTCGAACAAGACCATGGTGGGCATGCGCAAAGCCGGCCAGAACACTGTACACGCCATGGCCAACGATCGTTGGATCGCTCGGCTTGTCGGCAAAGTGACTAGGAAGCTGGAGAAGGCGCAGGGCGAGCTGGGGTACAGTGGAGAGGTTCCGATCGCTCTGGCTAAGTACCGCGAGCGACATGAGTTCGAGCAAAAGCTTTTGCCTTGAGCTGGAGAGATTTGGTGTTGGGGAGACAGTTGATGAGTTGCATGATACCCCCTTGAACTCCACGTGTTTGAGTAGTCTATATCAGTACTGGATTACGAATTAATGTCTACCTAAGATCTGAGAATCATGACTAGTGATGTATTCATTCTCTTAGTTATTTGTCGTTGTAGCTATGATAAGTGACAGCCTTCAGGATGCTCGTACCATGAGCGAGGAAGCACATGCTCATACTTTCGACCATTTCAACAAGACTGCCGCCAACACTACCGGCAGTACACTGACCAGCTCTCCCAAACCAGCAAATTCCGGCGGTATCCTCGCATGCACAAACGCGCCCGCGCCCAACAGAACAGCGAAAGTATTGTAAACGAAGCTCCATCCAAAGTTGAATGCAACCCTGTGTATGGCCTTCCTACTCACATTGATGATAGTCAGCACACCCGAAAGGCTAGGGCGAACAAGGACGACATCAGCAGCGGATTGCGCGATGTCAGTACCGCTTGAGACATGGACGCCGATTGTGGCTTGCGCAAGAGCAACAGCGTCATTCGTCCCGTCGCCTACGAACATGACAATCGGCTTCCGGGATTTGCCACTTGATGGCGTTGTAGAAGGTGCTGCGAGCAGATCCTTGATGTACGTCTGCTTGTCCGCCGGCGAGCAACGAGAGCGGACGGTGTGTTCCGAGACGTTGAGCTGCGCGGCAATGGCTTTGACAGCGCCGTCGTCATCGCCAGATAGAATGTGGACATTGACACCGCTGCATCGGAGATGGTCAATAGTAGAGGCTGCATCAGGTCGTAGCGTGTCTTGCAGACCGAAAACGGCTATGAGCGCGTTCTCGACGGTGAAGCAAACCGTGGTGAGGCCTTCGGATAGCATGTTACGGACGCGTGGATCGTCGGACAGCTCGAGCCATCTCGAATTGCCGGCGCGCAGCTTCTGGCCATCAATCGTTCCTTCGACACCTTTGCCAGTCACGACTTTAGCATCCGGTACCGTTAAAGCAGAAAATCCCTGCGACGCGAGATGCGTGGCGATAGCTGCCGAGACGGGATGTTTAATGTTCTGCAGCAGACCCAGCAAGAGAGCCTTCGCCTCCCCGCCCACCTCCGCATACTCCTCCCGCACCACTGCCAGCTTCCCTGCCGTCAACGTACCAGTCTTGTCGAACACTACATCCGTGGTTTTGTATGCGACTTCGATGCTGCCCGCTGTCTTGAAGACTACACCGCGTTTCGCTGCGACACCGGATGCGATGACGATGACCATGGGGACCGCGAGGCCGATGGCGCAGGGGCATGAGACGATCAAGACTGTGATGGCATATGTGATGGCTTCGATGGTCGCTTCGGAGCCTGATTGATGCCGTACGGCAACGCCGATGGCGACCCAGATGACAAACGTGATGATTGTCAGGGCGACTACGACGGGAACGAAGTAGCTGGCTACGGTATCGGCGATCTCTTGGATCTTGGGCTTGGAAAGCTTCGCTTCGTCAACCATGCCTGCGATAGTCGTGATGGTGTTGTCGCCAGGTAATCGGGTGAGGCGCACGGTGAGCGTTCCGCTTCCGTTGATTGTGCCAGCGATGACGGCGGATCTGGCGTGCTTCTCTACGGGTTGGGCTTCGCCTGTCAACATTGACTCGTCGATCTCTGAAGAGCCGGAGATGACGGTACCGTCCGTGGGGATGCGCGAGTCTGGTGCAACCTTGAAAGTATCTCCGTATTGCAGTAGCCTGGCGTCGATCTCTCGCTCTTCTGCATCGTCAACTAGTAAGGCGGTAGGAGTTTGCAGGGAACGGATGCTGATGGACTCTGCCGCCTTTTGGCGCGCCAGCGATGCCACCCAACGACCGACCATGATGAGAGTGACCAGCAGTGTACTCGTCTCGAAGAACTCGCCGGTCGACAGAGGTTTTCCACTGACCAAGAAGCCAAAAGAAACAACCGAGAAGATGTACGCGGCGCTTGTACTCAGGACGATGAGCAGATCCATCTCGATGACCTTCGAGAAGACCAAAGCCTTGAGAGCCTTCGGATAGAAAGGACCGGCGATGACAACTTGAACGATAGTTGCAAGTGCAAGCGACGCAGAGCCATACGCGATCTCGCGCTTGGGAAGAGGAGCCCATGCCATGACCAACACGGGAATGGTCAAGATGGCAGAAAGCAATGTCAACAACCCCATGTTGCGGACGTGTCTGCTACCAGCTTCCAAGGAAGAATCGGGACACGGTGGTGCAAGTTGCAGCGATTGGCTCCACGCGTCGCTCATCAAATCCCTCGCCCCTATTATCTTCGCATCGTAGTCCACGCGTATAGTTTGTTTGCCCAGGCGACGCACATCCAGCACTCCCTCCGGCCACTGTCCATTGACCAAAGCTGAAGGGTCGCCCGAGCAGACGAGATCCAGACTACAGCCTTGATTCGACACGATCTCGCATTTGAACTCGGTTGTGCGGTGCAGGTGTTTGACAACATCGTCGGCGGTCGCGAGGTTGGTGTTGATGTCTAGCTCGACGCGCGCGAGGACGAGGCTGGTCTGCAGTTTGCTGACGTAGTTCAGACTGCCGAGGGTTCGCTGGAGTTTTGTCTCGCATCCTGTGCAGGTCATGCCTGAGACGCTGATGGCGATGTGTTCGCGTGCGACGCCGCCTTTTTCGATGTCGGTGTTGTCGCCTGCTATCTCGGTGGTGTTCACCACAGCCGCTTTCTTGTTGCTGCAACATTTCGACGCGTCTTTTGGGGGACAGCAAGATGTTGGCTGGGGATTTGAACACTCTTTGGGTGCCGGCGTGCAGCAGGAGGACTTTGGTGGGGATGTGGCAGTCTTCACGCCGTCAGTGTTCTCGATTGCGCAACAGCTGCTGGTACATGTTTCTCCAGAGATGCTTTTGCTATCGTTTGCGCAGCAGTCATCTTTGGTCTTGCCAATGCAGGAAGTTGGTGCACCCGTTTTGTTCGAGCTACTGCTGCCACACCCTCTCGTCTCGGATTTCACCGGCGTAGACGATGTACAGCATGAGGTCGTCGGCTTCGCCTTCGCGGGTGCCGACGATGAGCAACAGGAGCCCTTCGGCTTCGAGGCTAGCATTTCCGATGGTGAACCACAGGAGTCTGTCGGCTTTTGCTCTTCGGGTGCTGATGAAGAGCAGCAAGACTTGGATGCTTTCGAATTTTGGAGAGCTGATGGTTCACAGCATGAGCTGGATGGCATTGTGTTCTCAGGTGCCGATGTTGAGCAGCACGACATGCTCGGCTTGGCCTCTTCCGCTGGCTGTGTCGAAGCACAAGGTGCCTTCGCTTCTTTTGATTGCGGAGTTGTTGAAGAGGAGCAGCACGAACTCTTTGGCTTTGTTGTCGCATCCTCGAGGTTGTTGACGCTAGCGCGAGAGGCAGTAGGCTCAGAACTAGAAGAAGCGAGTGTTGCATTCATTCCGGGCTGGCTAGTCGCCATCGCGCTGCTCGAAGTTTCTGTTGACTGATCGACGGTAACTGCAGAAGCGACATCTGATTTCGCGGTAGATGTCGCTGCCGCATTCTTGGGGCCACAGCAACCTCCTCCGCACGCCATGGTGAAGTCGTTGGTTGTTAAGGTGAGTTATCGAAGATGTTTCGCAGTGGAAATTACGATCTGGAGAGTCGGAAGGCACAATGCTTACCTTAATACACGAACTAGTCCGAGATAGTGAATTCGATAGGTCACCGCTTTACTGTCGATAGGTCACTGTTTTACTGTCGATAGGTCACCGCTTCGGCCTACGTCGGCAACATCAAAGCAACGAAACTTAGCAGAAGGGAGGTAAGGTATACAACTTTTATTCTTTTTACAAGCTTCTGGAGCGATTTCATCCCCGCCAATGAAGACTCAAACTAGCTCGCATTCGATTAAGCTCTCTTGCGAATGCTTAACGGTCCAGACACGAACGATCTTCAAACTAAGTTCGGGCGACTCCAACAGCTGGCTCCATTGCGAATACGTACGCTCCTTCGAAGAGAAAAGGGTGATCATCATCATATCCAAAGCAGTGGCTTGCCAGTCCGCGCCCTTGTCCGGAATGACGTTTTCGTTGATAAGAAGCTTGCTGTAGCCTTTCTTCATGGCGCCAGCAACTTGCTTCAGAATGCTCTTGCACACGTCGTCGGGCCAGTCGTGCAACACGGAGTGCATGTAGTATGCTTTCGCCGCTGGGGGTCTATTAGCGTCTGACGGGTAACTCTGCAGCTGCCAGACGTACCTTTCAATGGTTGCTCAGTATGAAAGTCATACTCCATACGTTCGATGCTGGGATCCAGTCGCTCAATTCCATCGATGACGGAAGGTCGATCCTGCAATACAAGCCGGCCGGGTACCTGAGGATACTTCGTTCTAAATGTGTCGTAAGCATACGAATCTGGACTAGGCCTTGTGGCAGCATACCTGAATTCTTGGATGTCCTGACCGTAACCGCCGCCAATGTCTACCAACAGGACGGCGTCTTTAGAGTTGTCCATACCGTCTATCAGCTGCTCCTGCACAGGGTAGAAGTTCGAGTCCATCCAACTTGGTCGACCCTGACGATAGCCACCCATGTGGTTGTTGAATTGCTGACCCAGGGGCGGATGTGTATCCAGATACCGGAACATGTCAAGCTCAGTATTGAAAGCATACTGATAAGGCCCATTGGTTATGTCCGAGGTGAGCTGGTAGTCGTTCTTCTGCAAGTACTCCGAGAACTTGCTGCAAGACTGGTGGGCTCCACCACCACTGATTTGATCAGCACAGGACTCAGTCTAGTAACGTCTCAAGCACCGAGAACACTTACAGGGCTGGATAGCCATCTCCGATGATAGGGATAGTCAATGCCTTCGAGAAGTTTGTTGCCATGTATTCATCACTGTCGGTCTCGGTGATGTAACCCATGGCTGCAATGTGCCTCATCAAGCGAGCTGCCAGTGTAAGCGAGGTCGCGGAACGATTCGCTAGTATGCAAGCTTACCCAACAGTTCGCGAGGCTTTCCAAGCTTGTTCGCAATGTCGTCCACCTTCATTGGTTTGTCTCCAAGTACACCAAACACACCTGCATTATAGCAGGTGGTGATGGCGGTATGGCAGCCGGGCTAGTGACACCACTTAGATACAGAAAACTCTACAAAGATCTAGCACATACCTGGGCCCAGTTCTGCTCGATCATGGTCTCACGGGGAGTCTGCAGCGCCCTGACGAGCGCTTTAGCCTGCGAAAGCATTGCCATGCGAGTGTCATTGTGATCAACAGAGGGTTTGCCCCCGAATTCTGACAGCTTCTCCAGTAGGCATGGAACGGCGCTTGGGTCGTTCGCACGCACAGCAATGCCGAGATCGACCAGCATGTTTGCAAAGTTCTGACACGTTCAAAAGTAACGAGCAAGGGGTAAGAGGAAAGTAATTGGGCGGTAAAACGGGTTGAAGGTGAAAGGATTCACGGCACTGCTGGATGTACAGCTGATACGTTGCTTCCTTATAACTGCAAGTCAATTCCTTCAGTCCAACTCCCGAGTCTCCACAGAGATGGACAGCAGCATTGCCGGTGTGGTCAGCGGCTTGCGACTCATGGCGGCGTGTTATCAGACGGGAAGGATGTTTTGGCAACAGCAGGCGAGAAGAATACCCTGAGGCGGAAAACGGCGCAGCATGACAAGCTTCAACTGAAGGACGATGAATCCGCGGAGCATTCACACCCAAGTCAGTGGGCCTGACTTCCACTTCAATACCATCGTCCGTCTTGGCACTCGAATGATGGCCTGCTGGAGAACAGCCCCCACTTGAAGGACCTCTGATCAGCTATAACCAACATTTGTAAAGGTGATCCTTCGTAAATAGAGCAGGCTTGCAGTTGCAATCTAGGATCCCATCGCTCGACTTACTCATTGGAACGTTCTGATCATTCCATGAGCTCCAAAATGGAATGAGACGAACACCAATAGAATTTCGCGATCCCTTGTAAAGGGGAGCCGTTGTCGCGAGTGGTGTGAGCGTGGGGAATGGGGCTCGAAAAGAGTCAGTGGCAGGCCGAAACCCCCACACGGCCCGTGGCTTTGGACCCGAAAGAGCGGCTGAGCGGCAAGCCGGCTAAACAGCCACATTAGTGCGGCATCGGCAACGCAACCGTCGCTAAGTGGAGACCAATCAGCTCATCCAGGCACCACAAATAGTCACTCCATCGATGATCCTACAGCTGCTGTGAGACGCACCCTGTGGAAGGATGTAAAGGATGTATGTGGGCAGATGCGGCGTAGTCTCCATGAGTATAGAATGAAAAGATCAGAAACCCCAAGGCAACACAGATTGCCATATCAGTTGCTTCTCTTGTTGCTTCCCAAGATCATGTTATCGACTCCCGCAGACGGGACGCCTGTTGATCAATCGATGACCCGAGCGGACTGCCTGACAACGTCCTTCACCCCTGTCATTGGCAGAACGTCTGCTTACCGCTGGCTGAGCAAGTTGGCGACAGGAGCAGATACCTTGTCCACCGGAAGTCAGAAAGACCCATGCGCGAGTGCATATCTGAACTGCTTTCGTAGACCCTACTTCAAGGCTGTATGCAGTCTATTAGAAGACATTTCTGACCGGAATGGCTATGATTGGGTTGGACCACCCGTTCAGTCGATTCTTTTGACGGGCCTATGCATCCGATGTACGTGCGGGCACGTGTGGGCCTGGCGTCGCCCGCGCTGCATGGAAATGATTACTCTCGCGCTTCCCAGTTCAGAAGATAGTCCGTAGACTGACACACGATCGTCATCTTTCTGAAAAAGTACAGTCGTTCCGGAAACCATGCCCGGCACCAGGGGCGGTGCGAACTTCTGAAAGCTCCCAGGTCTAAGCCGCATCGCTACATGACGAAACTGCGCACGAACTCTTACGACCCCTGGTATTGGTGGTCAGAGGGCGATAATGCTTTTGCAGGCATGCGCAGGGGATGCGCAGAGAGTCTGATGTCCAGTCGAGCTTATATCAAACTGAACCTAGGCTCCAGCACTGTAACCTCTCTCTCATCATTTGGTTCTCCACCTAGACTTGTTACAATATGGCAGTACCGCAAGATCTGCCCGAGGGCTTTGCCCAACAAACCAAGGGTCCAACGGTTTTGGCGGTATGCATCTCGTTGACGACGGCAGCGACTGTTTTCGTTGCGGCCAGACTCTATGTTAGAGTCAAAATTCTATCAAGACTGGGCCTCGACGACTGGCTGATCATATTGTCGATGGTGAGTACTTGCTTCATAATGTTCTCACTGGCTCAGCATGCTGATGCGTCGTGTAGATATGTGGCTACATCATGCTTGGCCTCACGATAGCTGCCGTACAAGCTGGAAACGGACAACATTTCTCCGTGCTCACCGACGAGCAAAGGTCCGGTGCTATATTGTACACCCTCGCGGGCTTCCCTCCCGGTATATTCTCGTTCGGAATCCCCAAGCTGGCCGTGGTCGCTCTCCTGACGAGAATCACCAACCCTAGCCGGAAACATAGGATATTCCTGTGGGCTATGACCGGTGGTTGTTTGTTGATTCTGTTTGGCTGTGTCATCATCATCTTCGCACAGTGTACGCCGTCTCGGTCGCAGTGGGACTTCTCCGTCCAGGGTACTTGCTGGAGCCCATGGATCCTGATCTACTACGCCATCGTAGCTGGAAGTAAGTTCACAGCCAGTAAACCTAGTACATGACTGACCGTTGCGAAGCCATCTCCGCCGTCGTGGACCTCTACCTCGCGATATATCCCGCCGTTGTTCTGTATGGACTACAAATCAACCTCAAGAAGAAGATAGCCTTGAGTGCCGCGCTGGGACTGGGTTCTATGTAAGCTTGCGTATGCTTGTCTTGGAACTTCCGCTCACACTTGAAACAGTGCGGCAGCCGTAGCTGTGTACAAGTCGACTCGACTTCCAGCGCTTGCGAGCCCTGACTTCAGCTGTGAGTAGACCCGCATTCGGTGTTGAATCAGCCATGCTAACAACGCAATACAGACGATACGGCCGACATCACTATCTGGACCAGTATTGAGGGAAACTCCATCATCATCGGCGCCTGCATACCGACTTTGCAGCCATTATTCGACCGCATCTTTGGCCGGGGAATCTTTGGTAGCTCACGCGGTGAACAAGGTCCAAGTGGATACAGATCGCGTAGTCGGTCGGGTGTGAAGCTCGCTACAATCGGGAGCAAGACTCTTCGGTCAGCCAAGCAGCATGGGAAGTCGGGCGTATCTGAAACAACCCTGGGTCACGATAGCCAGGACAGTATCTTGAGCCCGGGCTTTCGGAATGGTAGCGAGGAGAGTAAAGTGGAGACAAACTCCGGCATTACGCGAACGCAACACTTGACAGTCGAGTACGAGGATGTCACCGAGCAGACGAGGCCGAGTTATAGTCCTTGTGACACACGAAGATAGAAGTAATATGGGGCCTTGGCAGTAATCTGATGATTCGTCCCGTCGGGACTGGGACCTTGCAAAGACAAGCCGGGTGAACACTTGGAAGGATTCGCATGCTTGAACAAAGTGCAGGCACAGCGAAGCATGAGGCTCAACGTTAAGGCGCGGCACAGGGATAACGTGGTCATTGCAACACGGGTGAACTTGGCTGCGGCAATAGGAATGGAACGGCATGTTTGGCCGGCATGATTGCCGATGCCGCGTCGGGTTCCCGGCTGCCATTGTGGGTCGTCTCGAATTGCCTTGTGTAATGGATGCATTAGAAGTGCATTGCTGCATCGCGTGCAAGTCATGAACATTTGCAACTTGGCAGGTAACAGTCCCGAGGATAGCGGTCGGCGGCTATGATCCGAGACCGAGGCTTTCGATATGGAGGACAAAGTGATGTGCGACACTGTACATCAGTGAGTGGAACCACTGTCCTCGGCCTGAGCTGGCAACTCCACAACCTCGCACCGCTCTAGTAATCTCCTCCAAACCAGCTTGCCCTCGTCTACAGTCTCCGCTGCCCCTACACCTGTCAACGTGTTCTTGTGGCCAACCAACACAACACCAGCTCTCGCCCTTGTCATGACCACATTTAGCCGTCGCATGTCATCCAAAAACCCCAAAGCGTAGTGAGCGTTGCACCGAACGGTAACAAACACAATGACGTCAGCCTCACGGCCCTGGAAGCTATCGATGGAGTATACTTCAGCATTCGGAATTGTTGTTGTAAGCACAATCTTCTGGCGAGTGTACGGTGTCAGTATTGCGATAGTAGGGGTTGCGATAGAGCCCTTTGGGATTGCAGTCGAACCACTAGATGCCGGTGATGCCTTGAGAAGCTGAATGATACGTTTGCAGACCTCGCCTTAGCCAGCATTCGACTTGGATTGCTGGAAAAGGTCTTCAGGTGCAGCGCATTCGACCCAAACCATACGATTTGTCTTAGGCCAGGGGAAGAGCGAAGGAGGCAGCGGACGCGCGTTGTCAGCTACAGCAGTATGGAGTTTACTGTCGTAGAACTCGGAGGAGCTGAAATCGCAGATGGAGCGGTGCATGCGATACTGCATGTTGAGCATGACTTTTGCGACGCCTTCTCTTGGTGCTAGATTATAATGGCGTTCAAAGAGTGAGACGTCATAACAGGTTACCACAGCAGTTTGTTGAACCGTGGCGCGAAGCTGGACATGGTCTCCAACTAATATCGCACGCGAGCACCCTTTGACAAGAGGCACCAGGGTTGCGGGCTCAGTAAGCTGTGAGGCTTCGTCAATGATAACGACATCGAAAGCCTCGTTACGAAGCAAACCTAACGCAGCTCCAGTGCACGTAGTAAACACGAGACGGGCCTCTTTGATCCTCTTCTGCGCCTTACGCCGAGCTGGGAAGTTCGCGCTTAGGTCTTTGCCGACCATGGCGTCACACGTGTACGTACGTAAGTCCTGAGCGACTTTGGAAAGCTTGTTATGATGTGAGTATAATTATTAAATGTGTGTGAGGTAACCACACTTACCTGCGTCGATACCCGAACAGGGACAATGCCACCATTCTTCGCTTCAGGGTAGGCCACGAACCTCCTCAGCATGTTATCCACTGCATTATGCGTTGGCGCAGTAACGAGGAATCGTAATTTGGGTAGTTTTTCCAGCAGCTGGGTAATAATGACGACAATTGTATGAGTCTTTCCTGTACCCGGAGGGCCCCAGATGAACGTCAATGAATGTTTCATCGAAGCAGCGAGCGCTGCGTTCTGACTTCCGTTCAGTGATGGGGCGACGGTCACCGGTAGCTCGATGCCAATCGACTTATCTTGTTTTGACGGAGGAAGACCGAGAAGCATCGCGTAGATGGCACTACAGGTTTCGCGCTCGGTGTAGAAAGCAGTTACAGCGTCGAAAGAGGTCTTGCTTGTAACAAAAGATCCACACTGCGTAACACTCCAGGCGCACTTGCCAAGGTACGACGGCGGATGATGAAGACACCGAAATGCAACCTTGCCTGGTTCAGCTGATGACACAACAGCATCCATCGAGAAGAGCCTTGCGATAACATCATTCTGCGGTGGATCGGATGCTGTAAGACGAACGTGATCGCCAGCTTTGAGCAATCCATTCAAGGAAGAATCGATACGAAGTGTGCCCTTGACCATTGCGCAGCCGTCGCTATGGCCATCCAGGCGCAGCTCGAGAAACTCTCGCGACTTTTGCTCGCGAGCACTAGACGCTTCATCTACATGGTCAAGCGCGATGCCGAACAACGATGACGTGAATTGCCGAATTGCAGTCGGCCGTCCTACCAGAAGCCGCGAGCTTTCAGGCTCTAACACCCCAAGAAGAAGATCCAAGGCCGTTTCGGAAGAGCGGACCGTAAGCGAAATGAGCTCCACGATGTCGGCGAACTCTCTCAACGAGATGCACTTCAGTTCTTGCAACAGGATTTGGATTGGACGCCGGATGAAACTACCCATCTCCTCCGACAAAAGGACGAGATGTCTCGGTAGACTAAAGGCCATATGGATAAGGTGTTCGTCCAACGAGGACCTGTGAGTCTCCCACGTTTGAGAGCGGAAGAATGCGGGTATCAGGTACACCGCATTCGGTAGGAAGTCGAGGAGAGTCGACGCTACGATCGTCCGGTCTAGCGAGAGAGCGGAGCTTGCTTCAAAAGCAAGAACATGCGAGAACGTGTCCAAAAGCATCTTCTTTTCACCATGGTCGTTGAGCAAACCAAGGATGGTCGACAGTTCTGACACAGACTTCAGTTTTTGGAGGTGAGCAAAGTCTTTGTCGCGAACCACGGCGACTACTGTCTCGGGGTAGTCTGCCCAGTCGTTAGAACTCAATCTGGGTATATCGTAGTTCTTGTTCGGTTTCTCAAATAGCGGTAAGACTTCATCAGTGTCGACGAAGGTAAGCCACTCGTCAAGCACCCGCATTGAGTTGATGTCTCTGTTGCTGATGACATATATTTCCTAAATGTTATCAGTATCACGGCAACTGTATAAGTCCGGCATAGAGAGCGTCAACCTACCGCACCCAATACCCCATTTTGCTGCACCTTGCCGATATGCTGCTGAAGTCCTCGACCAACTTTGTCCAAAGCAATGCTAGCTTTGCAGTCAAAGTTGACTCCGTCGCGCACAGTAGTCTCGCGTGCTCTGCGTTTGTCTCCTTTGTTTTTCTCATTTCGGTAGAGCGAATCGTCAGCCTGAGGACGCCTCAGAAAGATCCATGTGTTACTTCGCTGACGTTCGTACAATTGAAACATATGTTCATCGCAAAACAGCCTGTAATTGACCTTGGTTGGTAGCATTTTGTAGTTTGGTGAATGTAGGCCTTGTGAGTGGGGGAAAGCGAAGACTACGACGCCGGTGTCGACTTGAACTTCGCTTGCTCTTTCAATCTTTTTTGGTACGTATATCGCAACGCTCAGACGTTCATCCACCGTCAAGATGATGAGTTTCTTGTGGAAGATTTCCAAGGCCTGAGAGACGGTAGGCAAGAATCTTTGCATACGGTCGGTGGACGATCTGAAGACCGGCTTCCAGTGCAGGTGCGGCTGATCTAGGCGAAACTTGCTCACCTCGTCAGGCGTGACGAGTTGTGACTGGAGAAGCCCGTTCCGTACCAAACTCGGCGCAGTTGCTGACGGTGGAAGGCAGCTAAGAAACCATATTTGCTGCTCATCGCTCAAAGCACTGAAATCGAGATGGTGACTGTATTCGAGAATGTCTTCACCGCTATGCTCACACCAGCGCAGTAGAAGATGCAGTAATTCGAATTCAGACATCGCCATCTTGTCTCGTGCGAGGAAGAGCTCCATCACGTCGACTTCATCGCAGTCGTTGGGTCGTGTGTTGACAGCCTGAAGAATGAGCTGGGTGCAAGCATCATGCAGAACATCCAAGATGAAGGGAGCGACGGTATGTTTAGGTTCAGACGGATCCTCTAACTTCGTGAATTCCTTGAGGTCGTCAGGAATCCGGATGTGGTTTCCATCAACGCACTGAGAAAACAACTGATTGAGTTGTTGACATTGCGGGCTCATGGCATGACCGAGGCGCGCCCATCTCATGTAGAGATTTTTGACTTTCCCCATGGACGCACTGGTGTATCGGGCAAAGTACTCCGCTCGGGCGTCACCGGTCACTTCGCCGAAAGTTACAAGTTCTTTGCCTCCTGGGTACTGGGCGGGCTGTGCCATCGTTCGTGGAATGATATCTGGATCCCAAGTCACAAAGACTAGAAAGATATTAGCGAGTTCGAGACAGATGCATACGAGAGGTTTACATTTGTCCCCATCGAGATCACCGCCTGACATGAGATCAGCGCTTGGCCTACTCCCTTCAGTTGAGAACACGATGCAGTCAACTAGATGAGCAAACTCCGGGATATCTACTGCCTTGAATTTCTGGAGATCGCCTGGATGCAGGCATGGATTTCTCGTTACCATCACCTCGGTGTTAATGATGGTATGCGCTCGCCCGTCAACATCAGTTATCCGCACAAAGCATTCACCTTCTCTGAGCTTTCCCGGGTGACCATTCTTGCTACTTGGGTCACAAACACCGAAGAGAAGCCGTGAACGGCGGATCAGAATCCGACATCGTTGTTCGTTTCGTTTGTTCAGCATCTTGGTGTACTCTTCTCGGATCATCCTTCCTAGGAGCGTGTGGACAGATCCAATGCCTTCTAATAGAAGTCTCTCTGCTAGATCGAGTCTGCCACTGTATGAGAGATACTGGAAGGCTGCCCCAGGATTACCTTGGCTAACGTTATTGAGGAAGTGCAGATGCTGCTGCTGCTTGTCGAGAAGGATATCCGCCGAAATACCCAGCGTATGCAAGAGCACCACCACCTCATCGTTTAGGCTACCATAGACGTAAGGCTAAGTCCAGTCAGCTCAATAGACCAAGAGACGATTTGGAAATCTAACCTTGGAATAGTCTACGACCGCGAAACTGTGATCGGACGCATCCTTGAACTTCCTCATAGATTCTCGAAACTGTACCTGTTCCTTACCCTGAAGGGTAGGGTCTAAGGTCAATACGCCCTTGTATCCACGATATCGAATTTGGAATACGGACGGTAGGTAGCGCTGATTGCGAAATATTATGTTGCGTCTCTGGGACAGTTGTCGAGCAAGTTGAAGAGAAATGAGACCACATCCGTCGGTAAAAACGTAATCATCGCGTTTGACGTCGTCGATGTCTCTGCAGCGTTCCGGGGAGAGATCAAGCGCGGCCTCTGCGCTAGAGAAAAGCAACCCAATTCGTTTTGCTTTCTTGCCTACGGACTTGAGTTTCGAGAGATCACCCATAGCTTCGATCTTGGCAGAGATGTCTTCTTTCGATGCGCCATACATGAAGCAAGATCTGGACTTCGTTTGGCTGTTTGAATGACCAAAGAAGTGGTAGTGAATCCCATTGAGTACAACGCCAGTGGTGAGTAGTCTTGTGATGTAATTGCCGTTCTCTCTGCCAGTGGCTACGCGTGGTGGGTCATCTGGCGACTTTGAAGGCCAACGCAAGCGGAAGTCCGCCAGCGAAAGGAGGAGGAGTCTGTCCAAAGGCTCTTTGCGTGTAACACGGTTGGAGGGCGCGCTTTCAAACCGCAGGACGATCTCCTGCACCGTTCCCGAAGAAACAAGGGAAAAGCACTTGACAAGTCCAGCCGCGTTTGTCTGCCTGGCCTGCGGGAGGTTGGCAACTGTGTAATTCCATGATGTGATCTCTGGATCGAAATCACGCGAGAGCACGACGCGAAAAGTTCGCAAGCTGCTCATTGTTGTGATGGAGAGGAGTGCGCCGCAGTGTTGCAGCAAGAGAGTGGCTTGATGCGGGGTCTACACAGACGAAAGTCTTCGTGATTCGTGAAGGATTGCGTTTGCTTGTGCGACGTTACACCGAACTACCCAAAGCGGCAAAACGAGACTTACCGTAGGAGCAGCGTCTGCCTTGACTTCTGACTCTTCCCCAGCACTCACCACAGACATAATGGCGAATGAGGCAGCCCTCAGTCGCTGTCTTTACATTATCGGCGCCCAATGTACCGGCAAGACGACGCTCGTGAACGCACTCGAAGACGCGTTTCATCAACGTGACACAGCCCTTCCAGTTACAGAGGTAGCCTCGAGGCCGGTGATCATCCGAGAAGTCGCGCGCAAAGTGTTACACGACAAGCATTTCAGCCGCGAGGACATCACTGCATCGCCGTCCCGGTCCTTGCAACTGCAGAAGCACATCCTCGACGCGCAATTCGAAGCCGAACAGGCTGCCATCGGCCTTGAGACGCCGCCGACAACATGGTATATCTCCGATCGCTCCGGTCTCGATCCTATCATATACGCGCAACTGTTCGTGGGCGAAGGAGCGGCAGGCGAGATGCTCGCATCGGCAAAGTGGAAGGAACTCGAGCGGCGCATGAAGGCGGGCGTTGTGGTGCTATGCGAAGCTGGCTGTAGTTGGCTTGCCGACGACGGGACGCGATTGATGCCAGACGGGACGGAGGCGTGGATGCGCATCGACGACGCGTTCCGAAAGCAGCTTGCCGGTCGGGGCATCCATTACACGCTAGTACCCAATCACGTGGTCAGTCTCCAGGCTCGCGTGCAATTGGTACAGGAGTGTTTGAGAAGCTCATAGCAGTCCCAAAGGCTTGTGAGCGATATCTGTACATGTAACTACGCTGTCGTGCGGTTCTTTCTTTCGCTCTCACGTGCATCCTCTCATGTGGCTTCCAAGGTTAGCGTGGTTTCCCTTAAGGGGGCGGACACTTCCTCCAACAACAATCAACCAGCAACACACGATACTGATACCTCAAGCTGAGCCCAGCCACTATACTCGTAAACGCCACTGACGCATCTCGGTCATCTTGGTCCACATGCCAGTTGCGATGATCTCACGTACAAGGCCCGCCTGGCTCGCGAAGCCGCGTGCCCATTCGCTCCGCAGTTGCGCGCGCAACGATGGCGACGAGTTCAATTGAAGATTTTGATCAAAGGAACTATTTCACACGGTGACAACGATGGTGGTATCCGACTTGTTCGAAGGACCGCACCAAGTTGTAGGTTTCCGTCTAGGAAGCGACGTCTGTCTTGGGTAAATCAGCTACGATAGCAGGAAGTAGCGACCAAGACTGAACAGCATGCCAAAACTGTCCAGGATATTAGCCTCATGCGTCTCTGGGAGGTACCGCAGTCGCGCAAACAGCAACATCGCAGCAAGCACGACGCCACGGATTGTGAGATCTGTGTAGAGATCCGTCGCTAACTCCCCTCCGCAAACGCTCCACGCACTACCGGTTTCTCTCAGGAATACATGCTGCTGGGCCGATTCAGCTAAACATTAGCCCTAGGTGTCATTCAGATCGCTGCTCACAAGGAACACAAGAATCCCTCCCACACCCGCATCATAAGTCGGCCGACCTGCGATGAGCGATCCTGCGATGAGCGACCCTGCATGAGGAGGTCTTCCTGCACTACCGCCCCCGAGCGCGGAGAGGAAGCGACCAGGGAGATTAGCTGGCGTCTGAATACTCTCGCGATCTACCCGAACGGGAGTTTGGACATACGAATTGACGACGAACAAATTAGTGGCCGAGCCATAATTTTGGCCCTGCGCATGTATGCCGTTGTCTTAGGAAGAGCCGTCATGACGATCTCGACATCAATATCGAACACGAAGCGCAAACCAGTATGCTCACCCGGCAGGCGTCTGTAGCAAAGGATCGAATCAACACAGCGACGGCTGTCGGGTTTACACTGGATGAGGTTCAACAGAGGATAGCTTTATTCTATCTACACACTTGACGGCCTGCGTCGCACACGGATCTTCCCACCGTGCAACGGAAGTTTTAGCCACACAGTATCCAACGGTTTCGGTCTAACCGCCATGTGCTCAACGTCATAGTTCAACAGCATGTGCGCAATGAAGACCTTCATCTCATTCAAAGCAAAGAATCGCCCAGGGCAGGCGTGTCGGCCAAACCCGAACCCGAGGAAAGCATCATCAAGCGTAGCAGTCGACTTGCCCTTCCGCTCGTTCGTGTCCGCTTTAGCAGCCTCAAGGTCGTCTTTGGTTGCAAAGTTGTCGACGATGCTAGTCACATTGTTCGGGTCTGCGAACCGGAAAGCGTTGAAGCTGCGTGCTTGGGGATAGATACTCTCGTCATAGTGGATTGGCTCCATTGGAACCGCGATCATGGTACCTCGAGGCACATGAACGTTGGAAACTGGGAGACGAATGCCTTCGGGGTGAACGACCTTCACTTTGTTAATACCAGTCCTTTAATGCTTGTTGGCATACATACTGTTCGCGGAAGTCCGACAATGGCGAACGGATTAAGCCTCATTGATTCACGGATCATTGAATCGATGAGCTTCAAATCCCGCACCGCATCGCGCGTCCATACACCACCAGACTTGGCGAGCACGGATGCAGCTTCGTCTCGCAGAGCATCAACATACCCCATTGCCGGATCCGAGCTGAAGAGGTCCAGGATGACGTTCTGCACAGTGAAGCTGGTCGAATGAAGGGATATATCATTGACCAACAAGAGCCGATGCGCCACTCGCTTCGGCTCCAACTGCCCTGCATCTCCTTTTGCGGCTGCGGCGTAGCACTCATCGATAAGCCATTGGAGACCATCTTTCTGGGACCGGGTAAGTATGTTGATGCGCAGCTCGTTAATGCAAGGGGCGGAATCCTACCGGTGGTGTCCACCCGCACTTCGGGTCAGCCTTGAAACGGGCAGTAGCGTTCAATCTCTCTGTCACAAAAGGCAAGCAGCCCTTCATTGCTTTTCTACGCAAGTACCAGCAAGTCGATCCTACAAGAAAGCCAGTCACTGGCTTGAGCGGCTTAGGGGATGCGTTGATGAGCATAGCGCCGGCAAAGATGCTCATTGCGTGATCCCTAAGATCGTTCAAGAACTGTTCGTCACGGCCTGCGACACTATCAGCGCTTGCGCATCTTCCAACCAGGCACCCCGAGCGACTTACATAGCGGCGCGCCGCAAAAGGCGCCGTTACTTGCACCAGCGATCAACTTCAAGCAAGCATCCCATACTGCGACTTCCTTCCACTCTGTGTCGCCTTTCCCTCCCCACCAACGCTCGAAGCCTCTGTCAAGTTCGTCGGCCATCAGCGGCGTCAAATGCTCGAGGTTCCGCGTAATCTGATGACGCACGACGTTGATCTGGAAGTCATTGTCGGCTACTTCTTTGTCCCAGACTGTCCATTTCGTTTGGATAGTCTCACTCTGCGTCGCGTGGATATCGAGCGTGGACTCTGGCAGTGAGTAGACCTTCTTGATCAGACGAGGCGGAAGGATTATCATCGCTCCTCTGTCGATGCTAGGTAAGATGAAAGGGCTGTTTACGCTGGCAAACTAGAAGATTAAGGATGAGTAGATTTCTACTGATATCGAAGACTATCATACCTTGCGATACCCTTCAAACGCCCAGTCCTGGGTCTTCCGGATAGACTTCAAGGTCGCCCACACCCATTCAAACCATCCTTTCTGGAGGCCCACGACTGGCAGCTCCTCCCAATGCTTGGACTCTGGCTTTCCGAAAAACAATGCCCGAATTGCGTGGTAGACTAAGAACAGAACCGACAAAGGCACGAGGGCCTGTGTGGGTGTGATGATGAGCTCCATGCTTAAGCTAATCAGACCGTAGGAACAACGAAGAGCACTCGACACTCCAAACGCTTAAAGTATGCTGATGCCAATGGACTGCCAGTGACAGGAAACGTCCCGCCGCTCAGCTCTCCTCGGAAGCCCTCACCATTAGACTGTACATCTATTGGGCTGTTTGCACGAGCAAGGATTTGATGCAGCAGGTAGGTAACAGCCGGATCCTCCCAACAAGCTAGCACTGTGCTCTGCATGCATCGATGTCGATGTTGCAAACGCGGCTACCGACCTGTACATTCTGCCGAATATACTGTTAATTGCGGCGTTCACCGAGACGGCCGAGCCAATGATCGCAAAGCAGCAAGCTCGAATTTGCAATCGATAGGCCTCCCGCGACACTTGTTGCTAGCGCGACTGAGCGGGTCATCGAACGGCATGATTTTCAGGGTAGTACCTAGGGAGTTGCTCCGGTATTGCAGCATGCAATGCACCCACCGCGTACTACTCACATTGCAGTAGCTGCCATCTTTTGAGGAAGGTTGTACGACAGTGCGTCAACCGCGCGGCTCCACACACGGCTCGGGTCGGCAGACTTCCGCATCAGGAATAGGCGTGGTGTCTCTCAAAGCGACATCACAAATGTCTCGTCTTTCAGTGGCTTGGTTTGGTTTTGCACGTGACCGGAGAATCAACGTCGAATTATGACCTCAAACAAAAGATATTGCGTGGAAACAAAAGCAGAACCATTGACTATAAGATCATGCAAGAGTACAGCAGAGTTGCGACTTTAGTCGCAGCACACCACTACAACTGCGATTGCTCGCTCGAGCAACCTCGACCAGGATGAGATGCGTCATGTGGCGCGATTTGTAAAGATGTTCGACTGGATCTCGAATTCTGGTGGAGACAGACATTGGTTGCCAGTCGCCATCTTCCCCCCGCGTACACGTATGCGGATGCTATGTGCGCGCTAGTCGGTCGCTTCTCGAGCGGTGCCCGGATACAAAGTCGGTCTGAGCTCGTTTGCACATGGAAAAAATACCTCGACTACTCGCTATCATCCGGTCGACATCCGGTAAGTCTACTTGAAGTCGATCGTATACGCCAAGACGTACCATGGCAGCGCTGGCTCTAGCTACGATATGTCCGGACGAAGGATTTTTCTCGCCAGCTCGTCCTGATGGGGTACTAGGATATGCAAGCCTCTTCGTATATCTCCAGTTAAAACGCAATCGTACTCCGGATGTGTAATTGGAACCGATGGCCTGCTTCAATCCATAACCGCACGTGCGTAGGCATTGCTACCAGGATCCAAGCCGGGCCAGTGGGTGTGTCCGCGTCATCCGTATCCAGACACGTGGGAAGAGGTGTGCATGATCAAAAAGAAAGGAACCCATGGAGAAGCGGGCCTTGGACCTCATTGCCTGCAGGCAATGCTACCCGCGATGTTACCTTTGTCTCCCGCTATCGATATCTCTGTATGCACGCAATGACGATTAAACCTTGTACTGCTTCGAGAGGCCCTGGAAGATATGAAGGCGTGTTAGGTCACCTGGCGGCTTGCACAAGGACGGCCGAGGTAGGTCCTTTTGCTGGTCTGGGAATACAGCGGTAAGTAGGCTCTGTCCTTGAAGTCGCTTCCTTAGGTGCAGCGAGGTACAGATGCGATACAAGACCGACGTCGGATTTGACTCCACCAGAGCTTTTGTCCTCCAATCAGACGTGAGCGGTCGGCCCTACCTCTTGGTAGTGGTGCCATGTGGGGCAAAACCCGCCTAAGCGCGCCTTTGCAACTGTCACTTTTCGACATCGATAGCTTGCCGTGCACTCACCTATTCGCCATCTTGGTCGGCGGCAGTCCATCAAGGGTCGCGGCTTGACCTAGCCGTATCGATAGTCAGGGGTCCTGAAGGGCCTCTTCGGTCATCTAGCGCACGGAACATTTCCTCATCCAGCTGTGATTCGCCCACGCGTTCGTGCGTTTGCGCACAAGCCTCGAATTAGAGCCGCAGCCTCGGACTCGTCCAGACGTTCACCGTTTTCCCCGATTCCCACACTACACCCTTATGGATCGGACCGTTGGTCCTTCCAGCATGACGGACGAGGCGCTTCGTGTTCTGCGTGGTAGTTGCATCGGGTCTACTTACTTTCTAGGACAGCAGACGTTGTGATAGCGCTAGAGAAGGGTGGGTTGCTCGTCTTTTCATTGACCGCGGAACACACGATAGGTGAGAGCGTCCATCAAGCGACGCAGCTTGTGTAGCATGCAGATGGCCTGACATTGATCCGATCGTACTGCAGTGCAGTGGCACAGTTCAGCTAGCCAACAATGACTTTAGTTCACTTGCATGGAAGCTTAGACGTAATGTAACGGGTCGTTCCAACCGGCTCGCCCGCGCAGCAGAACCTGTATCTAGAGCAACGTCGATATGGTAACTTTCTATATGTACCAATGCTTGACACCCCGCGCCTATTAGCCCAATCTAAGGTCTTACTTCGTAACCAAACTTTACTGCCATCATGGACTTCTTAGAGATGCAAAGCGTACATTTGCCAGCGCTCAGCCCATTGGCGGTCAATGCTGCGAGCAGCATCTTCGGTTTGATATCGATTTTCTTTTGTTACAAGGCCTTGGTTGCGAAGAAGCTGGTATGTACCGAATGCACATCCTCAGTATGCATTATGAGTGCACACTGACTTGTTCACCAGGCTTCTTCTCCATCAAGGATCTTGAAGACCATCTTCAAGCCTATCACCAAGCGGTACCAGGCATGGGCATATCTCTTCTGGGGCCCTGAAATCATCCAGAAAGCGTTTGATGAGGCGAAAGGGAAGCCATTCGAGCTCTTCGCCCCGGATAACCGCTATGTCTTTGTCTCCGACCCTCAGCAGATCAAGGAGCTAGACAATGCGCCAGATACGGTGCTGTCACTTCAGGCAGCGTCAAAACAGGTGAGTTCTTGGGCAGCTTTCGTTCTTGGCCATTATTGACAAATTGTAGATGCTACAGCCCCTCTACACTATGTAGGACGACCCTCGCGCTTCTCGAAGGCAGTCTTTGTGCATTCGGTCTACTAACGAATCGCAGGCACGGCTTCAACTGGTTTGACCGACGTGGTACTGAGGGTGTTGGGTTTATCCGCGCTCTTCGCACACTTTTGACCAATAACTTGCCTAAGATCCTTCCTGACCTCACTTGCATCATCCGCACCAGGTTTCAGGAGCTACATGCTGGACACCCAGTGATCAACGGTAATACAACGCCAAGCTTTGACCTATCTAACTACGCTGACAACTATCAATAGGAAAGAAGCAGTCGGATGTGTACCACATGACTGTGAAGTTGGTTGTCTTGTCGAATGCAGTATCTTTCTTTGGAAAGGATCTGGGTAAGTCTCGTGCCATGCAACTCGCTCATTACTTCGTGCATGACTGACCCAAGGCAGCAAAGGATGAGCAGTTCATGGTCTCCGCCCTCGCGTACATCGAGGAGACTCTGATCTGCGCTGAGATCGTTCGCCTGCTACCCGGGTTCATAACCCCGTAAGTGCTATTGCCGAGTCACATCAGCCCTCCTTACTAATTCGTACAGCATCGTCGGCGGCATCATCGCTCGCACACTCAAGTCACACGCTGTCATCTTCAACAGGCTTCTGCCCATTGCCGAAGAACGATGCATCGAACGAGACGCAGCCAAGCTAGGCCAAAAAGTGCCCCAACACGCCGACTGCATCCAATGGATCATGGAGACATCACCCAAGAACGCGCCCTGGACACCCCAGCGTGTCGTCCACGAGCTGATGGCCATCTGGTTCGGCTCCGTCCACGCCGTCTCCACAACCGTAACTTTCGCCATCCACGACCTCTGCCTCCACCCTGAGTACGTAGAACCCCTACGAAGGGAGTGCGAGTCCCAATACGCCGCGTTTGAGCAAAGCGGTGTTGGACTTCCGCTTCTCGACAGCTTCATCAAGGAGTCTGCGCGCTTGACACCCGTTGAGTCGCAAAGCACACGTCGCTCAGCGCTCCAACCTTTCTCTCTCAAGGACGGTACCCACGTCAACATTGGAGATTGGTTCTGCACACCCGTCCGCGCCATCATGACGAACCCCGTCGATTACCCCGAAGCAACGACATTCAGCGGTTTCCGCTTTGCTGACCCGCTACTCGTTAAGAGCCTGGAGAATGCTGATGGCGCTTTCGACATTATGCAGAAGAAGCCAACCAAACTGACTGACTTTGACACGACATTCCACGTCTGGGGAACGGGCAGAATGGCCTGGTAAGTCTCTTGCTGTATCTCGGTTGTTGTGAAGACACTGCTAACGATTCGTTATAGCCCCGGAAGGTTCTACGCCTCAGCTGTCATGAAGGTCATCCTTGGTCAAGTCATCTTGAACTACGACTGTGAGCTTGTCAACCCGACTGCGAAGCGCCTCTTCACTTGGCGGTCGACTATCTTGCCTAAGCCTAGTGCTAAGGTCGTCTTCACTCCGATCAGGGAAGCGAACTAGAGAAGGAGGTACATGGGATGATTCAACGTTGATGCTCGCTGCTGGATATGCAGAGCAATGACGCAACGGACGATGCGGGAATGGCGTTATTTCCCTTTCTTTTTTTCTGACTGCACGAATTTCCTAGACGAGTACATGATACAACGACTGCTACACATGAATACACGCCACCTTATCATCATGACGCCTACTGCTACATTGAGCTGCTCGCCAGCCAGGGCGATGCTCGCAATCCCATCACTCATAACATCACATTGCATATCATGACACACCAACTTCTAAAATCCATACATTGAACGCAGGGTATCTCCCAGAAAGAAAGCAAAAAAAAGACACGACCTAGCCGCTGAACGCCACCCATCCCAATACCGTGACCGTTTTCAGCGACAACTCGCCTACTAGCGCCCCGGGCAGCCCTGATAAAAGAAAAGCACCTCCTAGCACTGCCGGTCCTCGGCCCGATTGATGACGCGCCTAGTATGCGCCGCCGGTAGCTAAGAGCATTTCCAATTCGGACCACGTCACACGTTGGATGTGGAGCAAAGCTGCACCTAGCCATGCCGATACGGCAATACTGCAGACGCCATTCGCGCGGACAATAGTCGCGCTCCAATGCTGCAGACGCAAGACCAGAAAAAGGGAAGAAAAGAAGCAGTCTAGATTTCAGCCGTTAGCTTTTAGTTGCTGCGCTGGAGGATGTGGTACGTACTTTTATTATACAAGTCATTGAGGAATTGATCCAGTTCCAGATTGCGTCACTGGGTGGACGTATCCAAGTGTTCAGTCGGTTTAAGCGATGTCTTGACTGCTCAGTCACTACCAGCCCGGTCCCTGGCCAAACGGATACCGGTGGCCGGCATCTTCTAGGAAAGCATGACCAGTCTGGCTCTTGGTCAGGTGACCGTTTGCCCGTGCCATCTTCATTCCGGTCTGAGGATGCAGCAACTGGGTGTCCGACTGCGACCGTGTGAAGGGCATGGTGTCTGCAGTAATATTCAACTTGTTCCACTCCGCCCAGTTGGTATCGTCGCGAGCTAGCAGACTGCTGTAATGATCAACGTCGCGGCGTGGTGGAGATGGGGCTGAAGCAGGCCGGTTTGCTACCACAAAGCCGCGCTGTACGTTGTTCGTGGGGGATGCGTCTTCATGGGCCGCGACCTTGCCGACAGAGTCATGTTGGGGCGCGGGATGAATGTTGGAATGATAGTTCAGTCTCATTCGCTTGTCAAAGGTCGCAGGGATGAGATAACTCAATTCAAGGTGGGGTTGGGAAGGCAATGGAAGCGCTGTGTCAGAGTCGCGATCCTCTCTAGTCCAGGATATGATCGAGACGGGCGGTGGTGTATTGCTGACATCGTCATTCTTAGGCGAGACTGATTTGCGTCCCGCAAAGAGTTCGACGACCCAATTGTGCCATGTGCCAAGAGAGGGCTTTCTTGAGCTTCCCGTCGATACCTGAGCCAAAGTTGCTGCAGTGATGGCTACCGCTGGAGTGCAATCTGTTGCAGTGACCGCCACAACTGGAGTCAGGATTGCTGGAGCAACTGTCGACACTGAAGATGGGTCTGCCGTAGTGGTTGCTGCCGCTGATGCTGGATGTGCTGTAACTACTGTTGATGCGGATGCTACTGCGACCGTCGTATCTGGCCTTGTCGACGGTGAGTTTGGTGCAGCAACTGCCACTCCCGATAATCCATCTGCTGTAGTCTCCTCTGAAACTTGGGAAGGGTCCGCTGTAGCATGTTCTGCGACAGGAGAGTCATCTAATGTAGTTTCCGTTGCCGCTGGCAGAGTGTCTGGCCAAGACCAGTCTGACTGAGGATACCAAAGTGGCGCCAGGTTCAAAAGAGAGGCGGGCGGGTCGTCATCCTCGTCTGTGAAATCCCCTGGCGCGCCGGAACCGCATGGGACAGCAGAGGCACCATCATCTTCTGATTCATTTCGATATTCGCTCTCGCAGGTACCGCTCGTCTCGTGATCGTGCTCATCCGCAGCGCCATCGGTTGCTTCTGAACTGTCCGTGGTAACAGGGGCTCTGTCACGTATTAGTACGGTTCTGAGACCGCTTTTGAAGGCGCCGGCAGACTCTTGATCGTTAGTTGTTAGTACATGGCGCCTGGCGAAGGACGATCCGTTATCATCAACAGAGTTGCTATTGTCGTCATGGATCGGGTCGTTGGATTCAGCAGAAGACATGTACACTGAGCCAGTCAGCGGATTCATTCGGTGGAGATACCGTTTAAAGCAACGGTGTCTACCTTTTGGTGCTTTTGTAGGGCTCTGCGCATCGTTGTTTGTTTGTTTCGCTTTCGGCTTGTCGACGTGGTGCTTCTTGCTGGTTCTACGCTGCTTCGCTTGGCTACGGAGCTGGGGGCGAGACTTGACTTTGGGCACAGTCATCGCGATACGTGCAGCTGGGTTGGATGAGATTAGAAGGTTAGTGCATGCCACTCGTAGCACGAGCGATGCGGATGCGGCAATGCGTGAGATCTGTAAAGAGCAATTCAAAATCAGACGTAGAGGCGCGGCTTGTTGTTGTGTATGCTAACAGTAGCTGCGCGTAGAAAAGTCCACAATGTTTGCAGGGTCCAACAGCGCAGTGCGCGTCGCGACAGCTCAAAGTCTAGGTGAACCAGTCGTAGGACAGGGATTGCAAATTTAAAAGACAGTGACGACATGGTGAAGGAGAGCGGGAATGATAGGAATACGTATATAGTCTTCACCGTGGACCATATTGGGGTGGAGGTGACGGTGAGTTGATACAGAGGACGGCGCTCAGATACTTAAGAGCAGTCCAGAAGTTTGCGTGACTGCCACTTGCACCGCCCGACAATCAGCTTTGATATTAAATCATTCGTGAAAGCGTAAGGTGTATACCTCATGACAGGCGTCCAAGCTCCTATTGGCGCTGAGTATGTGTAAGATACGGGTCATCGATCATCACGTGTGACTTGTCGCCACGTGCACCCTGCTTTTAGACTGAAAGCTGCGGCTCCTCATGCCTTGTCTGCGCAGATGTATGTGACTGCACGTCCGTTAGTACGAAGCGAAGTGAAGAGCAAAGTGGTGTGTTGGATACCATTGTTACCACGGACGAAAGCATCTCCCCAATTCCGGGTGACGCGTCCCTCAGACACCTCCTTGCATCGCTCCAGTGCAATGTTCATGTAGCCATCTACTGACTGAAGGTCGCCTATATGGGGATTAGTAATTGATGTGCATCATAGGCACGTCAAGGGCTACCTTTGTAGATGATACCAGAGTTCAGCTTGACGGTGACGGGAGCTCCGATGATTTCACTGAGGAAGCCGCTAGGATCTCTAGAGTCACCGGCGGCGTCGGGTGCTGGGCTTTCACCGTTGGTGGACATGGTGATGAGGGTGGTGGTGATGCTGAATTTTCTAGCAAACAATCAGCACCTTGTTACGACGCGTCTAGATAGATCTTACGTTGATGCTTAAGTAGGCGTAAGCGTATAATTCTTGAAATCGGTCGCTGATGAAGATGGAAGTGAGAGATGGTGATGTTGGGTGGTGTGGAAAGGCAGAGTGCACGGGCCCAGTCTCTTCCTCATCGCGAGAAGCGTGACTGCGCGCGTTGAGGCCCCACCTGCACCAACCCGCGCCTGCCCCGACAGCGGCCTTGCCCTTTCCTCTACACTACCCTGGGGTAGCACGACACCTCCTCCGCCCACTCAGACCGCCCATGGCACCGCCCGAACCATGACCGACACACCCGCAAGCGTCGCACCACCCAAGAAACGCAGCCTGTTCAAGCGGGCGGCATGGCAGGATGCGCCCAAGAAAGACGGCGAGGACATGTTCAGCCACTCCAACGAGTTCAATGACATAGTCGCCGAGCAAGCGAGGATCCGTGCAGAAGAGAAGAAGCAGGCCGAGGCAGCCAGGAAGCGCAAACACTCTGAGCCGCGCGACCAGAAGCGCCGTCGCATATCAAACGACACCGAAGAGCCCGTGCCTACCAAAAGTAGCTCAGCCAGCAGAGAGCGGGCGAGTAGGACCGCCAGCAAAGTGTACGCATCAGGCCCTACATCGCAATATTAGTACTAACAATAGCCCAGGCGCAGCAAAGTGTCCCCCTCTCCCGCGCCATCGCATCCGCCGCCGGACTCGCTCACGGCACGGTACGACTCCCTCACCAAATCCGCCTCCTCGAGTGTTTCATTGCCACAACAGACGTCTTCCGTCATTGACCTAGGCGATTCAGACCTGGACGACGACTCGGGCTATGTTTCCAAGCCGCACAACGACAAGTCTGAGTTGGACTACAAACCACCGAGATCCAATGACAAACAGCCCATAGCCGTCCGACCATCGAAGCCACCTCCTATAGAGATCAAAGATGACGACGACGACGAGGAAGAGGAGGAAGGCCTGGACCCTACAATAGCTGCATTGCAGGCCAGGGCACGAGCGCGCGTTGCAGCGGCCAAGGCGCAAGCCGCAGCAGCATCAAACGGCGACGCTCCGAAAGCACCCATAACGCAGCTCTTCATCGACCCACAAATACCCGGCGCAAATCCGTTGATGGTCAAGGTCAGGATAGACAGCACCATCGAGAAGCCACGGCTGGCATGGTGTCAGAAAGAAAAGTTCTCGCCTGAAACAACACGCAACGTCTTCTTCACATGGAAGGGCGCACGCCTCTTCGATAGCACATCGATACAGCGCTTAGGAATAAAGGTGGAAAACGGCAACCTATCCGTCGAAGGAGACTCTAACATTTACGACGACGTCAACCTCCCCAAGATTCATGTCGAAGCGTGGACAGAGGAGATCTACAGGCAGTGGAAGAGGGATGAGGCTGCGGCAGCTGAGGCGAGAAAGATCGCCGCCGCAACACCTGCCGTGGCAAAAGAAAAGACTCCAACACCAGAGCCCGAGCCTGAACCCGCTTCCAACCGGGTCAGGTTGATCCTCAGGGCGAAGGGTAAACCCGAGTTCAGGTTGACAGTCAAACAGGTATGTGTAGACTGTCCCTTTGGAGTGTGCACAAAAGTGCGACGCCAAACCTCATCAGCCTTGTCCAAATGCTAACTAGTCATTAGGAGACCACCGTCGCCCACATCGCAAGTGCCTACAAGAACAGCCAAAAGATCGACAAAAGTCAGCCAATCACGCTTATGTTTGATGGTGAGCGGCTAATGCCCATGGATACTGTGGAAGATTGCGATCTTGATGACAAGTGTATGGTTGAAGTTCTCTTCAAGTGATTAAGTTTCCAGTTGGGATACAACAGATCACCCCTGCTTTCTTGTTTCCTCTCCTAGAGTTGCCTCTTGCTTATCTTGGCGTTGATTTTATGACATGACCGCAAGCATGGCGTTGGTGGAGTACCCGACAAGATACAAGCATTTGTTGCACATGCATAGCGACGAGTTGGCTTCGCTCATCTATTTGTTGATCCTACAGACTTCTCAGATATTGGGGTTCTTTCTCCGGTTCGCACCACCATCCAGAATCAACTCCTGCCCACTCAAGAAACCCGCACCCATGACGTACTCGACCATCTCAGCGAGATCTTCTCCTCTGCCCACTCTGCCGGCTGGATGTTGCTTGTGGTAGAGCTCGTCCAGATCGTCCGCCCAGGCCTTCATCCTGAGCTTCATCGCTTCTTCCTCATGAGGTGCAGTCTCTTTGTATGATCCGTTTTGCGTCTCTTTGATCTGCAGATCATAAGCTTTGCACTCGTGCTGCACGCTGACCCAGCCCGGCGAGATCGCCATAACACGGATTCCCCAGCGTTGGCACGAGACAGACATGGCCTGTGTAAGAGCCAGTACACCGCCCTTGCTCGCAGCATAGCCTTCGCAATCCGGGTCCGACTGATGAGCGCGGAAAGAAGCAACGTTGATGATGCAGCCTCCTTCGTCGAATTTGTCGTCGCCATGGAGATTCAGCGGCAACTGATTGAACTCGTCCGTACGCTTCAAATCTTTCGTCCGATCAACGCCCGGCGCACCATCTTTCTGCGTGTTCTTGCTCTTCATGAAAGGAATGACGGCTTGGCTCATATAGAAGGGTGCACTAAGATTAGTAGCAATGTACTGTTCCCATTGCTCTCCCGTAGCGACATCTTCCATGGTCCCATTTCCCGCGTTGAAGAAGCCTCGCGCTACACCTGCATTGTTGACAAGGACATCTATGCGACCGCCGAAGAATTCCGCGGCTTTGGCAACTGCGCTGCGGATCTCCTCTGGATTGCGGAGGTTGGTTATCGAAGAGCTGACGCGTGGTGCGTAGGAGGCCAGATGTGTGTTTACAGCGTAATCCAATTCGTCTTTGTCGAAATCGATGATGAACACGCGATGCGATGCTGGTAACGAAAGCAAATGTCGTGCTGTGCAGCGGCCGATGCCTCGCGCACCGCCGGTGATGATGATGTTCTTGCTCTTAGTAGACGGCATGATGTTGGATCTGAACTTTTCTGAAAGCGCAAACGCAGGGTCTGGACTGTATCGTACAGACAAGCCGCTTCTTATATCTATCCTATCCGCGTTGGTGGCGCCTCACGCGCGGCAGCAATATCAAGCACCTGGCAGCGGGGAGCACACACCCTTTCAGCCTATTCAGCCCACCTTGGCTTATCCAGAACAGTAGTTCAAGGCCGCTTGTCCGCGAAAGCCCTATCTAGAATAGAAAGGCAGCTTCATAAACGTGCGTGCTGTTGAGAAAGCTTGGTGGGTCTGCGTGTGGTGGTGGGATACGTATCCCGTGGATTGGAAGCAGGCCCGCGGTTCCGTCGTCTTGCGGCCTAGCTTGCTCCGACGGAACGTTGGGTTTGGACATTTGATGACTGCATAGCGCTGTATACGTTGCCTCGGGCTGCTCGTTGTCTAAGACATGCTAAGCGATGTGTATTGGGCGTGCCTGCAGAGCCGTTGGAGGAGATACGGATTCCGGGAAGACGGATCGGCTTGCGGGCCGTGGAATGTGCTGTTTGCCAAAGGGATCCAACCAACACCGATGATGGCCCAACGCTGGTTCTCCTGCCCTTGTCTTCTGTCGCGCGCAATATTGTCTTCCGTTCTTGACATTACCGCGAGAGGTACGTACTTCACGCGGTGGCTGAGAGATCCACTCTTGCCGTCTTGTCGATTTTGCCGAGGTTAAAATGCATTGCCTGACTACCTAGGTACTATCACGACTGCTCATCTCGGATGTTGCTATCATCTCGATTTCTCCATGTGCTCTCACAAAGTGCTGCGCTACGTTCATAATAGAGCAGCTTGAGCAACACGATCCTTCTGATGGAGGGATACGTTCACGATGCCCATAGCGTCATCATACCTCCACCGCCTGGGGCCGCTGAACGAGCGTCAAAGCGGATAGCTTCCTCATCGATACCCCAAAAGCAGAACACACCGATGGGCTACTCTATCGAATCAACCTGCTGATAACCTGACGAGGCTTGCTTTCATGCATTATCTTCGTCCCTCACAGGGAGTACTCGATATTTCCAAGGTTCTCCTACCAAATCTGAAGCCCTCGCGTGGATCTCTCGTATCCTTCCTATTCTAGACAGGCAGTCAATCTTATGTAAGACATCGAATCCAATCTTCGGGTACGTCAGGAGGAGTATACAAAGAGAGTCTCTTTGACATATGTTTTACATTATGCAGCTGCGTAGACCACTACATACAGCCCTTCGAACAGAAACAAAGGAACTGTGTGTCTCGAACACGAGATCGCTGCAGTGGCACTACCCACACATGACGCTTCTCAGAAAAATGGCCTCGTTGGTATACCCGATAGACGACTATATGTAATCACCTCTGTTCACCAAGTTTGCTCACCAGCACGAACCAAAATGCGCATCGTTATCCTCACCGTTCTTTTCCCAGCAATACATGGCGCGATTGTCCCGGCTCCTCTCTTCTTTGGGAATCCGGAAGATAGTCAAGTCGCATCACTAATCGGGTTTCTGGAAACATACGTGGACCACATGCCTTCAACGGCGGATTCTACATTGACTTCTGATATTAGTCAATCTACTCCAGCTGTGTCAACGACGGTTTCATGTCCGTCTACAATCACAAACAATCACACACTCAACACTGGAAATACACTCACTTCATCATGGGTGGTAGATGGCCCTGGCGCACCCAAATCCGCACCTTCCCCAGTGACGCTTACCTCCACGGTATTGGTTGTAATCTCAGGAAGCGCATACCAGTCGCCAACCCCTTCCACTTCTGTCGCAACACCAACTAGCTCAAACACCGTGAGCCTCGTTGTCAGCATGACGACGAGCGCGGCACCCTCTACATCCGACTCTGTGGCTCTCACACCACCGTATACGCCCCAGGGCATACCACCAAGCCCCGAAGGTATACCACCGGACTTCCACAGCACATTGATACTTCTCTCGACATGGACATCACTCAAATGGAAACCACTGCCCTTGCCCATGAACCCGACATCTCTAAAGCCGACATCTACATCAACAAGGATAGTCACAGTCACTATAGAACAGCCAGCCTCCACAACAAAGCCAGTCTCTACCTCCAAAAAGCCAATCTCTACATCCAAAACGCCGGCCTCTACCTCCAAAAAGCCAGCATCTACGTCGAAGCCAGATCTGGGCCCTACTGTCATCACGAGCGTGATAAAACCGGATACGCGCTGCCCGTATCCTTATCCGCACATCTATTGTGGTAAAACGAAGACGACGTTGATAACGATGACGAGCAAGACGAGTTAATGAGTGAAGTCGAAGATGCGCGGTGCCGGTGTTCTCATCTTAGGAACTAGTGTTGTGTTGAGGTGTCGATGGCTTTGTCCACGGGTCGATGGGAAGTTTGAGTAGTCACTATTCTTGGTCAGGTTATTAAGAAAATGCGGCCATCAGATACGTGTGAGGCAGCATGTATTTGGTACATTTCTCCCATTCCTATCTGCCCTTAACGTAACAGTGCTTTCCCTGTTTTACTTTACTGTTACAACAGGAGATTATACTCCATACTAGTCACTGCGTAGCAGACAATTAATGTGGCATCGTCGCAGTGACCGCTTCAGCAACTACCTATCTTGTCGCCATTTCTTCCGAGACTTCGCGTCCAGCGCACTCCTGCATCATCCTGTCTTGCACATTCTTCGCAGCGTGCGCATAAGCTACGATGTCTACATCTGTGGCCTTGCCATCTGCGCCTCCGTCAAAGACCTCGTAACTGAACCAGCCCCTGAAGCCTGTCTTGAGCACTGCCTTCGCAACATCAACAACCGGTAGATATCCTCCATTGTAAGGAAGAGGTCTAAAATCGTGACTCCACCGTCCACGAGGTAACAAGCCGGCATCGTCACGCTCAGCATTGAACGGCTGAGGGGCTTTGTACGCATCGCTGATCTGCAACAGGTAGATCTTATCCTTGGGAATAGTAGCACTCAGCTCCTCCAAGCTCTTCTGAAATCGCTTCTCCAATTCCTCCTTCGACACATCTTCCCGCAGGCCAGATGCCGTTCTAGGATCGCCCCACTCTCCACCTGCAGTCTGGAAAGTATCAAGACAAAGACCGATATTAGGACGGTCTACCTGCTGCACAATGTTCCAGACGTCTTTCCAATCAGGAGCATGCGTCGACCAACACCAGTTTTCATAAGCCAGTCGGAAGTTGTGTTCCTTGAGCATATCGCAGAGCACCTGGAGATCAGAGACCATCTTGCTCCTATCCAGTTTCTCGAGCGGTGAGTCTGTCGATCCAACTTGCAGCATATCCGTCCCACATGCCTGCATGATGCGGATCCAGCCGCGAGCGCGCTCCATGGCGTCTTTGCGGCCGTCGGAACCTTCGGGCCAGCCTTCGTAGTTGGCAAAGGGCTGCAACATCATGATCCCGAGGTTTCGCTTGTCGCATTCTTTCTTGATCTCGGCGGCTACTTTGCATAGTTCGTCGTAGTTGGATGGTTCGACTTCATGACCGAGGAGAGTTTGGCCGTAGGACAGAATGTCTGGGAAGGAAAGCTCGACTGCACTGAAACCTGCGGCGGACATGGCGTGTAGGCGCTCGAGGAGTGGCGGAGGGTTCGACGGCGATCCGAGCGAGCATGTCGCGTAGCTGATGGGGATGGATTGAAGGGTGGTGTAGTCGAGCGCGCCCATGGTGGATAATAGTTAGAACAAATTAGATGTGTTGGTAGTATTATGTCGTTACAGTACAGGGCGGAAGTTGAAGTTGTGTATGGGTGAAATAGCTGTATGCTGGCGCGCAACGGCTCTTTCGGTATGGCATGGCTGTGACGTAGATGTGGTGGGTAGCGATGACGGCACACTTGTCAAAGTCTAGTCGGCAGCTCGTACAAGCTCTGTTTGGCTGTCGAAGCAAATCTAGAGAGGCTTGGAGATAGCCAGATGTCTGCTAGTATCCATGGATCTATCGCTATATCTCGTGAGAAAGTAAAAGTAATGTCCGTCTTAACGGAAGCTTCAACGAGCCCCGCGGTCATCACATTCGCGGAAGAGGCATCTACCTTTGCTATTGAACATGTGGGGAGATTTGATAGTGGGAACCAGTCCAGTGCTTTGTATTTCACTGCACGTAGCCGTAAATATATCAAGGTAAGGCCCGAACGGCCCTTTTTACATGCTCGGTGTGCGGGCGTGCCTGGACCGGCGATGATGATTGAGGCTCGACCCCGCGCCACCTGAAAATCGGCGCGAATGCACCAATGAGGATCCCGCCGACTGCCGTCATACCAGAAAACATTCGACTCATAAGGTCCGGTATCGTCTGCAAGGAGAAGAAGAGCAGATAAAACCACTCTCGCCGTCCTGTTCAGCGCTCCCACTCTTCCCTCTTCCGTATACCCGACAATTGTCCAGTAGATCCTACGTCATCTCCAGAGACATGTCTGTACGTACACCACCATCACCATCGCCCCCAGTCGCTCTAACACGTCGTCGCAGTTCCACATCCAGAACCCAGCCGTGGGCGACCCACACAACTCGGAAGACTGGCGCATCAAGGGCTACAACCCCCTCACGCCGCCCGACCTCCTCCAGAGCGAAATCCCCCAGACAGCCAAGTCAAGAGACACGGTTCTCAAGGCGCGCGACGAAGCCGTCGAGATTGTCCAGGGCAAAGATGCACAGAAGCGGTTACTCGTCGTCATCGGCCCGTGCTCCATCCACGATCCCCCCGCCGCCCTCGAATACTGCGACCGGTTGATGAAGCTCAAGGAGAAGTACCAGGATGATCTCCTCATCGTCATGCGCTCCTACTTGGAGAAGCCGCGTACGACTGTAGGCTGGAAAGGTCTCATCAACGACCCGGATATCGACAACAGCTTCAAGATCAACAAGGGCCTGCGCATCTCAAGACAGCTCTTCGTTGATCTGACAGAGAAGGGTATGCCTCTGGCCAGCGAGATGCTGGATACCATCTCTCCCCAGTTCCTGGCCGATATGTTCAGCGTAGGCGCAATTGGCGCCAGGACCACGGAATCGCAACTTCACCGTGAGCTTGCGTCGGGCTTGTCCTTCCCAGTGGGTTTCAAGAACGGCACAGACGGTACGCTCGATGTCGCTATTGACGCTATCGGCTCCGCGAAGCACCCCCACCACTTCCTCTCTGTCACCAAGCCCGGTGTGGTCGCCATTGTCGGCACCATTGGCAATGACGACTGCTTCATCATCATGCGCGGCGGAAAGAAGGGCACAAACTACGATGCGAAGAGCGTTAAGGAGGCGCGCGAGAAGCTAGAGTCCAAGGGCATGAACTCGCGCCTGATGATCGACTGCAGCCACGGCAACTCGGAGAAGAACCACATGAACCAGCCCAAGGTTGCGCATGCGATTGCTGAGCAGATCGAGGCGGGTGAGACCGCGATTATGGGTGTCATGATTGAGAGCAACATCAAGGCTGGTACTCAGAAGGTACCCAAAGAAGGCAAGGCTGGCCTCGAGTACGGCATGTCCATCACCGACGCGTGTATCGACTGGGAAACCACCGAGACGGTGCTCGCCGAGCTTGCTGAATCGGTTGCGAAGAGGAGGACTCTGCTCGGCCAGAACGGCACCCACTAAAAGGTCTTTCTCTCTTCACGTACTATGGTCTGCAGGCACGGCGTAAGGATGGGGTCGGCGTTGTCAAACGTCATATACTCAAAAGCATGTACATGGGTCTTGGGTACGGATTACGATTCAAAACATTACAGGCAAACGCTATACTATTCACTACAACTCCATGATCTCTGGTGTATCGTCGTCATCGTCGTCTGTGCTGTGTCTGGGGTACTTGTCGTACCAGTCTCGCGGATTACCGCCTGGCAGACACAGTCCCAGTCGCCAGAAGTAATCGCGATGGGCAAAGAACAGCTGCCAGAACTTGAAGCGGGTGGGCACGCCCCAGGCAGGCTTATCCTCATCGCTCCCGGCAATGCAGTGCGTATCCTCGTCGCCCTCGCAATAGTGGATGTCGGCTACCGAGAAGGGTAGGCTTGACTCGGATATGAATATCTCTTCGCTGTGCATGCTGAAGCCCCATTCCGATAGCGGCAGCAAAGGTACCGGGTCGCCAATATGAGTGACACGGTGGAGTTTGTTATGGTCGTGGTCCGTGGTGATGCCAAAGCGCTCATCTACGTACTTGTTGAAGTGCTTGTTGCCTAGTCGTGGTTCGCCGAAGGTGGTCACATGGGGTTCCCATCCACGAGCCTTGAAGTCTAGCCCGGCGAGAGTTGCTATAGCACCGCCCAAAGAGTGTCCCACCAAGACCAGCTTGTAGTCGGGATACTTCTCCATAGCCTTGGATACATGTGGCAGAACCACCTTGCGTGTGTTGAGCCAGGAGGAATAGAAGCCCGTGTGCACAGTACAGTTCTCGCACTTTGGCGGCTCTGCAGGTGGCGCATCGTCATCTACGTCTAGCACAGGCGCAATGAAGTCTGAAGTATCGTCGTCATCGTCGCCAGGGTATGGCACGTATTCTTGTGGGATGGTAGAGAGGTCCGCGATGGTGTTGGCGACAGAGTAGGTGCCTCGGAAGGCGAGGATCAAGCGTGGATTGGTACGAGAATGCGAGAGCGCGATATAACCGCAGGAGTCAGACAGGAAAGGACCAGTATTCCATGCCTGTGTATATCAGCACCCCATGCGACACATTGCTGGATGCAGCGACGTACCGTGACCAACTCGAACGTCTCAAAGTCGCGGTCTCCACAGCGGCTGGCGCATTTGAACGGCTTCTGGATGCCCAAGCCCGCTGTGCCTACACAGTAGGATATGTCGACAATGCGCGCGAGTTCTTCGAGTTCCCAGAAGAGGGCCTGCGAGATCAGCGTGGTGTCATTGCTGCGGAGTAGGGGCTGCTGCGTCGCATCGCCTCTACCGCGGGCGACGAAGGATGCGCAGAGCACAAAAGAAGACAGGAACAGGCCGCGTAAGATGCCCATCAGTAATGTCGGTTCACATATCCACAGGCTGGGCGGTATTGGAGGATGGGCTTGGTGGTGAGGTCAGAGGGACGGATGTGAACTAGTCGCGTGAATCGGCTGCGTGTGAAGCGTCCCGAGGTCACCAGGGGATAACAAGGTTTGTCCCGTATGCCGCCTGCACACAAGCTGTGATGCTATGAATAACACTCGACGTAGATAACTATCCGATGTTGCTTGCTATCGAATTGTTAAAGCACAATGCAGTGCAGCCGTCGGGTGAACACGAATTCCGGTATGCCCAGTGGCGTCAGCGCCGAGGGTCCCAAGCCAGCGCCAAGAACGGAAGGCACTCTGTTCGCGCTTTCCCGAACCTTGGAAGCTAGTGACATCATAGGGTGAAACGAAAGCAACAAATGGGTGGTTCATATTTGCAGGCTACGGGCTGCACGCTGCTGACACGATACCACCCTTTCCCTCCCCCCAAGATACGCCGACGCGTACAAGACACACGCTCACCCGTTGGCATCCGGACAAGACGCGACCGACTTCTCTTGTCTCCGCCGCATCCGCACTTTTCTCCTGGGCACTCCATCGTGCCACCGCTGCCACACAATGGCCACCGAGCAATCATCAACAGAGCCCTTGAGGCCCGTGACGCCTGCCGCCGATGCATCACGACCGACGACGGCCGGCCAGGCCGACACGCTGCCCGTCCCCGGCGTACAGGTCGACGGCGTGAGCGACGATGAACGAGAGCCGCGCAGCACGACGGCCGCCAGCAACGACGCCAACCTCACCCCAAGCGCACAACCGAGCCGCGCCCCGTCGCCCAATCCCCACGCCCAGTTTCCCCACACGCAGGTCACGTACGAAGACCCGGACTTCACCCGCCCGCCGCCGCTCAACTACACGCTGCGCACGCGCAAGAAGTCCATCTTCTGGTTCTGGACCCTCATCATCCTCGACTGCGTCTTCATGCCCATCGGCCTCTACTTTGGCATGTGGTATGGCCTGACGCGCGACCAATTGTCCGCCAATGCCGTCTTCAGTATCAGCACCGCCTTGCTCGGAACCGTGTCGATTGTCGAGTACTTCATCCGCTTCCACAGGCTGTGGAAGAAGGGCTCCAGTTGTAGGGTCATTGGTGCGCAGAGATGGTACCTCGACTGGTTCCACTGGAACTTGTCGGTTGGTTGGTTCTTTGTTATGATTGAACTCATTGCGTAGGTCCTCTTTCCATCTCGAGTGTGCCCAGCTAACAGCTCGCAGTGGCACATGTCCTCATGACCCGCCCATCCGTGTCCTCGCCATGCCAGCCCCGACCATGATGTTTGCCATCGGTTGCGAACTCCTCCTCGTGGACATTCTGCGCATCATGAAAGTACCCGCACCGTGCCGCATCTCCTCGCTACCCCAGGGCGCGCCTCTCCGTCCGGGTATCTACGCGTACATTGAAGACATTTGCGCTGTCGACGGATCCGGTGGTACCGAGTTCCGCCAGCGATTGAACCTCCGTTACCAGGCTAGCAAGGGCTTCCGCACGATGCTTCACCGCTTGACACTCTTCTGGGCCATTGGCGCCATCGTCACAGCCGTGGTTTGCACAGCTATCATCTTCACCATCCAGCGAGACGCTGCCTACGTTGTACGTAATTCCCTTCTCTGCATGGCCTCTTCAAAACTAACACTGTTCAGGTCGGCTGGGTTCTCCCTTTCCTCTGGGCCGGTATCTGGACCGCCATCACCATTCCCTGGGTCCAACGTGAACTCAAGAAAGAGTACGAAGAATGGACCACGGCCAACTTCAAGGCCTAAACGGCTTAGATTCCCTTTTTCTTATCATGTACAATACACATATATCACTAGGATGCAAACCGACACAGGAGTTCTGCTACATTGGCGATGGCGTTCGCGGGTTCACATTGGATTTGGGCCGTGTTGATACATTAGATACCACTTTTTTCGCGCAAAACACCAGTATCGCATTTTCCACGTCGTAATTTTCATTCATCTCGTGTATCTTCGCGTACGCGGTATGTACAACCTACCTCATCGCATCCACTTACCCACTCTACTCCACCCACACACTTCCAACAATCCAACCCTCAGCCGCAGCGTACGTACACGTCACATCAACAAAGCCTATGCAAACCGTTGACATCACGACATTCGATCAATGGAATCACCCCCTGTTTCGAATGTGGTTGATCAATCGTACGAGTAGTGCGTTTTGGGTGAGATAACTCGTACAATCCGGCTGATAACATGAGCTAAGCTTTTACCCGATGACATCGTCCAAGGTTTTATGATGCATGGATCCACTTCCCGCGTCTTTCTTGATGCGGATTAGGGAGCTTGGTAGTTGACGTGGGAGTTATTTCCGGCATGTGACGGACATGATATTGGACATGATGGGTTTCTTAGGTTTACGTCGGGTGCACGATGTTGTGTAGATACCTGTCGTCGCGATGGTTAATCGTTGTTGTATGCGCAACGTCGCGTCGCGTCACTATCTTCAACAATGGTCTCTAGCAAATCGGGTATCAATTGTACGGCCGTCCACCCTACTCTTCCATCGCATCTTCTCCGTTCATCTTGATCTGCTGCTTCATACTTTTATCCCCCTTGACACCCAATCTAACAACTTCCACATCCCAGCTCTCCATATCTACCAGTACGATCTTGCCCGATGTTCTGAACTTGGGTACGCTGACGAGCAATACCTTTTCTCCAGCAGGACCTTCAATGACTCTCTTCTCAAACTTCTTCTGGCAGCCGGCAAAGTACACGTGCGGGCACTCCTTCAGCATCAAAGGATCCTCGTCTTGGAACGGGTAGCACCATAGTGTATCCGGGGCGGTAGGGGCTACACAGCGCCAGCGCAGCATCATCTCCATAGCCTCTGTCGATTTTACGCGCTTAACGTATTTGAGCAGGTCTTGGACTGTTTGGCCTCCTGTACCTAATATGCGGTACCCGTCGATGTCGCCTAACCAAGGGTTTGTGACTGCGTCGAAGCCGTTGAGGGTTGTGTTCGTCTCTATTGGGGGTTCGGCGTAGAGGCGTGTCTTGGGAAAGAGTGCGGGGTGCAGAGGTTGTTGCGGTAGGGCGACGTTGGAAGGATCTGAGGCTCCTGGGAGCATGGTGATTGGGAGCGAGGGAAGGATTTCGCAGAGGAATTCATCGAGGCGCGTGGTAGGTGCTGCGTTGTAGGATGAGGCATCGTATCCGTAGTGTCTTGCTGCGCTCTTCTTCGCGGCAAAGTCTTCTCGTGAGAGGATTGGGGAACCTTTTGCGAGTGAACCACCTGCTATGACGAGTCGTGTTATCTTTGCGGCCTCGGCCTGCGTAGCTGGATCTGCAGCTTCACCAGTCAGGTATTCGACCAGTAGATCCAGCGAGACCTCATCGTCGTCTGCGCCAGTCAATTCCAGACCTGAGACCAGGGCTATCTTTCCAGCCCTTTCCCGTTTTGGCGCCTTCTGCTTCTGCTTTGACAGCGCAACATCGTCCCGCTCCCACCGCGGTGGTTGTCTCGGTAGATCTGCGCATTGGGTTGCAATGACCATGAATGTGCCGTCTGCTTCCTCCGTGCCCAGTGCTGCTAATATGCATCCCGTTACAAAATGTTGGTGAAGAGGCTCGCCTGTAACTCTGAGACGACCGGACTCGTCTTCCAGCATCATCTCGTCGGCGCCGGAGGAGGATACGTAGGTTTCGCGATGAGGGGGGTCCGCTATCCAGTGCTGTCGAGTGTCAGGGATGATGCTTTGTGTGTTCGCGAAGGGGACTGTACATCTTTCTCAATGTCGTTCAACACGTTGGGCTTCTCGGCCATCTCCATGTATACTGTCCCTACCACCCAACAAAGCTCGCCTTGCCTCACATCCAGCACTCGTTCGACGAAGGTTGCTTTTTGCCCGCCTAGCTTTTGTGATGTTAGCATTCCTTTATACCGTGAAGTATGCATCCCCACTCCCACAGCTTGTTATTGCATACCTCGAAGTCGTTCCACGCATCTTCAGCTCTCTGCTTCACCGTCTTCTTCAATTGCATTAACCGCAAAAAGTACATATCGGCGAATTGTTGCGAATAGTGGCGCTCGGTGCCCGGTGGTAGTACGAAGTCGTGTAGTGGGTTGTACGCCGAATGGTTTCGAGACGGTGCGGGCGGCGCATCCTCACTGTTGCAGTCAGTATTGGGCTTCCAGGTGAATACAGGCAACGTACAAAGGCTCGCCCTTGAGCAGCACATCATTTGATCCGGTCATTGCAGTGGTGAAGTAACTGTGTTGGAGACGTGGGCGCGCTTGTAAAGTTCCAAAGTTGCAGATCGCGGAAGTCGCGTCGCGCGTCATTCACGCCATCCCGAAGGGGAAGTTTAAGAGCCCCACTCTACTTACACCTTCCACCGCGCAACACTACATTTTGTGGAAGTCTTTGACGCCTCGCATAAGGAAGAATAGAAAAATACTGTTCTCCACAGGATCTGAAGGTAATGTATACTTTTTCATTATTTGTTTGTGTTATCATCTGTAGATAGTGCAGATGGCTATCCTATCAGTGTATCTGCCTCGTCTCTTCGTAGACTGTTAGCCGTCGACCATTTCCAGGCCTCGACCATTGCTATACACGAGTCTAGTCTATACATCTGACCGCATCCGTCTATACCGATTATATGTTGCGCCGAAAATGCTAATGATCTCGTCCCGAGACCCTTGGTGCCGTAGTAACGCCGTAACCATATGCGCCGATGTTGAAACCAAATCAATTAAGGGTGGTTGAAAGAAGGTGTAAAGTCGAGCAAGCGCGCTGCAAACATCTAGAGCATCTGGTATCTCGTCAGGATGTGGTTCTAGCATACATTGAAAGGTGTGTGAGACTTACGAGAGCAACACCGCCAGCAACGATGAGTCCAAGGGCTGAGCCGCCGAGGTTTGAGGCTCCACCAGTGAAGGGGAGAGTTGAGGTTGGGCTGGCTCCAGTAGGTTGAGCAGCGCCGGTGCCGGTAGGGTAGTAAGCGGAAGCTGTGGCAGTTCCGTTCATGGGAACGTATGTGGCAGTTGTGGTGGCGGCGAGCGCAGCGACGATGGAGATGATGGAGAACTGCATCTTGATTGTGATTGTGTAAAGGGTTGCTGTTGAAATGGGTATGGATTGAAGGTTTGGATAGCGACGACAGACTTCGATAGTAGACTGGATGAGATAGCTGTTGGATGACAGTTTGGTAGAGCGTACCACAGCCGTGTTTATATCATCCACGCCTCTGTCCACAATTACACCAGCTGCCAGCGCCTTCTAGCCATCTCCACAAGCCTACGTACACCGGCCGCAAACAAATCCACATCCCAGCCCTCCGTCACCCAGCCTTACAAAGCCCCTTGGATCCATCGTAACGGGCGATGAGCCAGTAGCACGAGCCTGGACGCAGGGTCACCCAGCCGACGGAGAGGGCGTTAGCTGTCAAAAGGCTGGGTGTTGCGCAATTCGGCGGGTCCGCGTGGCATGAAAGCAGGCTGGAGCGCTATTTTTGGCTGCGCCCCAGCCACACCCATCTCAGATCGCGGCTCTGCGGGTTTCGCCTCATCACTTCTCACTCTTCTCATTCGTCGCCGTTTGACACTGGCCGACAATGTGTCGATAAGAATTCTCTCCTTCGTGGGCGAAGTCTGTTGGCGTCATTACTGGGCAGGAATTGACAGTACGTCGAGTTGCGAGGTTGCGGCGCCGCCGTTGCGTAGCATCCAGGTAGCCGCCCCGTGCCGAACGCAACGGTAACTCTGGGACCACTTCACCAAGATCTCCATCGAGGTGCCAACGCCGGTGCGTTTCGCAAGAGAGTTTGCTAAGCACGATTGCGCAAACTGATGGTTCTACTTCATTGGATTACCTACGTGCACCACCTGGGCCGCGTCCACTGCTCATGTCCGCTCCCTGCAAAGCCGGCTGGCTGGACCTAACGGTCGAGAATCCTTGAATGTTCGAAATACTCCCGAAGAGCTATATCATTGGCAAATATGAGCCTCGCGCTGGTTTACATTGCGTACGCAAAGGTAGATTGGGCCCCACATGGAAAGGAGAAGGTGCAGATTGAGGCAATTTCAAACCACTCTTTCCGCCCCAATCTACCGGAAATGACGCAGACAGGCGATGTCTTGTTTACTGCTCTAAATCTACAGTGAAGCATGCATCCGGTTCGTTTACCTCAAGTCGGACAGCTCTTCGATGCTCTGATCGTACCGGTGTTGCACCGCAATATCCCATATAGTATCCCAATCGGCACACTGATGAGACGTACCCCAGCCGTTGAATCCAAATTCGTCAGGAACAACGGAATGCTCCAAAGACAAATCTCCTGCGCACATGATAGCCTTGGGGAGCAGTGTTAGCAATCGCATTCCTCCCTGGAACATGACGATGCGGATAGTCTCACCTGGCGAAGATAGTCGAAGCAATGGTTCACATGCGACTCTGGCGAGAAGGTCGCCCTCTTACGTATTCCAGTAGCAGTCTCATTCATAAAACCTTCCAGTATGCCGAGTCGCACTCGAACGGAGTCCTACGATCGTCAGCTAACAGTCGTGGCAGTAGCTGCGCAAGACTGACCAGGCAATGTAGCTGATGGAACATCGACATCGAATAGACTTCCGAGCCAGAGACGTTTCGATTCTTGTAGCTCGACGGTAGCTGGTACCTCGACGGATCAGCTACAGAGATGATGCCATCGTCAACTGTGGGATACCAGTCAGTCCTTGCTGTCGGATCTCACACCGGGGTAATAATACTGGGCATGAGAGCCGCCCATGCGGGCTCTCCCGCATCTTTGGCCGTATAGTGGAACTTTGGATCCACATCAAAAGTAACAATGCGGGATGGCACTGGATACCTCTGTCAGAATAGCTTCTCATCAAGCATTTGTTTGCTGCGACACATACCTGGCAGGAATGGCAACAAGTTCACCACATGGTTACCGTAGATCGAGTGCCTCTGCCCCATAAACCAAGCCAGGCTACCGAGAGTCACTATCCAGAGAACGAGGGAAGCACCGAAGAGGTTCTTGTACGAGAAATACTGAGCGAGAGTGTGCGGCGGTAACTGAGACAACTCTGTTTCCTCGTATGGACTTTCAACGGAGACATCGTCCGATAGACGAGCGTAAGCCATCACTGTCTTTTCCGTTGACTTCCCAACTCCAATCTCCGTTATCCAGTCTCAAAGTTCAAAAGTGTTAATCCAGTTGTTCTGATGCGCTGTGCGCCTTTTCGCTACCACAATCTCGCAACGAGACCCCTCTTCAGCTTTTTGGCTCCCGCGCTTCACCAATACATCATAACTCTGATCATGTCAACATTTTTACTGCGCACGTACGTTAGTGGTGGTCGTGTGTAAGCTGACACACACCTGACGGCTTCTTTCTCCGCAACCCGCCGTAAGCTAATGCACCTCTGTACAGCAACCTTCCTAATCAGCATAACTTTCTTCCTGGTATACGGTAGACGTGCAGTAAAATGCCATCAGCAATGGTCACGAGCGGTTGTACCCGCCAACCCCAGCTTGGGAGCGGCCCGTGCCTTCTGCTTTGCGGGGACTTCAGGCTATATTGATGCTGACTACGGGTGTGACACGTCGTGCTACTGCTTGAAACAGTAAAGTTGAGAGGATGGGGGAAGGTGTCGGTTATCAACTTTTGCTCGTGGCGTTGGCTAGGTTCAATCGAGGTGGTGATAGTCAATGATGGGTACAGGCGCCGCTTTTAGTTGTTGACGTCTTTTGCTTCAAGTATTGTATTTTCTTGGAGATGCTAGACATCTGCTAGGCTTTTTTTGTGTATGGTCGTGGCTTGTACCTGGATACGTGGGCGAATTTCTCGGTACATAATCTCCCTACTGAGATACGAAGAGAGGAAAGACTGGAAAGTAGTGGCGATAAGATGACTGCTATTTGGACACTGATATAGGCCTTAGTATGGCGGTTCTGCGGAGAAGAATATCTAGCACTAGTCAGTATCACATTTCGCTACTAAGATCCAACGCGTCCAAGGAGTCATTGTGAGAAGGCAGTCGCGTATAAGCTAAGCTTGGAAAGCTTGGTTGATTCAAGTCTGACGCTCACTTGCATGTGCATACTCTTAGCTGCGCAAATCCGGTGTTGGCTTACGGCCGAGACTACGACTTCATTCGACGATCCGTGTCGACAAGCGAAAAGCCGAGTGCTCTTTCTGCAAGCTTTACTACGATGAGCTTCTCGCAAAGGCAGCCACAGCAAGCTAAAGAGATGGGGTTGACGCGTTGCATGGAGATGGTGAGTAGGCAGTGGACTCTATCAGCAGTGTGTGCGCTTCTCTACCTCTATTCGGGAAATGCTACTCTACTCAAGTCTGAGATCGACTCACCGACGACCCGAAAGCTCTTCGTGTGTATGCAGAAAGACCACAAGTCTGTATGCAGCATCAGCAGATGAGCACTTCGTCGGCAGCGCGGTCCGTTTTGGAGGAGCTGCACGCTCAGTACGACGACTACGTAGATTTCGATCAGCTTCAGCATCTATATAAGCAGTAGGTGATGGCATCTAGCTCGTTAACAAGCTCGCAGATTCACTCATAAGCTTACCAACTTCCCATCGTCTTCCTCAAAACACATACATCAACACCATGCAGTTCACCACTCTCGCTGTCCCCCTCATCGCCCTCCTGTCTTTTGGAAGCGCTGCTCCCAGTGAGCTTCGCGACCGCAGTCCCGCTCCAGTCTCGAACCTCATCAAGTACCCCGCTGACCACAGCATCGATATGGTCAAGCGCGCCCATCTGGAGGCTCGATGCGACGTTAGTTGCCCTTGCAGCTGGTGCGGCATGACTATCTGCTGCGAGTGTACCTGCTAGACATCGATGGATTAATGGCCTGGGTAAGTACTCTGTCAATTATTGAGCACCCAAGTTGGACTAAGGCTTCGTTCGTCCATAGGCGGTATGACTGCTCGAGTCCTGCCCCTGATGACATTGAATGAAGATCATTGCAGATTACGAGAGGCCGGTCACTCGTTTACATAAATTTGGCAATTCAGTGGTTCAAGATCTCGTGTGAACTCTTTACATGATCAATGCATGTGCTTGCAAGGCTTGTCTGTCCCTGTCTGGCAAAGCGAATGCGAAATCTTTGGATGTCACCTGGATGCTACCTCAAAGGTGTATAGCCACGTCAGATGCCAGGGGCAATGAGTATGGTTCGGTGGATGTACTCTTAAGACCTGTGCTTGTTCGATCGCGCATGCAGCCCACTGTAACGAGATGACAGCAAATCCCCGAGCTATGTAATGACAAGTATCGGCATATACCTCAAAGAGAGCCTGGCAATGCGACACTTGATCTTGCCCGCTGAGACAGGCAGGTGCATGAACACATCAGCCTTGGCTTGTCGAGACGCCCTGGCAGGGTCTCGCTGGCAGAAATTTTCCGCGTCGACGCCTCATCCATCCTATCTGCTGCAGCACGTGACACATGCCTTCACCGATCAAGTAGGAACGGAGAAGACGCGATTAAGCTCAAAATCCAAACGTCTAGCGTCCGTCTATGCGCAGCCGATGACGTCGGTTGTGGTATTACACGTGGTGTGGTGCGGCGCAGAAGCCGGGAGAAGTCGTGCGGTCCCACGTCTCTTGCAGGAATCGCGCATGAGGAACTAAGTCGACAGTTACATGTCCGACTTGCATATCCTTGTAAGGCGCGTATTGTGGGCCTCCCGAGGATTCTCCAAGGTTTGCATTGCTGTATGCACGTGCATTGTGGCGTCGATTGGGCTAGCGCAATATAATCTGTACGACACGTCACTCTGACAGTCATCAACAGCCACCACTTCCAGCAGTTCGGAAGCGTTCCATGAACAACACAACGACTGCCAGCGCAGAGCAGATGAAGATTGAGGGTGTGCTAACCCCGCCTTGAGCCTCGTGTTGTAGATCGACTCAGCTGCGCCTTCCGCTTCAAGCGCGCAGAAGCGAATACCGAACAAGTGCCGTGTTGAAGAGTTGGCTAGCGTTCAGCGTGTCGGAGGGTTTGCGAGTACACCAAACCCATGGCCATAGCACGAACATCCAGGAACCGGACAGCCTGCAGAAGTGTGATGTGATATGGGCTGCATTCGATGCACGAACCTGGTGATCCTAGGGCTGAGCGGTTCACGCCAGGAACACATTCATTGATATTGACACGCCGTTCTAGGCAATCGCATATGCCACCTCACCTCACTCATGTGGGTCCAGTTGGAGCCATGAGCTACCCTAATCCCACGTTCTTTCGCTTAACGTTGCATTGCTGCGTATGCGACCTTTGCAGCTTCAGCACGCGGAGCATGCTGTCTAAGATGACGCGCTTTGAGATGGCATCTACAGATACGGTACGGAATCGGCACGGCCCTTTATTCATCTAACCGTAAGCGGGCCGAACGCCGATGGAACTATGGGCCAATCTGCGAGACACATCTGGCATTGCATCGGGGCCTTGAGAAACTAGCATGGCAGCATCTCTCGTCGTCCTCCAGCTGCCAGCACATCGCTTGAACCAAGCTTAACAAGGTAGACATACTCACCACCAAAATTTATCCGTACCAGCTCATTGGTCTCTACATCCCAAACTTGTGGTGCCGAAAACACGCAGCAATCCGTCGTAGTGTCTGTACCGGGTTCTGGCGGTTGGAGTTTCTGCCTTGCCGCGTTCTCTTCTCGCTACCCCCGCAGTTGCTCGCTGAATGATGTTTCTGCCGGCCAATTATGGCGGAAATAGGCCTGCCAACGCAGCATAGTATCAGCTTCATGCTTTGTTCCCAAGCACATATGTGGTACGGCGGCTGCAGGCTGAATCTTTTTGAGATGGCCTTGTGGCAAAAGCGCTGGCCGGCCCTTACAGGATACCGAAAGTGAGGCTCTAATGTTTATGCCGGACTATAAACAGACGAGGAGATATGCTAGAGCGAGTGTTCTTTCCAGCCTTCGCACACGCAGTTGATCCTCCAGATCCCCACTCACGAGTCACTACCCCACACCAAATCCCTCGACAGCATCGCATTTTCATCCTTTCCCCCAAACCCATCTCGCACAATGGCGGCACCAGAGAGTTACGTTCAGAAGCTTCAGCGTGCGCAGACCACTGTCCCTGTGAGGGCCCAGCTAAACTTCCCAGACTACTGCGCCACGAACCAGATCGCCCAACCTCAGTTCCAAGATTACAGCGACCCACGAGGTATGCAGCCATCCGCTCTACATGTTGCCCCACCATTCCCGACTCTGACTGACTCTCCTATCAGGTATACGGACAGCCTGGTCCAGCAGTGTCTTCGTACACGGTCGCGAATACCGAGCCCACCTCTGGCGAGACTACCGCTACCTCGAACAGTCCCGAGAAGAAGCCGCCGAAGTCGCTTGGAAAGCACTCAACTCCGCTCCTCCTCCTACGAGCACCGTGGTCCAGCCGCAATACACCCGTGCCTACACGACATCTCGATAACTCTTCGGTTGCTTCCGCATAAAACAACAACAAGACTCAGGGGTAAAGGGCACTCCGGACTGCGCACTCGTCAGGAGGCCACCCCCTGAAGGCTCTGTTGCTCAGACGCACTGTCACTATGTGCTTGCCACACATTTTGTCTCTCGACCGACTTTTGCTGCGACCTATCTTCTTCTGATAGCTGGTTCTATACCCTTTTCCCTTTTGCGCTAGGTCTCTACCCTTCTTCAGCACCACCAACCCGACGCGGTGTGTACTTTATTGTACCACACTGTGTACGGTATGGTTCCTGACCGCCCCGTTCCTTGTTCGGTCTCATACTGTATCTTATTTCGTTGGAGGTTTTTTGTCATTTTAGTAAGCGATCAATCGGGGCTTGGGCTATCTGGTTGTTGAGCATCGCCGCCAAACTGCCAGTCTCACAGCATCCTGTCCCCCTTTTAGGAACGGATGTAACTACGCACTATCATTCAGCAGCCGTATTCCAATAAATCCACACTAAATCACAAAACGTGCTCACATGTGTCTGCTTGTTGCTAACTGGAGAATGTGCCTCGAGTAGCTTCAGGCATACACATTGGGACCCTCACTGCCTACTTCGGAGGCGATACAGACAGTTTGTATGTACTTCAAACAGACCGGATAGTGCCATGAGTCATGCTCTTTGTTTTCTACTGTGGAACTTCCGCTTAGGCAGTATACCAGAGCAATCTCTGTGCTACGACACCAGCTTCGAAGAAGCTAAATATTGCTCGAACACTTGGAGTAGACAAGATGCAGGCCGTATGTGATGAGCACCGAAACGTATCACACCAATAGTTCTAACAGCTCCCCAGCCCCTGGAAATTACACATCCATCGAAAATGCTCAAACTAGTATAGCCTTTTTGAGCTTTAGCCATCGCCATACGAGTATATGTCAACCTCATTGGAAAGCCACATAGATGTCGGTCAATACCGAGTGTAAGCTATGACTTGGCTTTCGAGAAACCACTGCACAGTAAGTCAACACTATTGATGCCTCATCCTTAATCAGATCACCGTATGTCTTCGTCAAGTACCTTGTCGTCTTATCACTAGATGTACATAGGATGGTGAGATCTGCGTCATGATGTATACGCCACCTTTACTAACGCATCTCAAAGTCCTCGTCTGAGATTAGCCCAGCGAGGATACAGCTCACACGTACGAGAGTACGAAGGGCTATAGTGAAGGATCTCCTACGCTGCGTAGTTATCGCTGCAGCGAAAAGCATGCGATAAGCACCAAAGAGCAAAAGGAAATACAAATAAGACAAGCGCGAACCTGACAGAAAGCCGTTCTTGAATAATCGCTAAGCGTTCGCATATCGCAACACCAGCTTGAATACAACATGGTCCAGCCAGCACATCCCGCGACTTATACAACTCTTCAAGACTCCAATTGCCGTCAAGATGTCAGAAAGGCGGCAGATATCTCATTGCCAAGTACACTATGCTCAGCAATACCCCCAGCCTTAAGCGTAGGGATATCCACGGAACCCCGACATTCCAAGCGCCAGGCCACACAATGCGACACATGCTCAGTCTGATCCCCCTCCGCCGCATTCATGCCAACCATTACCCATCTTGGCATACCCCAAAAACCCCATTGGCCGACACCGCCATCTTCTAACGGACCGGAAACCTGAGATGTGTTAAGGCATTTCGAGGCAAGAACATTGCGTAGTGGCTGAGCAGTGGGGTGGGGTGAGGCTGAAGTGCGCTAATAGGTTCGCTTACGACGCTTTCCTCCTTCTCCTTACACCTTTTCTCCACATGTATCACGGAACGGGAGAACGCATAATGTTCGCTGTGTTTTGCGTTTCCAAACTACGTGCGTGGTGATCGTCTGCACCGCGCCATTTGTAGGCTAAAAGTAGATGCGAAACGTGCGTGTTGGTAACATGGCTTTTACGCGAGGCGTAAGGAATGCTATGCTGCCTCGTCGCCATACGGACGTGATTGCCTGTTGGGGCATTGGTGAGGCGGCAGTGACATCTGTGAGTTTCGAGTTGGCGCCCGTATTTACTTGTGTGAAGGGTAGGGTCAGCTTTTGCGGTGCTGAGGTGGACATATATATGGAGCGTCTCCCAGATACTGACTATCATCATCGATACTGAGGCAATTGGCATCCCTATCCTACAAACAATACATAATTTTACTTCCCGGCGAAGATTCAATACATCAATTTAATAAAACACCCCATCAATCGAAACATCAACACCTATCAACCGAACATGGCGCCCATCTTCAAGCTCCTCGCTCTTCTAAACCGTGAGTTCATCCCCCCAAGCCAACCTTCTCCAATACTAACCTCACCAACAGTCTCCCTATACGCAGCAGCCCAAGGCACCCAATTCATCACGGGCGTATGTGCATCAGACGCCGAGTGCGCCTCCGCGTGCTGCGGCTTCACATCTGGGAAATGCGCCGCACCCTTCGTAGCCAACGAACGAGGTGAAGGCTGCGGCTTCGGCGACGCACAGCCAAACAACAATGCTCTGAACGGCGCAGGTGGAAATGCCAGTGCGGATGCGCAACCAGACGCTGCTGCTCCTGCTCCTGCTCCTGCTCCTGCTCCTGCGGAGAGTAACACTGGAGCTGCGGCGCCGGCGGCAGCAGGCACGCAATTCATCACTGGAGCGTGTACATCAGACGCTGATTGTGCGTCAGCTTGCTGTGGGTTTAAGAGCGGGACATGTGCCGGTCCAGTCGTGGCGCAGGAAAGAGATGGAGGATGTGGGTTTGGGGACGCGCAGCCGAATGATAATGCGGCGAAGGCGTTGCAGGGACGGAGGCTGGGGAGGAGAGGCGCTAAGTATATGTAAGATGCTGGGGAGGAGAGATGAGGTGTAGTAATGTGATGACGGAGACGAACATGGTGTCATTATGAATGTATGCAAGCACTTCTACTCTTGTCCCATAGGGTGCTTGAAATAACCGTCTCTTTCTTCGTAACAAATGACAAGCTACATAGCCAACGCGCACCAGACTACACATGTACGTCTGATGAAAACGTTTCCCATGTGTATGGTAAACATGCCGGGACTAAATCTGAGTAATCTGCCCGAATACCCCGGGTGTTACGCGTCTTGAAGAGAGCCAGGAGTGTACGGTGATGTACGAGGCCAACCGTTGACCTGGTTTTGCATCTCGGTGAGCTGGGCTGCGGGGACCCTTTGCCCTTCCTAAAATAGCCTCGCAATCCAGATGCCAGGTTTGATCAGTCTTTCAACGTTTGTTCTCTGAAGCGTGTAAGACCAAAACTCCCGGTCGATCCGTGGACTTGTAGCACCAAGGGATATGCTTGCATGCATCCCTGTGACTACCGGAGCAAACCCCGCCTAAGTTTGTGAAAGTTTCAGTAATGTCAGCATGTCGTCGCAACAATAACAATGCTCAATCACAGATGCGTGGGTCGAGAAGGGTGTAACGTGTAAAAGCAGCCTCACAACAGAGGCTAGCTCGATTCTCTTCTCATATTGCATACCCAGCCAGGTGTACGCCACTAACATGTCTAACGCCCATTTATACTCCGGCGCTCCAATGCATGTAGAGAATGCAACCCAGTAGGAGAGAGCCCCATGTGTACGCCAAAACACCCCCTCGAGTAATGTAGAAAAGACTCGATGCCGTGCAACACAGAAAAGGTGGCAGAGTGGTTTGCACATTCCCGACAAAAGGTAAAACAATATAACAGATGAAAAGGGATATCGAGAAAGGATGTTTCGAAGCGAAGTATGCCGAAGTCGTGAGTATGGGTCGAAGAGACGTGGTGTGCTTCTGATGGGATGTTAGTATTGATGTGGGATGGAATGGGAGTCGGTAGGAGTGACGTACGGGTGCATTTCTGCAGCGCTGCCACATCTCAAGATGTTGTGTGGCCATTTGGGATCTCCTTGGAGCGGCCGTCGCCAGCCCAGACACCGCCGCCGACAGCCCTTGAGATGCCGACACCGAGGCCAACGGCAGCGGCGACGACGAGAAGAGCGATGACGATCTTAGCCCACAGTCTCTGTTTGCTGGTCATGTTCCGGAAGAAGGCACAGCCACGCTTGCGCTTGTACGACTTCCGCTTGTCCAGCACAGCCTGCCTCGTGGGCCACATGGTGCACTCCTTGACGCGGCCATCGACCGAGTGCTTGGAGGGCTGCTGTGTGGAGGCGACGGAGAGGGGCACGCCGCCCTCGAGGTCGTGTTCGTGGACGGCGACGCCGAGGTGTGTCTTGCTCTGGAGGGCCGTGTCGTTGAGGGAGTGACGCGTCTCGCGGAGGGCCTCCGGGTGCTTGTAAAAGGCCGAGTAGGGGTTGGAGGGGTCGGCCGCCCACTCCTTCTTGGCGAGGTCAGCGTCGGCGGTGGCAGACGACATATTTGAATCGTGCGAGGGCGGCGAGCGTAGCGGCTGCGAAGGCGGAGGCAGGCTGCTTAATGGGCTGGGGGAGCGCTGGACCGTGGCGCCGAAGGTGACGGGCTCGTGCTTCTCGTTTGCTGCCATTGTGACGTAGGCAAGGAGGGTTTCACGCTGGCAGTGCTGGGGCGTTTGGTGTCTAAGACGTGAAGCGTGGGCTCGTCAGGAGGACCCTTTCAGCGGCAGGCGGGCGACAGCAGCTGCAGTGGCCGGGCCGGGCGGTGGTGCGACAATGGGCAGCGGGGGGTTCGCTTCACGACAGGCGCAGCATGGGGGAGAGGGCAGCGGTGGGTGAGGGTGAAGGCGTCGTTATCGCTTGCCGTGTGGTATCTGGTATCGTGGGAGATATGGCTGCAACGGGAAGGGGGGATCGCCGTCGACGAGGAAGGAGCGGACAGTGCACCAGGGGAGGGAAGCAGCGGGTCGACCAGCGTGCGTCGGTGCGTTCACTCGGAATACGGCAGGCAGACAGAAAAGCTCAGCAGTGTCGCGGTGGGAGCAGCAGAGATATGAAGAGTTGTGAAGGCACGCCAGGCCCATGCCGCCTGGTGGACACGGTCTGTGTGAAAGCTGAGAGTTCGGAGCTAGGGTCAATCGTCGGGCCCGCTAGGCCGTTCGCAGCCATGTCCCTGCAACTGCCCACCGGCTCGTCGCTCTGAGTCGAGCGTAGCTGTAAGACGTCCCTGATCTTCATCGCTTTCACTCGCCCATTCGCTTCCAGCAGCTCACGTCCATCATCATTGTTACAGCGCCATGCTATGACCTTATTACTGAGCCTTCGCTTCTATTCCTCACGCCTCCCTTCTTGACACCCACCTGTATGAGTACACGCTGTACACCCCCCCTTGACGCCGCTGAAGGCCCGCTAGATTGATTGCCGCGTGCCTGGCAGGTCGTCGAGTTACCTCGCAACGGGTTAGCAGCCTCGCAGGTCTAGAGCCGTGCGGCGCGACTGGAGTTTGGCTCATCTTGGCTGTTGAAGCGCTAAGCCCCCTCGGGCTAAAGCGCGCATAAAACACACGCTGCATCCAATCTTTGAGCCGCCAGATGCACGCGGAGCACCTGGCCGAGAGCCTTGGTCGCAGCTTGTCTGTCATGCACCAACGCGCGACTTGCTGTTCTCGGTGCCACCTTCAACAGCGAAGCATTGGAGAAGGCGAACTTTTTTTTCTTGTTTTGTGCCCGCGCTTGAGCAACCCCGGCCTTGCGCGTCGTTGAGCCCGTTCTATTGAAACGCATGGCCTACCGCAGAGGCAAACGTCGCGACTGTGCCTCTCGATCGAGCGCGCAAATCGTCGATATAGCAGCGCTGTTACTCTGTAGGCGTCCCGAATGCCCACTGTTATCCTGATAAACTAGCGGCGTGTGAAACCGCTATAGCACCCACCCGAGCGGCGCAGCAAACACAGAGGCGAAATCTATGCACTCCTCCGGAACACATACGAAAGCAGATACGCCTATACGCCGACGCGACGAACATACGATCTGGAGACGGGAGGCAGGCTGAGATTAGATAACGCACGAATGATGCGTACCGCAAAAAAGGGTTCTGAAGCCCGCGCACGTGCGTTCCGCCCCAGCCAACATCGCGCTAATGCAAACTGCGGGCAAGCATCGCCTGTCCTACACAGCTCCTGTTCCTAGGGACCTATGGAACTATGATGCTGTCAAATGCGCGATGCGCGCCATAGTACCAACGCCCCAGACCGGCCCAGTCGTGTCACATGGTCGCCCACCGTCCGCGCTTGTAATGGCCATCTGGACCCAGCCTGGCGTTTGTATAGACTCGTCGATAGACTCTCCGATAGTTTTGGAGCAAGCCTCCAACACTTTGTGTACAAGGTTATTTGTATTGAGCTGAAAAGCAGCCAGCCCTGTGCATTACTACTTTTTGCTTATCGCACCCGTCTCTAATGCTGCCCGATCAGAAATGCCGCGCCAACGCCATGCCATGCCATGCGCAACCATCAGTCTGCGCGTTTGCTTGCTTCCTTAGCAAGAGCAGCCGCATCACTAGCCTACGTTCTGGGCCGTGTACCCGCCCGCGCCCAATCAAAACTCCTGTTCCCAAGCTTCTAGTTTGCGCCAGCGATTTCTTCTCTCTTGATACCGGATCTGTCGCACATGCCCTTGAAGATTCCGCCTTGGTCGTACAGATTTAGCGGCGAGTCGAGCTCTGCAATCAGCCCGGCGTCCATGACGCAAATCCTATCGTAGTTGATAACTGCCGGATGTCAGTACAAAGTCGGCGCGCGGCAGGCAGCGATGCACTTACTGGTCTTTAGTCGATGGGCGATGCACAGAAGCGTCTTGCCCTTGAAGCCATCCACGATCTGTTGGTAAATATTAGCTCATGTATTCAACAACACTGCTTGATGACGCAAAGCTTACCGTTTGTTGGATCTTCGCATCTGTCTCAAAGTCGACCGAGCTGGTAGCTTCGTCACAGACGATAATCTGAGATCCGCGGACCAGCGCGCGAGCCAAAGCCATCAACTGCCTCTGGCCCAGAGAGAAATTGAGACCCTCTTCCTCAACCACACTGTCGAGATGTATGCGTGCAGAGTGATCTTCCATAGTCTGGTCATTTGAAACAAGATCAGCTTGTCGGAGGGCAGACCAGAGCTCCAGGTCGGAATGTTCGTGGAAAGGATCCAAATTGGACCGAATCGTTCCCTTGAAGAGCGTGGGGTCCTGCGGGATAATGGCCAGCTTGGAGCGTAGATCGTGAAGACCAATCTTGCCAATGTCTACACCATCAATGACAATCGAGCCACCTGACAGCTCTTGCAGTCGGAACAACGCCGACATGATGGACGATTTACCCGCTCCAGTGCGACCAACGACACCAATGCGCTCACCAGCACGGACATGCATGCTCAATCCCTTGAGCACCAAAGGTAGCCCATCGCGGTACCGCATCTCCACATTGTCGAAGACGATCTCGCCATGCTCAGGCCAGGTTGGTCGTACCTCGCCCATGTGCAGAGGCGCTTCTTCTTCGAGTTGGCTTCCGTAGTGATGAATGCGCTCCGTGGAGTTCATGTTGTTTTCGACCTCAGCAAGTTGACGGACCGTAAACTGGATCATCTGCACAATAGTGAGAATGTACGAAAGGACCAGACCAGCAATGCTAGGATCGACGGAGAAACGGCTCGTAACGACGAGGATACCCGTTGTGAAGACGAGTAGAATACCGACAATGTCCAGACGAACACTCAGCCAGCGTTGATTGGCAAAGGTGAGGTAGTAGGCGCTGTTCATATCGTCGACAGCATCGCGAACCGACTTCGAGAACTGATTTTGGAGACCGTAGGCGCGAATAGTCGGGGTACCCATGACAGCCTCGCCGAAGCGCGAGAACACCGTGCTACGAAGAACAGCTTCGTGACGTTTGACCTCGCGTGCAGAAGACCGGTAGAACGCCGCCGAGAACATGAACATGATGAACAGCGGACCCAACGCGATGGCGTAATAGTAGTAATACGAGATGATGAGGATGAAAACACTGTTTATACACGTTAGCTCAAACGCTTCAACAACACGTCCCGAGTAACTTACGAAATGATCATAGCAAGCGTCAAAAAGTACATGCGCATCGCATCCGTAATGGTGTTATCCATGACATCGATATCCTTGCTAAAACGATTCGTAATGCGTCCCAGCGGCGTAGTATCGAAGAAGGACATGGGCGCGCGCAGCACACGGGTAATAGCGCGGTGCAGCATGACTTTACCAGCTCGGGTACCGAAGATGGAGACCGAGAAGGAGAAGAAGAACATGAAGAGGGCTTGGCTGAAGCCAAAGGCTGCGTATGCACCAATGTATGCGCCCTCGGAGTAGCCGAATTTGTCGGAGGTCCAGTACGATAGCCAGAGAGAGGTGACGATGTTGGCGCCTTGGGAGAGGACGAGGAGGATGAAGACGAGGGGACCGACCCAGATTCCGCCTCCGGCTTTGATGTATTCGATCCAGACTTCCCAGCTGACGCTCTTGGTTGCGCGTTCTTCCGTCTGCATGAGGGCGGCCTGTTTCTTCTGCTTCCGTTGCTTCTTTGTGCTCTTGACTTCTGCTTCGACTTCGTCCTCGTTGGCTTCGTCTTGCTCTTCCTTCTCTTCTTCCTTGGCGGTTGAGCTCATGACTTGCACGAAGTCGGCGTTCTGGGCCATGAGGTTGTCAAATGTATCGACGGCTTTGACTTCTCCTTGGTCCACCCAGATGATCCTGTCGCAACGGCTGAGGACGTGGAGCTGATGAGTAGCTAGGATGCGGCACTTGTCTTTGAGCAGACCACAGATGGCGTTGTCCATGATGTGGCGACCAACGTGGGCATCGACAGCGCTCAAAGGGTCGTCCATGAGGATGATATCCGCGTTGAAGTAGATGGCTCGAGCAATGTTCATGCGCTGCTTCTGACCACCAGACACCGTGATACCGCGCTCTCCAATCTCGGTCGCGTCGTTGTGCGGTAACATGTCCAGGTCAGGACGGAGGGCGCAGGCATCCACAACTTGGTCATACCATTTCTTGTTGAACTCTTTGCCGAAGATGATGTTTTCTCGTACCGTAGCGTTCTGGATCCAGGCGTATTGCGGGCAGAAAGCACGCGAAGCACCAAAGACAACTTCACCACTAGTCTTGCGCATGTCTCCTGCGAGAGCCGCAAGCAGCGAACTCTTTCCAGACCCAACACCTCCGATGATAGCCACAAGCTCGTTCCGTCCAATGTTAAGGTCCAGTCCCTTGATCTCGAAGGGCTTCTCCTCTTCCACAGCCGTCGCGTCGGAAAGTGGTCTCTCTCCACCCTTCGCTGCGAGCTTAGCGTTGGCCTTGCTCTCCCTCTTCTCTTTTCTGGTTTCCGGCTTCTTTCCTGGCGGCCCAGCGGCACCGTCTTCTGCGTCCTGAGTGGGGTGACGCTCCCAGGTGAAGTTTGCGCCCTTCAGTGTGACCGCATCCTTGGCGTCATAATCCCACTTCCCGCTCTCTTCAGCCTCTTCAGCTAGCAAGAACTCTTGGATACGTTTGACGGAAGCGTTCGCGTCGATGACCTGACCGATAACGAGCGGCAAGAAGTTGAGCGGGATACG